AAAAAAAAAAGGTTAAAATGGTGAAATAATATAATAACTAGAATGGGGGGAGTTGAACACACCAACCTCTCCCAGCTTTGATTATTCTCCGCTCTCTTCTGGACCCTTGGTGATTTCTACTCCTGTGATTGTGTTGCCTGATGTGTGACAGGCAGTCCTTTTACACCTGCTCAATAACAGAACAAAACACAGCTCTACCTACCTGTACTACTTAACCTTATTAAGCTCTCGTTGCTTTAAAATAAGAAAATATGGACGTAGCCATTCCTCCAGAGGTGAGTATTGGCTTCATTTATAGTAAACTTAACGTCAGGCAGCTCTGTTCCCAGGAACTTTTGACTTCACTATAGCATTAGAATGGAATCTTCTTTAAAGACACATTAACTGTTAGGAACCCAAATTTAAGTTATCGTTTAAATACATGTGTTGCTATCAAGGCCAACCACTCAACCCAGGCAGCCCAGGAAGGAAGAGGTACCCCGTCTGCGTGGCTGAGTTGGCACGTACACAGGTGGTAACAGCTGTGTTTCAGCTTCTCTGCCTGGGGGTGGCAGGTTTCTGCTGGTGCTGACAGAAGCATTCAGAAATACTAAAATGTGTGGGGAAAATTGTTTGCCAGTCATGGTTCTTAGTAGCAAACCAGAGAAGCTGATTCTGGCTAATATAATCAGAAAAGGAATTTTTTGGAAAATCAGGTTGTTCATAGAATTAATATGGTCAGAAAAGGGTTAGGAAACCACCACCACCATGACTGAATTCTTCTTTTTCCCTGTGTTTTTATGTCATTCCCTCAAGGTTCAACTCTCCACTTTGGTGGAAGGAAATGAATGTCTAATTCTAGATCACCTGCCTATGCCCCAAGCTACTAAGGAGTGGGACAAGGGACCATCTGCCCCACCTTCAGCCCCTATGGCCTACAAAGGACACCCCCCCGCCACCACCCCAAGACAGCAAGGGAATTCTTCAAAAAAAAAAAAAAAACAACTCATGTCCACCCCAGCGTGTATCCTGGACACAGCATTTCTTTAATCTGCTTCTGCACCTTTAGTTACCCAGTTCTGGTCACAAGACCAGGTGAGGGAGTGGTCAGGAAGTGATGAGTTGATCATCACTACTGGAAAATTAAGTCCCCAAGCACATCCTTCTTGGATGCTTCCAAAGCATCTTCCTGGCACCCAGGGCACAGCTAGTTCATTCATTGGCTGAGGATCTACGACCCATGATCTGCGATCTGGGGCTGTTTAGTGTACACGTCAGTTTCAAGTAACACTAGCACTTACTATTATCTTGGAAGGCACTTTGTTCTGGCCTTGCAGGGACAGAACTCAGTGAAATTTCAACTCTAAATCTTTACATACTATGTGTGACCATTCGGGGGTCTTTAATTTCCTTTGGTCTAAACTGGCTGCTGACAGTGATGGAAATAAACTCCAGCCCACATTCCGAGAACTACCCTTGTCCTCCATGTCCCCAAGGAACCAGGGAGCACCGCAGTGAGACAGAATAGGGAAGTGAAAAGCGTGAACTGGAAGTATCAAATATGCGTGGTGGCATAAACACCACAGTTAGGGCAGCAGTTTCCTCTGGGGAGAAAGGGCGGCGGAGAGAGGGCTCGGGGAGGGGTGCGCAGGGGCTTCGGCACTTCAGAATGTTTTGTTTTCTTTACTAAAAATGTATCTGAATCCAGTTTGCTTGTTCAGCTACTCCTCTCATACCTGCTCTTCAAACGCATGAAACTTTAGTCTGTGGACCCCCTTTATTTTCGCCTGAGAGGTCACTCCCCTCTGGTACTTTCTCACCTGCCTTAGATCCCACCCTCACCCCCAGAGCCTGCCAGCGTCGTACGTCCTACGGTGGATGTTGACATCTTTGTGTTTGTGCTGTAGGATGTATCGGTAGATCACTCCTTATTTTGTATTTTAACATTTTACGTGATGTTATCATGTTGCACGTACCCTTTTGAAACTGACTTTTTACCTTTTTTTTTTTTTTTTTGAGATTTACCTGTGTTGACAAGTGAAGATCTAGTTCATTCTCACCCACTCTATGGTATTTTGTTATCTAAATAAGGTGTTAATAGAATTGGTTTTTTAAAGTACCTGAAACAAACAAGGCAAAGTGTCAAAATTTGTTAAAGTTACAGGGTAGGTATATCAGCATGTGTTGTGTTACTCTCTAGTCTAGACTCTTAGGTATGTTTGAAAGTTTTCAAAATCTAAAATCACTAGAGTGGGAGCTGGGCAAGGTGACATCTCAGCACTGTTTGGGCTGGATCGAGACTCTGCTCTTGCAGCTAATCAGACGGAAATTAAAAGTAAACTTGGTGGGATTGGCCTCCTCTTGTTTGCTTTTCGTGGGAATCTGCCTCCTTGGGGACATGCTGGAAAGTCTTGACCTCAGGCCGGAGGGTGTTTATTTAGCTGCAGGGTTTGGAGCGTGTTGGTAGGTGGCCAAAGCGGGCTAAACAGACTTTGTTGTGGGCCTAGCCATTTAAAAAAATAAATTGGCAAGAGACCATTTCACAGAATGGTTGCGAGACATAATTTTAAAAAATGTTTACAATATACTTGAGCTATGAATAGTCCAAATGCTAAATATTGGTCACGACTTTGGCCAGGCCAACCTTTACCTCCTCAACACCCTCCAAACCTGGGCCAAGAGACTGCCATTCCTCTCCTCCTGTGCCCACTGGACACCCCCGGGACTTGGGCGGCCTGCAGGGAGGTTCTCTTCCTTTTCTATATCTGGTGCTTTCAGGAAAGTGAGACTTTTCAGAAATGCAAGCTTTGGACCCATGCCTGTGTTTTCACAGAGCCGTTGATTAATTTTGCCATTGATCAAAAGGACCGTACTAGGTGAAATAAGAGACTCGAGGACTAAATGAAATTACAGATACGGATGTAAGCGACTCTCGAAGTGACCAGGAGCCCCATTTTATTCCCTGCTTCTTCCTATGGAAGGGCTCCCAGATCCCCAGTGGGAACCAGATTCATCCAGCCCAGGAGGCCACATTTGAAATAATTTCCAAGTCACAAGGCCTCCACTGCCTCCAACTTGGAGACAGGGCTCTCCGCCTGGCAGCTGCTGGAGAGAAGCGTCCCTGAGCCCTCCCGGTAATTGTGTCTCCCACCACTGCCGGCCACACTGACGTGCCCTTCTCTCCACCCAGGGTATGACTTCTGCCAGGTCCTACAGTGGTTTGCCGAGAGGGTCGACAGGATCATCCTGCTCTTCGACGCTCACAAACTGGACATCTCAGACGAGTTCTCAGAGGCCATCAAGGCCTTCCGGGGCCAGGACGACAAGATCCGCGTGGTGCTGAACAAGGCGGACCAAGTGGACACACAGCAACTGATGCGGGTCTACGGGGCCCTCATGTGGTCCCTGGGCAAGGTCATCAACACACCTGAGGTGCTGCGTGTCTACATCGGCTCCTTCTGGGCACAGCCCCTGCAGAACACAGACAACCGCCGGCTCTTCGAGGCCGAGGCCCAAGACCTCTTCAGAGACATCCAGAGCCTTCCCCAGAAGGCAGCGGTGCGCAAACTCAACGACCTCATCAAGCGAGCAAGGTTGGCCAAGGTAAGTCAGGAGACGCCCTAGACAGTAGCCTTGGGCTGGGCATGCCCCTCTCTCCTCTCCAAAGGCAAGGTAGGGCCTGGGGGAGGCTCCATTCCAGAAGCCTTAAGGTATGAAGTGTGATAGGTTAAGAGTGTAGCTTGAGATCAGGTAGCCCTGCTAACATTCCAGCTCCCGGCTCCGTGCTCTTGGGCAAATGACTTAACTTTTCCAAACCTGCCTTCTACTCTGTACATTGGAGCTAATGAGAGCACTTCCCGGGGTGCTTATGAGTGACAGTTTGTCAGTGTGACAAGCACTTGGCATAGTGCCCGGCACATAGGGAGGCATCAGTCAGTACACAGCTAGGGAAGCTGTTAGGATGTTAGGACGATGGGAGTGTAACCAGCCACACCTGAGACAGGTGGTGTTGGCGGGACCAGCATGGTGCTGAGAGGCCACCACTAGTCACCATGCACCTAAAGCACAGAGCCCAGTATCACCACCTGGATCTAGAGGAGCCCTGGGGAAAAGGGTGGCTCAGCCTCGTCTGCAGAGTGTGCTGGTTTGGGGTCACACCCTGTCCCCATTCTGGTATAGCCTGTGAGCAGGCGTGCTGTGGCTCTGGCTGCCCCGCCTCATAGCTGAGCCTTTCCACAGCCCTGGAGTGTGTGCCCGGTGGGGCGAGTGGTGGTCTGTGACCTCCGTCAAGTAGTGGCATCAATTCTGTCACAGTTCTGAAGAGAGAAAAAAGCATGCCACTCCTCCAAGAGAAAGTATAGGAAAAAGATGATTCTTTAAAAAATATTTGTATGTTCCATAAAATCATTGTCCTCTGTTGCTGGGAAGTGCCTCCAGAGTTTATCTAGTCCCAGCGAAGTTCGGTGTAAATTCCCAGGCCCTGCCCCAGAGCTTCTGATTTGGGGGGCAGGGGGCAGTGTATGCATGGCCATATGTGCACATGCATCTGTGTAAGTGCACACGTGTGTGTATGTATGTAAAGCTTCCCAGGTGGCTCTGATGGTCAGCCAAGTTTGGAATCCAGAGGTCTGTGCTGCTCCCTAATTTTCCAAGGACAAGGCAGGATAAAGGATGTCTCCAGGGTCACCTAATCCATTAGTGATAAAGGCAGAACTAAAAGTCAGGCCTCCTGGCTCTCAGTCCAGCCTTCTGCTTTGGGCCCCGTCACTTCAGCTGGCACTGGTCCCCGGGCCTGAATCTCCAGATCCACTGGTCCTGGTCAGGGGATCTGGACCCTCCCTTTGTCTTCTGAGGGCCAAGAACCACATCCTGTCCCACATCCTCTTGCCTCGCAGTGAGTGGTTTCTGGCCTGGCCCTGGGGCCCAGCAGGTCGGCCTTCTGGTCACCACCACTTCGCCGCCTTCAGTCAACACGCGCTCAGCAGCCCTGGGCCAGGGCTGGGAGCCTCACCTGGTGGAGGGGAGAGGCTCAGAAGCCCCCGTTATAGAATGGTGAGGTGTGGACACTGTGCTGTGGGTGCTCTGAAGAGGGTGACTGAGGGCCTGGCGGGGAGAGGCAGGAAGGGCTTCCCTGAGGGTGACAGCTGAGAGGGGGACGAGCCTTCCAACTGCCTCGCTGCTGCTCAGCAGGCTGCCTTCGTGGCCCTGCGCTCACACAGCAGCGTCTCTCCTACGCCAGAAGGACGCCTCTCTGCCTGCCTGTGTCCCAGTGCTGCACACACACTCCCCGTCACTCCAGTCACACACGTCACACGGTGCTTGTGTGAGTCACCTTTCTTTATCCTTTCTACCTGGCGCAAGCAGCTTCTTTCTGGAACTACAAGCCACTTTTGTTCCGGTTCTGCAAGGCAGTCATGCTAACTAGTTTGTAAATCCACTTACGTGTTGCACTCCTGAGGTGGTTTCTCCCTTGCACTTATCCTGGGCCTAATGCTTGGGGTGGCAGGAAGTCTGTTTTTGCCCATTCAGGGACCAACCCCCTGGCATGTGGTATTTCTCTTCTCCAGCTGGTGGGGCTGAGCTTAACCTTCAGAGTACATGGCACCCCACATTACTTACAACCAAAGCTGATAACTCATGCCATAGCCTTTGTAGTTTGTGTGTGTGTGTGTGTGTGTGTGTGTGTGTGTGTGTGTGTGTGTGTTTAGAGATAGGGTCTCACTATGTTGCCCAGGCTGAGCTCCAACTCCTGGGATCCAGTGATCCTCCCACCCCAGCCTCCTGAGTTGCTGGGATTACAGGTGCACACCACTGTACCCAGCCACATCTTAGTTTCTGATGTCTAGGCAGCCGTCTACCACTTGGAGCCTGCCCCCCCCAGCTCTTCTGCTAGTAATTTGTATCATTAAAAGAAACTTGACCTACATCTTTTTTTTTTTTTTTAAGAGACAGATCTCACTATGTTGCCCAGGCTAGTCTCAAGCTCCCATCCTCTCACCTCAACCTCCCAAGTAGCTGGGACTATAGGCACGAGCCACTGTACCCAGCTCTCCTTTGCAGATTTTAAGATTTTTTTTTTTTTTTTAACTATTTGTAAACGCTTATAGACATCTTTAATTTATCATTCATTGCTGAAGGCCCAGTCACTCAAGACGCTGCTGTATTTAGTCATGTGAGTAAATAAGGAGCAAAAGCTTGCTGGAAATGTCAAGCGCCATAACCCATAGACCTGCCTGCCATGCCTGAGAGTTAGGCCCTCTGAGCAGCCAGCATGGTCTAGGTCTCAAGAGGCACAGAACACTGCTCTGTGTCTGACACTGAATAATGAAAACCCTTGTGTGGATGTGGGCAGTGGGGGACGGTCAAACTTGCTGAGCTTACTTATAGGAAAAAGCTTGTATTTTTTTTTCTTCCTAAGAATAGTATCTGGCTTGTTCCTTTTCACAAAAGAAAATGTTTGAAGCACAGATATGTGCAGACTGGGCTTCTCAGTGCCAGTTGCTACTGGGGCAGTACCATGCTGAGAAGCAGGCACAGGAAATGGAGTCTCGGCCGGGTAAGAAGCAGAACTCAGCCCAACGGCCATGCCACTAGCTGATGACATGCATCGTATACCATCTGCAATTTTATGCTCCATTTGTGAACTTGTTTTGCTTAAATGGACAAGGAATCACCTGAGTTCTTCACCTTTGGAGTGTTTATATTTTCTAAAAATATTTTGATACTATATATTAATCTTTCTTTTGATCCAGTTTTGCTTTTGCTCACCAACAGTGTTCCAGAGCTACACAGTTTGCATTACATGTGTTGTTTTGTTTGATGCTGTTGATAACTACACGAAGTCTGGCATTTTTATCTTCATTTCACACATGAGGGAACTGAAGCTCAGAAAGGTGAAATAACATCCCCAAGGCTTCACGGCCTGTAAGTTGCAAAATATAGATTCAACCGCCCCGTCACTCTGATTCTTGGGTCCAGAAGACATTCATCTGCAATCCCGAATGGACAGCGTCTGTAATACCTGCTTTACTTACGTCCTTGCTTTCTGCATTAATCTGTTGTTCTGTTTATTGTATAAAATTCTCCAGCCACAGACACTGGACAAGAGCAAGATGAAAACAACATGCCTAGAAAAACCCAGAGCTGGGAGCTAGGCGACAGAAGCTAATGGCGAATCAGTGTCTGTAAGGGTCAAAGTCAATAGTCCCCAAAACCAAAACTGAGGCAGGGAGTTAGACATCACATTAAAAACCACTAAGGACTCCAGCCTCTCAGTGTTGTTCATACATTTCCAGCCTTCTGGGAAATGATATTTATGGTGTGACAAAATGTTCTTTTGAAGTTCAGCAATTCCTTCAGTTTTAAGTAAAATTGTTAATGCACTATTAAAATTAAAATTAACATCAAGAGAAGGATCTCGTTTTTATAAAATATTTTAAATCTCTTCTATTTATATCTGGGTCTTGAAATGCTACTGTTAATATCTAGGTGGTTAGACTACAGTGTTTTTTTTTTTTTTAACATACATTTGTATACTTTTCTGTACTATTTGTATTCATTTATACCAAGTATGAATGATTTTTGCAAAAAAAAAAAAAAAGAAAAATTCTCCAGCCACAGAAACCCTACAAAGCTTAGGTTTTTCAAACTGGCATTTTTTTTTTTTTTTTTTTTGAGACAGAGTCTCACTGTGTTGCCTGGGCTAGAGTGATGTCTTTGCTGTTTTCTACCCTTCTTTTTTTTTTTTTCGAGACAGAGTCTCACTGTATTTCCTGGGCTAGAGTGCCATGCCGTCAGCCTATCTCACAGCAACCTCCAACTCCTGGGCTCAAGCAATCCTTCTGCCTCAGCCTCCTGAGTAGCTGGGACTACAGGCATGCACCACCGTGGGTGGCTAATTTTTTCTATATATTTTTAGTTGTCCGATTAATTTCTTTCTATTTTTAGTAGAGAGGGGGTCTTGCTCTTGCTCAGGCTGGTTTCAAACTCCTGAGCTCAAACAATCCACCTGCCTCGGCCTCCCAGACTGTTAGGATTACAGGCGTGAGCCACTGCACCCGGCCCAAACTGGCATTTTGAAAACATGCAAAGGATAAGTTTTCAGATGTCAGCTAAGAGGTGTCAGATCTATTTATAGAACATGATAATTAAGCAGAATTCATGGCCCATCCAGATAAAGCAGGTGGGTCATCGTTTTAATCAAACTCAAGGTGTTATCATAAAGATGACATTTTAATAATATGAAAAACAGATACTCTTACCAAAGAGCTCTTGAAATTTAATGATTTCCCTACTTTTTCTGTTTATTTTTTTTTCACAACTCTCTATTTCAAGGAACAGGAAAACCTTAGAGTGGGTTTTTTGGTTAGCCTCAAAGATCACATCCGATGACATCAGTGGACATCCTTCTGGGAAGACTGTTCACACCTGAGACTCCCGTCGGAGTTCATTTCATGATTCTTTAGAGTAAGCTATTTTGAGAAAGCCCAAAAAAGGGTTTAGAAATGTGGTTTTATTCAGCTATAACTAAAATAACCAAATTAAAGAAATTAGATTCATACAAATCTCAAATGATACTATTTATGAGATAAAAGAACAAAAGTAAGAAGTGAGGCAACCCCACCCTTCGTAAACACATTGCCCAAGAATAGGAAAGGTTCCCACCCCTTTGGAGATCTTTGCTCAACAAAAAATGAGGCAACATTTGAGGAAGGAATAAGTAAAGTGAAGAAAGAAAAGGAGGGGTCAGTGATTTTCAGGGTTTATTGTAGTTCTGTTTCATCTTCAAAACGCATTCTCCTCTTGGTCACATGCAACGTGCAGAGCCTGGCCTTCCTGTCTGTCTGCACTGCCACATCCTCTGGTGGAGAAATTAGGCATTTTGTTGTTCACCAAATGGATCCTGGCCAAGGTGTGTGTGAGTCGTCGCACAGTAGGCGATAATCACCTTAATGCCTCCTCCAGAGCGGGGCTCTAAAAATAGTTCAGTCGGCCCTGAGCTATTGAGGGTGTGTGTCAGTGCCGGAGCCCATATATGGAAGCCTGTCTCTTTGAAGGTCAACCTCAAATTAACTGTGTGGGCCCCCTCAAGTCCCCTTTAAGGCTGTTCAGAATCACATGTGCCATTAGTGCCAGTTTTAATCCGAACAGAATAACAAAGTCCTGCTCGAGCAGGAACAAGGCAGCTGCTTTTCTCTGCCTGTCACAGCCTCACACTCTTACTGCCCCATGGGTTCACCTTTTGGGTCTCTGGTTCATTAACTGAATTTTTTTATAGCATCATAAACCCACTTTTTAAATGTGATAATCTCCTGGTTTTAAATGCTCTCTGCAAGTTTCCAGCTGGGCTTACAAAGCCACAGGTCTCCAACAGGTTGTGTTAAGTTTGCAGATGAGGGTGGCACAGTGCTGCGCCACCCTGCCTTCCCTTGAACTGCTGCCCAATGTCCACATTCCGCCAAGGTTCCCGGTCAGTCATAAGCACTGGTAGCATCCAACACTCACTGCCGGGGGTTGCCCTCCAAGCCCAGAATGGATATAGCATATGTCACTCCTGAGTACATGCTGCTCAGCCTGGAGATACACGCACGCACATACACACGTCCCTGGATACATTAATGGGATTTGTGTCAGAGTGTGTATGTGAACTTTGTATAAATTCATATACATTTACAGGGGAGGACATCCCTTTCTGCCCATTGATTTACGAGCCCAGAGAAAAATTGTAATTTTTGTTATTTAGATTTACACCCACACATCACCATTAGCTGACTTGGGGCTTTTCCAATTTTTTAGAAGGGAAAGGATGAATTGAACAAGGTAAGAAAGTTCAAAAGCCCCCACTGGTCAATGTTGAATAACATTGTGAATTAAACACTTGGGACCCAAATTCTTCATATTACTATTCAAATATAGAGAGTTTATTAATTATTCAATAAGGACTAAGTAGCCAGGTGCCTTCTCTGTTGTCACAACCCCTGCAGCCGTCAGGTTCAGGCCATTGGTTGATAAGAATAAGTAACATTTATACTCCTCCTTCTAGTGGGCAAAGTACATTCAAATGCATGATCTCTGTTATTCCCACAGCAACACCTCTGTGAGATGAATGTTGTCATTTCCATTTGTGGCTGAGCAAGCTGAGACAGGGACCCCTGGGGGCTAGGTCTCCTCCCCATTCTCTTCCTCTCTTCCTCTTCTCAATTAGTTTGCTCTCATTACAAAGAACAAAAGGTCTCCCAGTGTTTCCGCCTCCTTCCACAGGGACAACATTATTTGGAGACATCGTTGACACATAAGGGCAGGAGTGAGCTTTTGAAGGCGACCATGGATTTTAGCCATCAAGCTGTCCCCTCTGTTTACCAAGTGCCTTTAGAAAATGACAGGCAGGGCCGGGCGCGGTGGCTCACGCCTGTAATCCTAGCTCTCTGGGAGGCCGAGGCGGGCGGATCATTTTAGCTCAGGAGTTCGAAACCAGCCTGAGCAAGAGCGAGACCCCATCTCTACTAAAATTAGAAAGAAATTAATTGGACAACTAAAAATGTGTAGAAAAAACTAGCCGGGCATGGTGGCGCATGCCTGTAGTCCCAGCTACTCGGGAGGCTGAGGCAGGAGGATTGCTTGAGCCCAGGAGTCTGAGGTTGCTGTGAGCTAGGCTGACGCCAGGGCAACACGGTGAGACTCTGTCTCAAAAAAAAAAAAAGAAAAGAAAATGACAGGCAGTCTTTATCCACACTCCTATGCAATGACCTTCCAACACTTCCTGGTGAATAAGGGACCATCAGAAGTCAAACCTCAGATCAAAACTGTTGTTCTGTAGGATGCAGTTCATTTTGAATTCCAGATTTCCCACAATTTCAGTAAGATTTTTAATTCATACCCACAGAAAGTAATGAATTCTAAAACAGCAGGAATGAGGCAGTTGGATGGGAGTGCCAGCTCTGGATCTCCTAACTAGCTGTGTGACCTCACGTGAGCATACGAACTCCTGGAACCAGAAGTTAAATTAGATAGAGGGGTCCCTTCCATATTCAATACTGTACTATTCGAAGAATTGTAATTTACCTCATAACGTGACAAACTTCTTAAAGACAGGGACCATGCGTAGATGACCTTGGGTTATTCTCGTAGGATGTCCCAGGAAGGGCAGGAGTGGGGTGGACACGCGGAGGCAGCGTAACAGGAGACTTATGCAGAACAGGCCAGAGGAACTTCCTAGAAGTGGAGTTTGGGTCTGAGAGCTGCCTGCAGCATGAGCAGGTCACCTGAGAGTCATGACTCAGGTAGCACCAGGCTGGTGAAAGGAGGAGGAGTGGGGACCTAGCACAACGTCTGCCCCGGGGTTTCTCAGGGCAGTGGAGGCCAGGTGTCCAAGGGCGGGCCATCAGCCAGCAGCCCCAGTCATCAGCCAGTAAACACCACGAGGTCTAAGATGAGGGAGCCAGGGCCAGTCAGTGGGTGGAGGGGTGTGGCAGGTGCACATCACCTGAGTTCAGCCCAGGTAAGGTAGGCCCTGGGCACCAGGGAGTGTTCAGGGACAAGGTGCCCATCCTAGGGGGACTGGGGCCTGGGTGGACAGTCAGCCAGATGGAGGAACAGGAACTAAGCCAGGGGCCTGGCAGCTGTTGCAGGCCTGGGCTCTGGCGGGGGTGGAGTTTCAGTAAGAAGCCCTTGTGTGTGGGAGACCGAGCGGCTGTGGGGCTTCCTGCTTCCACTGGGGCTGGCTCTAGAGCGGGGCAGGCCTGGGCCCAGAAGGGAGAGGTATCCACGGGCCCAGGCCAGAGGTCCAGGAAGGCCAAGGCCTAAGAAATGATACAAGGACAGCTGGTGGGCAGCTGGCTCTCCCCAGTTGAGCATGGCGGTGCCGGCTGTCCCCAATCCCCCACCACCACCAAGCCAGGCATTCACTGTCCAAGGCAAAGGAATTGCTATCTTATCACTCATTCATCAGCTCCTCAGAAATGTGGGTAAAACCCAGATTTCTAAATAAAGGACTCCCAAACTTTGGATTTCTCTAGTTATCTCTAAGAATCTTAGAAATATATCTAGTTGTTTTCATTTGAAAAATAAGTTTGCTGGTGTGAGAAAAGTTTAGAATCATCTCTCCAAATCTATATTCTTAGCCAGAGGACCCCAATCTTTCTGGCACCAGGGACCGGTGTCATGGAAGACAATTTTCCATGCATTGGGGGGCATAGCGTAGGCAGCGATGCCAGCGATGGCAGTGGCCGTAGCCGCTGTAAATACAGAGAGCTTCGCTTGCTCCTCGTTTGCCTGCCGCCCACCTCCTGCTGTGTGGCCCGGTTCCTAAGTTCCGTGGAAGACAACTTTTCTACAGACCAGGGGTGGGGATGCCAGGCCCAGTTCCTAATAGGCCACGGACTGGTACCAGGCTGCAGCCCAGGGTTTGGGGACTGCAGCTCTTAGCACATGGTGTGTGCTTGTGTTAAAGTGACCTTTGTACAGGTGGAAAGTTAGCACTCTTGGTCTGAGCGTGTCAGCACGTGCATCACGTACTTAGATTAGTGTTCAAATCGTAGCAAAATGCTTTCGGCCGTGCCCAGTGTGTGTCCGTACACAAGGGCCCTCAGCGGAGCTACGGAATGTATCTGCTTACCCCCTTTATTTAATTTCCATTCTTCCACAAGATTATAGTAGAAGTCTGTTTTCTTTAATAGGATTTTCCATAGCTACATAGTCATTTTCTTTTTGTAATCACTGTTCTGTTTTTCATCCTTTCTTATTTTAGTTATTTACTTGACTTCTAAATTACTCTGTAGAATTCAAGATATACAAAGAGAACTTTTGTAATGAACATTTCTCAACGTCCTGAAGTTAGAAACCAGCAGAAGAGTGGAAATGTTAAGGAAGGTGTGGTGTAGGCCAAACAGCTCTCCCGGTGGGATTCACCCCCCTCGGTGACAGCCCCCTGGCCACCTGTTCCCCCCACTGCCGTGATTAGGGTTTCTGGGGCTTCCTCCTCAGGCCCCTGGGGCTGCTCTTCCAGAGGGAGCCTCTGCCATCCAACCTGGTCCCAGGCAGCTGGTCTTGTGCAGAAATGACCTTAGTGCCACCTGTAGAGATCTCAGGGTCTACACTGTCCACGAGGAGGTTATGGAGATTCTCATCTCGTTGTTCACTGCGCACAGATTTCCGTGTAGATCAGCCATTTCTAGCAGCCTCCAGTTTAATGTCCTGGTGTTCCCGGGCACCAGTCCTGGTGAAGCTTTTTCTTGGGTCTCCTGGTTAATCACATCCAGGCCCACCCACACTGCTCACTCCTACACACGCACCAGAACTGCCACCCATGGGTGAGGCAGAACCGTAAGCCATAGCGTTTCCCCATGTCTGGCGCATGTTCCACCCCCTTAGACAGCTCCACTCCCCCCGGGTGCTCCCCTCCTCCTGCCCCTGAGGACCGTGGTTCTGTACGGGTGCCCGTCGTGTGTCATGATACGTCTGAGATGCCATCGTGTTTGTTCCTTCTCTGGTGCGGTTCTAAGTGACACATCTCACCTGACGTATACCCCTTCAGGTACATGCCTACATCATCAGCCACCTGAAGAAGGAAATGCCAAGCGTATTCGGAAAGGAAAACAAGAAGAGGGAGCTTATCAGCAGGCTACCAGAAATCTACGTTCAGCTACAACGAGAACACCAGATTTCTGCAGGGGACTTCCCCGAGGTCAAGGCCATGCAGGTATTGGGAGCCTATTACAGCGTCACAGGCAGAGGGTGGCGATGCAGTGCCCCGGTGTCTGGCTAGTTGCTGGGGACACATGAAGTCTCATGGTTTAGGATCAAGGAGAATGCAGTGAATGCGTCCTCCTGATGGTGATCTGTGACAATAGGCTGTGAATAAAGCAGAAATTTTCTGCCTTCTGAAATGTGGAAACAAAAGAGGACACATAGCAAAAGGTAACTGAAATGAAGCTCACGTGAGAAAATCAGGTGAGCAGCCCTCTTAGACTGTGTGCAGCGAGGTTGGTTTGATTTGGAGTGACACCTATTTTTTAGAATCCTAGCACCTTAAGGGAATCAGCACCGGGAGAGGCCTTGAAGGTCACCGTGGGTCTCCTAAAGCCCTGCCCGGCCCTGCCCTGCCCTGTGCCAGAGGATTATGTGCTCAGGCGGCGTTTGCTGCTGCAGCTGCAGGCTGGAGAGCTGCCTCAGGGCTGTGGGGCTCTGTGAGCATGGCTGGACTGTGCCAGACACGGTGAGGATTTTGCTTAAAGGGTGGCGTTTGGGCTGAATTCAGGGCCTGTGTTGAGTTGTGCCTGGGCGGCCCCAGCTGAGCGTGAATGGGTGCTACATTCAGCCACCCCGGCCTGAGCAGTGTGTCTACCACCCCATGCTGATGTTAGATGAGCATGTCCTCCCGGGCAAGGCCCCCATCTGGCTTCTGTGCAGACAGTCCTCACAGAGCCAGGCTGACCATCTTCTTGTCCAGTGCAAGAACCCATCTTCAGGGGGGCCACAGTTCTCTCTGTAAAGTGACACAAACTCAGATGCCTGTAGCCGCCAGCTGATAACATGAAGCAGGCTGGGCAGGAGGTACCATGTCACCCGCTCCAGCTACCTTCTGTCTTTCGACATTTGATAGAGAGGTGGTTCCAAGAGATGTCTCTCCAGGGAGGACACAATTCTGCAGGTGTGATGAGAATTTGTCAGGGCTCCCCTGTGGGACAGAGAGGAGCATGCAGGAGCCCTGTTCAGCCAGGTGTGTGATGCCCTGTGGGCCTGGGTGAGTCAAGAGAAGCCAGAAATCTGGATTCGTAAAATCGCCTGGTTTTCAAAAATTTTGGCTCAGACTTTCAAAAAATACTACACAGGCCACACGAAGCCGACCTGCTTACTGGCTGCTTGCTGAGACCACCGGTTACCATCTTCTGCCCTGGGCCACAGAGTGATAGCATTGAAGTCACTGCAGCCTAAAAACTGTAAGCAGGTGCAGCTGGAGGCAGAAGGAGGACAAGGCAAAAGAGGAGGAGAAGGCAGGGAGAGGGGAGGGTCGGCAGGCAGCAGAGGGGAAGTTTGGATCCTGAGGGTTTTTTAATGTAAGCTTTATGGAAATTACACACTAACTCAGGAGTGGGTTATTCTTAACATTTTGATGGCAGCTCTTGATGCCAAGGTTCAGGGTGAGTGCATCTGGTACATACGATCTGGTTAATATGATTTAGCAGTATTTATTTAAGAATAAATACAGAAATGGCCGGGCACAGTGGCTCATGCCTGTAATCCTAGCACTCTGGGAGGCCCAAGCAAGCAGGAGAATTACTTGAGCTCAGGAGTTGGAGACCAGCCTGAGCAAGAGCAAGACCCTGTCTTTACAAAAAGTAGAAAAATTAGCCGGGCGCAGTGGCCCACGCCTATAGTCCCAACCACTTGGGAGGCTGAGGGAGGAGCATCTCTTGAGCCCAGGAGTTTGAGGTTGCTGTGAGCTATAATGGTGCCACTACACTCTACCCAGGGCAATGGAGCAAGAATCTGTCTCAAAAGAAAAAAAGAATAAATACAGAAATATCTTTTTTCTTCCAGCAATGAAATAGGCATTCCTGTGCTCGGGGGACGAACGGGGTGTATTTCGACAGTGATGCCATTGTCAGGACACATGCTCCTTGTTACAGTACGAACACTGTTGTGCTTCAGTGTCATTAATCAAATTGCTTAACGTCTCTCTCCCTCGGTAGACTGTAACTCCATGAGATCGGTGACCCGCGCCCTGTTCTCTGCCATGTCCCCACACCTAGGATGTCGCAGGTGCTCAGTGAGTACATGCTGAGTAAATGAGTAAGTCAGTGGAAGTTCGTGCCGTGGCAGTTCTCTCGGGTACTGAGCTCCTCAGGCCCTGACCCAGCCCTGACTCCCAGGGCCTACAGACCAGGGTTTCCAGAGCAAACCTCTGGAAGTGCAGGAACAGTCCTCCTTGGGAGGCCAGCCGGGTCCCAGTCACACCACTCCAGGCCCCTCAGAGAGTCCCCAGGGAACGAGGCAGGTCTGGAGCCCGTGGGGAGCCCTGCACTGTCACCCGAGACTTCAGGCTAGTTTGGTGTCACCCTAGAGGCGTTGGGGGGTGTGGGGGTGGGCTAGGTCCCCTGCCGTCCCTGAGCCTGTTGAGAGTCTAACACCCCCTACCACGTGGGCTCACCTCACTTCGACTGCATCTGGGACAGAAGCGGGGGCATAAGCTTAGAGACGACCATGTTATGATCTTCAACCTATCAGGGCCGCGCGGAGGGTTCACCGATGCTGGCTTTGGGTTTCTGTCCTCCCTGTTCTCTCCCAAGCTGGTCAGGGTGACTCTCAGCCGTAGCAATAAGACAAACGTGTCTTGAAGCTTTTCCCGGTGCTAGGACAGGCCCTGCGGCCTGCTCGTGAGGCTGCCTGCATCTGCCCTGTGCCCTTCTGGGAGGGAATCTGACTCACAGCACAGGCCTGTCGATACCGCAGGTGAGCAGAGCACTAGAAAGTCCACCTCTAGGCCGACTCAGTTTTCCTCCCACTGGAGGGAGAATTTGGACCCCACAGCTGATGAGTTGGCAGCGTTTCAACAGCAGAGGGCAGCAGAGACGGCGCCATCCGCTCAGACCCTCGCGTGGGCTTGAAAACCGCAGCTGCTCAACGCTGGCCCGGCGTGGGCAGCGGGTAGCCTCACCGGAGACTGGGCTGGGACCTGACCTTTGTCTCTAGAGAGGAAGCGGTTCCAGGATCCCGGGCGTGGTGGATGCAATTGCTGATGGGGAAGTCTGTAAATTCCCCAGTGTGTATTCATCCCAGTAACGAGAATTGTTTTGGACCCACCCTGGTGGGGGCGGGGCAGGGATGACAATAGTTTAACAGGTACCCCCAGTTCCTGGTCAGGGATGTGGGGGACCACAGGGATGAGAGTGGAGGATTTATTCCCTAGGTGCCCTCCAGGGCGGGAATAGCTGCTGCAAATATGTGACCATTCCCCCTTGCGGGTGTTCCAGAGGTTTTCTGTCGGAATCCATGTCCCCGGCAGGCTGGGGGGAAGTTTGGGTGGGCAGTGCCTCCTTCTGCTTGGCCAGACACAGGAGCTCTGTGTGTCTCAGAGCACAGACTCATTCATGAGGAAATAGGGTAGGTGTCTATGCGCCGGGGGAATCCAAACTTGCATGCGCGGCCGCACAGAGGTTTTTGTGGGGGTCGCCTGCTCCTCCAGTTTGGCTTCCTCTTTTCAGTCCCCATGACTGAGATGTTGGCAGCAGGAGCCCAAAATGCAGGCGACGTTGTTTGGTGCTGATGTTGGGGGTGACGTGCTGGTGACTGTGATCTGCCAGTGAGGGCGAAGGACATGGAAACCAGGACTCAGTGGAGAGCCCAGGCCTGCTCCACCCCACTGCTGTGAGCTGAGCACGGGCTGCGCACTGGTTTCTGCCCGGCTCCGCGTGGTTTGACGGCTGCAGAGTTTGCTGCCTGAGAAAGTGTTGGAGGCCCTTCTCTAGAGGTACGTCCTCCTGCTTAGCTTCAGCTCTGTCCCACCACCATCTAAAGCTCCGGCCTCTACTTCCAAATATTAGCACAGAGTTCCTGCCCTGCCACACACCCTAGAGACCACAATGTTGATTCTCCATCAGAAATAACCTACACATCCAACTACAGGGGACAGGGTAAATGAATGGCCCAGGTATACAGTTCAGTATTATGTAGCTATTAAAAAGAAGGTTTTGGGTCGGGCACGGTGGCTCATGCCTGTAATCCTAGCACTCTGGAAGGCTGAGGCAGGAGGATCACTTGTGGCCAGGAGTTCAAGACCAGCCTGAGCAAGAGTGAGACCCTGTCTGTACAAAAAATGGAAAAGTAACCAGGCATGATGATACATGCCTATAGTCCCAGATACGCAGGAGGCTGGGGTAGGAGGATCCTTTAAGCCCAGGAGTTTGAGGTTACAGTGAGCTGTGATGATGCCATGACACTCTAGCCTGTGTAACATAGCAAGACTCTGTCTCTAAAAACAACAAAAAAATAAGGTTATGTAAGAATATCATGGAAAGATGTGACACATTGTCTCTTAAAAACATGGGTTGTTTAATGGTATAGTATTATCTCAGTTAAAGAGTGTGTGTGTGTGTGTGTGTGTGTGTGGTGTGTGTGTGTGTGTGTGTGTGTGTGTGTGTGTGTGTGTGTGTGTGTGTGTAAATGGCTAGAAATGTATGCCCAAATATGCTAGCAGGGCTTATTGCTAGCTGGTGGGATTATAAGTTATTTTAAATTTTTATTTTTGCTTGCCAGGTTTTTTTTCAGTTTTTAACAATAAAAGCATGATGTTTTATGATAGCACCAAGTTGGGGTTTGGGGGGGTTGTTTGTTTGTTTGTTTTCCCCTAACAGCCTGTCACTTTGCTTCTGTCCAAAACAATCAGACCTGACTTTCCTTGAGAATCTCCCTGCCTCATCTCCAGAAAATTGCGTGGCTTGTCCTTGGCCCCCTCTAGAATTGTCCATACAGAGTTCATATAAAAACTGCCATACCTGGGATAGTTCTGCATTTATTTGGTAAAATTGCTGTTGAAGACATTTTCCATTAGGTTCGAAGCCCCTCATGTAAAGCCCTAGGTAACTCCCACAGTTCAGGGCCAGAGAAAGTTTGTCTTTTGCAGTGAGGTACTTTCTCTCCTCAGACAGTGAGGGCTGTGTACAGCACTGAGACAGTGAGTGTCCCCAAGGACCCCCCAAGCAGCTGAGGAACTGGAGCCCCAAGCTCATCTGTGTTTACAGGGAGTCGCTTTCCTAACCTGAGCCGTCTGCAGTGATGTCTCCTTTCCTCTTCCTTTTAATGACTTCCTTTGTAATGACTTTCTTACACTTCATGTTATCCTTTTCTCACTGTAAGTCCTTTTTTAAATTTTTATTTTATTTTTCTTTCTAGTCACTGACTTGAAGCTCAAGGTTAAGTCCTTTTTGAAAGCAGGTGGGAACTAAACAACTGGAGTGTCCTTCCTCCATTATAACATAAGCTCCTTTAAAGCAGGAACTATGGCTTTTAATATGTATATCCCCGGCCCTAGAACAGGGTCTGATGCATAGCAAATGACCACTAAAGTTGAGTGAGTGGGTGGATGGGTGGATAAAGGATGGATGGATGGATGAAGGATGGATGGGAGGTTGAAGGTTGGATGGATGGGTGGATGGATGGATGAAGGATGGATAGATTGGTGGGTGGGTGGATGAAGGATGGATAAGTAAAGGATGGATGGATGGGTGGGTAGATGAAGGATGGACGGGTGGTGGGTGGATGAGTAACCACGGAGAACCAAGGTAGGAAGGGCTATTTCTATAGCACCATCCACAGAGCCTCTGTGGCATCCTGCAGTCTGCTCCCTCCTGGCCAGGCAGTTGCTGTGTTTCCTCCTGCTGCTCTGTTTGCTGACAGCCACCTCCCCTGAGAGGTGGAGCCGAGACCTGTCCTGACCTGGTCAGTGGTACCTAGCCCTGTTGGCTGGGTTCATACACTTGCCCTCCCAGCCCTATCCTCTCCCTCTTACCAGTTTCAGCTTTTACTAATTTGTCCATATTTTTGAAATGACAGTTGATTAGTAGCGATAACTGTATCCACAAGATCTGCATGGCCCTGGCTAAACACCTGCTTGGAGTAGCTTTAGTACTTCTGGTCAGGCTGTGCCTCGGTGGGGCTGTTCCTACAGGGTTCCTACTTGGGTAGCCTCCTGGGCTCATTTGTAAGAGGCTAGAGCCAGTGGGAAGGTACCCTAAACCACGTTTTCTAGCTGATCCAAAAACAAAGTCCTTAATTACTTATTTTACCTAGATGTAGTCCCTCTGTCACAGCTGCATGTTCCAGCACAGAGAGCATTAGCCAAGAGCCAAAAGACAGTGACTCTAGTCTTGACTCCCCCAGGATGCCCCATGCAGCTCTCTGTACAACAGGTTCAATACCTGCCCCTCCTCACTCCCAGGATAGTCGTGAAGGTCAACTGAAGTGTGTAGTACAGCCAATTGGAGAAAGAAAATACTAATTCTCTAGAGCATTTAAAAAGGCAGGTGAAAGAGGGTTTCTCGGAGTCCTAAGGGGTTGCTGTCACTGGTACGGCCACCAGCAGAGATTGGCTACTGTAGGAAAAACCACGTTGCATCCCATGCAGCTTGTTTCTTGTTCCAAAAAACCACTCCTATATCTGGTGAGTGTGGATGTGGGGACCCCCCCCCCCCGACTGAGCTCTGGAGTAGCGCGGTGGGATGTCTGCTCTAAGGGGAAATTAATCTCCCCCACCCCCGCCCCTGCCGCTGGCCCTGCCTGTTTCCTCCCGAGAGAGAGCATGTGAGCAAGCCTGTGCTTTTCCCTCTGCAGGAGCAGCTTGAGAACTACGATTTCACCAAATTCCACTCGCTGAAGCCCAAGCTGATCGAGGCCGTGGACAACATGCTGAGCAGCAAGATCTCGTCCCTGATGAACCTCATCAGCCAGGAGGAGATGAGCGTGCCCACGCAGCTCGTGCAGGGCGGCGCCTTCGACGGCACCTCCGAGGGCCCCTTCAACCACGGCTACGGGGAGGGCGCCAAGGAGGGCGCCGACGAGGAGGAGTGGGTTGTGGCCAAGGACAAGCCCGTCTACGACGAGCTCTTCTACACTCTGTCGCCTGTCAACGGCAAGATATCGGGCGTCAACGCCAAGAAGGAGATGGTGACCTCCAAGCTGCCCAACAGCGTCCTGGGCAAGATCTGGAAGCTGGCCGACTGTGACTGCGACGGCATGCTGGACGACGAGGAGTTTGCGCTGGCCAAGCACCTCATCAAGATCAAGCTGGACGGCTACGAGCTGCCCAACAGCCTGCCCCCCCACCTCGTGCCCCCGTCTCACAGGAAGTCCCTGACGAAGGCCGACTGAAGGGCAGGCTGCAGAGCGGGGCAGGCCATGGCAGGGGAATCAGGGGACCTGGGCTGAGGCCTGCTCTGCCACTGACTCACTGAATGACCTTGGGCAAGGCACTGCCCTCCCCATGCCTCGGTTTCCCCATCTGTAGAATGGGGAGGGCAGACACTGGACACTAGATGAGGTCCTTCAAAATTCCCTGAGTTTCTATTAAAATATTAGGGGGCCAAGGATGGGTCAGGAGATTGAAGGGTTCAGAAGAAAGGGACGTTGTCCAAAGATTCTCAGGAGCCTGGAGAAGCACATGGAGACCAGGGTTTGGCAGAATCCCAGGAACCTTGGGGGAGTGGGCTGGGGGCTCCCTGGGCTGTTTGTCATCACGAATGACCTCTGGAGCACCTGTCTGTCCCTCAGAGGGCACCGGGGGGCAGCAAAGATGATCTTATTTATTTTGTTTTCTGCTATATTTAGAGTGGAAAAAAATAGAGCAGAGGGTTTCTGCTCTCTCCAGACTGTCTACCAAAGAGAAGAAGACCGATGCCCCAGGTCTGGGAGGAGGGTGAGCTGTCTCTGTGCCCCGTCCCTTCTGCAGGCCCCAGCAGAGCAGGCAGCCAGGCCCAGGAGCGCATCTGTCCCAGTACCTGCTGACCAGCCCTCCCAGGCCTCCCTCCTGGGGCCTTCCCAGTAAAGCCGTATTTGATTAGGAATTCGGAACTCACAACCATTTTTAACCCCTGGCAAGACTTCCACTTTGCATTTCAAGTCATGTTGCAGTCTGAAGATTAACTTTTCTCACTGGTTTGTCCAATAAGTAGTAGCAAAGTCTATATACTTCAACTACGGTAAGGAAAAGAGGTGGTTCTCCTCAGTCATCACCTAGTGTGGCCCTGCCCCTCAACCGTTAAACGTCCCCAAGGCTCCTTGTTAGAAGGCAGGATTTAAAGTCAGCGAAAACCTGTCTTGGTGTGTGCAGTGTCCTAGGCCCTGTGGACACAGGTGGATGAGAGACCAGCCTTGCCCTGGGCTGGTGGGTAGTGAAGATCAGCCTGCCAGAGTTAGATGTTGTTTTTGTAGAAAGCAGGCATTTATTATGTCCAGTGTTGTTTTTTTTTTTCCTTACAGGATAAAAGTCTTTATACAGAAACAAAGTGGAATCTTTCATATAAAACCGTTTTCTCGAAGGCTCCGCAGTTCGTGTGTGCCTGGCACGACACAGGATTTGGGCGGTGATCTTTGCACTGGCTCTGAGTGTGCCTTCCCCAACTCCCCCGAGGACACCTCTGTGGGCCACTCATTCTGATGCCTGTGTCAGGGGCAGGTGGTCCATTCCTACCACCCTCCCTGCTCTGTGGGCACCAGCGCGGGGAGGCAGGTGCCTTTCACCATTATTTATGCAATAAGAGAGACACAAAACAGCAATGGCCGCATGGCGTGGGCCCTGCTGGCACCAGAAATAAATGGAATCAGAACAATCCCAGTGAACCTTCTAAAAACCATATAATTTTTTCTTGTCACCTGCCTGTGGTGACATCAAGGCCAGAGCTGCAGATTTAAGAGCAAATATTGCTGGGGGAAGCACTGATACCCAGATGCCAACCCTTACACTCCCTAGCTTACTTTTTTTCTTGTTTTAAGAGAAGTCAATGCATAATGTGGTTTTTTAGCCTTAATGAAAACTTTTAAATTAATTAAACACATAGAAAAGAAACACAACCCCAGTACTGTAATATGAGCAGATAGTTCTGTGAACGCGCAAGGACTGCCCCGAGTCTGTGAGCGCAGTGGAGACCACCAGAGGGTAAGTTGAGGAGAAGAGAGAGCTGGTTTGTCCAAAGGCTTAGCGATGCCAGTGAGGGCTGATTTTCCATTCAGAATCATCTTGCTGCTTAAACTCTGCTCAGTTGTCATATAGAAACAAATTTGTATAAATATATATGCCATGTGAGTATTTTTAAAATTTATCAATGTGTACATATGTAGATATGGCCAAGTTTTGTTTATATAGACATATAGGAACACTTTTTTAGGGGGCAGCAGTCTGAGGTTTCTGGTTTCTCCATGGAAGGAACCTTCTCGGGGCATTGTGATCTCCCCTACCCCACACCCTCAGATGGCAGAGACATCTGGCAGCTGAATTCTTTCTCTGCTGGGACTTGGTGATGTTCTTGGGGGAGGAGGGGGAAGGAAATTGTGTGTCCACTTTCTTAATACCCTCTCTTACAACACGAAGTCATTTATCATGAAAAGTTCACTGGGAAAGAAAACACTAGAAAACATCAGGGATGGTGACCAAGTGAGGACTTGCATCTTCCCAGGATGGCACAAAGTTCCTTGAGTCTGTGTCCAAACTGCCAGTTACCCTACGCAGCAGGGACTTGGGGCCACCCCCAGGGTCTGCTCCCCTTGGCTGTGTTGCCCTTCCCATGCCACCCCAAGTTTCAAAGAACCCCCTGCCCAGAGTGTTTATGGTGGCAGGCAGGGTGGAAGTGCCTAAACTCTAGAACCATAAAACTAGCTTAATGCACTCCAGGATTCCACAGAAGAAAATCTAAGCACCTTCAGGCCCTAACTTTCTACACAGCATGTAGCATCACGTAGCACGAACCTTGCAGTCTTGAGTTTAGAGAGAAAATGAAAACACTAGCCTGTTCCTCCCAAAGTCAACTTCCAAGTTGTCAACCTGCCCATGAGGTCCTCCTGACCCTATCTGCAAAGAAATGCTGCGCTTAGACTTATGGAAACTCCCCGGCTCCATGGGGACACATGCATGTCCCACCTGCTTTCGCCTCATGCTCCAACTGGCCAGCGTCTGTCAGTTCTTTTCTCTCAAGGCTCCAAACACACCGCACGCTTGGATGGCCCTGGAGCAGGGTCCCTCTGCAGGGGAGGGCCGTTCATTTAGTTCACTTCGTTTCTCCAAGGCTGGCCCCCGTTCTCTTTGAACACTGTCATTGTGCAGCAGTGGCATCTTTGGATTTGGGGCTGTGGTTCCTCCCGCAGGATCATAGGCCTTGAGGAGTTGAATTCTTACACTGTCCTGCAGCTGGGTGTCTGGGCAGGTGACAGCACGTGAGGAGAAGCACAATGCCTCCTGCTCCACGCCCAATCCCTGCCCTTTTCACCATCCCCCTGACCCCCAGAGGCCCCGCTGCCCTGACTGCAGTCCTCTCCCGAGGCTCTGCTGGGCCTCTAAGGGCGCCACCTCTCCGCCACACCCAGAGGTCATGCACTGGAGTCCACCGCCCAGGGCAGCTGCTGCCTGGAGCTTGCCACCTCACACATTATGCCCAGAGGGTACCCGGGACAAATTGCCTTCAAGAAGAGGAAAGCATTTTACTGCTTGTTCCCTCCATGGAATGTAGCAGAAGAATAACATTTTTAGGACACATGACCACTGAGTTTATTCAGTAACACATGGGCCTAATTTAAGAGTGTATCAGGTTACCTGTCAATTAACCCATGCAGTTAATACACAATGCTTCTATTTTTTTTCCTTTTGTAATCTTACTTAGAAGTGTCAAAAAAAAAACCACAATCTACTGATGAATAAACTTGTGGAAAATCACTACCATTCTCCCGTTGGCTCTGGCTTTGCAGTGACTGTGTGCCAGCCGTCTCGGGGGGAAAGTATGCACCCCTGGATCCAATTTGAAATGAGGTAGAGGAGTTAGGGTGGGCCTGTTACCCCAACCCCTCCTGCGCCCTCTGGTGGGGGAGGGGAGGCCCCTCAAATGGGGCTGCTCCGGAAGGAAAGCAGCCCCGCAGGGCTGGGGGCACAGGCCCAAGGGAGGCCCAGGCCCCACCTCAGAGTGGTTGGAAGCCAAGACAGGAGGGAGTCGTGGAGGGGGGTGCTTCAGGGGCTGGGACGAAGCATTGCTGAGCACTCTCTCAGTGGAAGAGGGAAGAGCCCCTGGGTGGCTGGCATCAGTTCTGCCTCTTGCCACACCTCGCAGGTGTGTCCTGCCCGTAGTAGGCATCTGGATTTTTCCCATTGGCACTATCTACTTTTGTGGTGATCTAGACCTGAATTTCCTTTGCAGAGCACTGCCCTCTTCCCACCCTCACTCTGAGCCATGAGGTTTGGGTGAGATAAACCCCTTGGTCACAGATACTGGTTCAGGAACAGACACATGGCCCAATTCAAGCCTATGAGCACCAGGCCCCCCAGACCTGTTTCAACTCTTGGGAGAGATGTTCTCACTTCTCTGAACCATGTAGTGTAAAAGAAGTGAGCCTATTGGTGCTACAATATAAATAGCATTAAGAGGAATGTCCAGAGCTGCTGGGCGCAGGGAAGGGAGGCCAGCCTGGCAAGAGCCACCCTGTGGAGCATGAAGATGAAGGCGGCATTGAGAAAGGCAGAGAAAATCCAGGCCTATGGTAATATCATTTGAGCTGCTGGATCAAGCCTCACCTGAAGTCCTAATCCTGCTGGATTTTTCAGTTACATGGGCCAGTACATTCCCTTTATATTATTTAAACCAGTTAAACTTGAGTTTTCAGTTTTACTTGCAACAGGAATAATCCAAACTTTGTACTGACCAACAGAGTTCTCAGCATTCCCCATGGGCTGCAATCGGTCACAGCCAAAGAGGAGCTGGTCCTTGCAGTGTGTGCAGTGGCTTTAGCTGCAGTTGAGATAGGGAGGAAGAAAAGCAGTCCCCCAGCCCCATCCAACAACTGCAAAAGCAGCAATTTCTGTCAAGATCTATCATGCACTTGAGCCTGTCCTCCGGTGCTCACAGTATCACATGAGACACCATGGGCCAAGGGTCTTAACAGGAGGAGAAACAAGCTCAGTCATCCCTGGGGTAAGGAGGTTGGGGAGGGTCTTCCTAGAAGAAGCAGGATTTTAACTGGGGCTGACAGGATAGGTGAGTGTGGACGATAGGCAAAGGGAAGAGACATTCTAAACTCATAGAAAGCTGATGCCCAGCCTTGGCACAGGAAAGCCATGCTCCTGTCCGGGAAGGGAGAGTAGACCACAGGGAGCACCCTAGGTTGAGTGGAGGGAGAGGACCCTGCTTGGGTAAACTGGGGGGCTGCAAAGGCCTTGTTCCAGCAAGGTCTGATGAGCCTGGTTTTCCTTGCAGGCAACGGGGAGTCCTCCCAGGTCGCACGGAGCTGTGCTTCAGAAAGGAACAGCGAGCGGGCGGTGGTGTGTGCAGGCTGAGGAGTCAGAGGACAGTGCTGAGGCCCTGCAGGGGCAGTGAGAGCAGAAGGGTGGGGCTCTGGGAGGCACAAGCGCAGCTGTCAGCGACAAGATCTGAGGCTGCAAGCAAGGAAGGGGTGCAGGCTCACCTCAAGCATCCAGAAGCCAGCCAGTGGCAGGAGGGACCTCGCAGAGAGAGGACAACAGGAGAGGAAGCATCTCTCGGACACGAGGGAGCTGCTCCCCTACCCAAGGCTACAGCACCTCTCAGCATGGCCACGCTGCCTATCTCGGGTCCCTGGGGGTCAGGTGTGACTCGCTGGGCATAGCTCTGGAGGGCAGGCCACGGCTGCCAGGAGCACCTCCCCGGGGAGCGGTGCCTCTCTTCTCAGAGGCTGTGGGGCTGCTGGGTGGACACACACACACACACACACACAGCCCAGCCCGATGGTTGCTACCCCAAGTTTGGCCAGAGAGCTGTGTGAAACCACCAGAGTCAGCACTGGCTTTCCCTCCGCGAGCAGTCCGAGAGGCAGGAGCCTGCCAGCTCCCCCTGCACCTGCTGCCTCCATACCTGGGCCACAGCTAACTCTGTGGTGCCCCAGAGTGAACACTGTGACTCTGGAGGAGACTCCACAGCCTTTGCAGTTCGGGTCACCCCTTCCCAGGGGGAGCCCCTGGCTTGGAAGAACATCCACCCTTCAGCACAGGCTAGGTAGGTTGCATTTCTGTCAGGGCCTGGAAAGCTAAGCCCCAGGTTTGAGAATGGCCTCTGTCTCTGGCCGTTCCCTCGGGTGTGTGAGAGGAAGATGGCCCAGCACTCTCCCTCCCAGCCACCACGTGGCTGCTCGCAGAGGCTCCTAGAGGGTGGAGAAGGGCAGCCCCATATTGGGAGTGGGTCCACACGCTTCCAAGAGGCTCTGCCCTTTGGTGCCACTTTCCCAGACCACAGTGCCCCTATGATGCCCCCACGAGCCGACAAGTCTGTCCCAAGGGCCTCTGTGTCCCGGGGCCAGGACCCCCACCTGGAGCTGGGGAAGTCGCTGGGGGTTGGGGGTAGATGATGAGGGAGGATGGGCAATGGGCCTGGAGCATTCTTGAGCCACCCCCTCCCAGTCTGCGCCACGCCCTGCAGCAGGTGGGAGGACAATGCAGCCTGTGTGCCGTCACCCCAACTCACTGGCTCAAGGGGAGGGCTGTGGCGCGGCCCCAGCTCCAGCCTCGGCCTCTCCTGATGTCTCTCCTCCCTGTGCAGTCCCTGCTAAATGCCATCTCCATCTGTCCATCAGAGCCTCCTCCCCAGGACCCAGACATCACCAAGGGAAGCAGTTTCCCGTTTTCCTTCCACCCGCCCCGGCCAACCCAAGGAGCAGCAGCCAGTCACTGTGGTTGAGGCACCTGGCGGCAGGGGCTCTGAGAAGAAGACTCTGGAAGGTAGGGTGAGGCAAAGGGGGCCTTGGGCCATTCAAGCACAGGTTACCAGCCAAGAGCACCAGACCTCACCTGGCTAGGCTCCAAACCACAACCCCACCAAATATGGGGTCAGTATGGCAAGGCAGGGCCCCCAGGCCCCTGGCAGAGGGGTCATGAATATCCACCTCCTCCCTGGACCTCCATGCCCCTAGGTGTCCAGGCTTAGGGAAAAGTCTAGTGGCCCCTTGTTCCCAAGGGCTGCAGGCCTGATGGTGGGTCAGCCCTGCGGTCCCCAGCAGCCCCTGCAGTGGGAGGCCCAGACACAGAGCTCTGGTTCCCCCCAGTCCAGGCCCCACCATGGACTGTGAGTATGAGATGGGCCACGTCCGTAAGCTGCAGGTACGGCACATGCAGATGCAGGAAAAGACTTTCACCAAGTGGATCAACAACATCTTCCAGCATGGCCAGGTGAGTGTAGCCAGGTGCATCCCGCGGCCCACCCCTATGGAGCCCCCAGCTCTGGCCAGTGGACCTGGGGGACAGGCTGTGGAGTCACCTGCCTGAGGCTTCTCTTGACCCCACAGCAGAGCTGAGGCCAGAGCTCCTTCCTCCAAAGCCGCTGCTCTGGGCCGCACCTCCCAGGTCCCAGGATGGTATGGACGGGGAAGGCGGGGCTGACCCTGTACCTTCCCCCGACCCCTCTCTAGGTGGGCATCAGGATCCAGAACCTGTATGCGGAGCTGGCGGATGGCACCCACCTACTGCGGCTGCTGGAGCTCATCTCAGGGGAGGCCCTGCCACCCCCAAGCCAGGGCCGCATGCGTGTGCACTTCCTTGAGAACAGCAGCCGAGCTCTGGCCTTCCTCAGGGCCAAGGTGAGCCTGGGGAAAGGGCTTCTGGGCGTGGTGCTGGGGCGGGCAGCTGGGACAGGCCAGAGACTGGATCGTCCTTCCTGGGCTGGCCGCAGGGCAGAGAAGAGGACCTGAGGCCCGTATAAAGGAGCAGCAGCTGGGGTGCAGAGGTGCAGGAAGCGAAGGCTGCCGCGACAGCGCTCCTGACTTGGAGGGCACCCGCTGGCCGAGGCAGGAACAAGCAGTATCCCTGCTAGGACTGAAAATGCCACTGTCTGTAATAAGAGCAGCACGGAACTCTAAGCCAAAAGGAGTTTAGTGTTCTCTTAACCTCCTCATTTCATAAATGAGGGAACAGAGGCGAGAATTATTCCCCAGGCAAGATCGATGGTTAACTGGCCAACAAAGCCCAGAAGTGGGGCCGTGGGAGTCCGGCAGGGAGAGGAAACAAAGGGAAGAGCCCCAGTAGTGTCGGGAGAGGTGCAGGGCCTGTCTTGGACAAAGGGGGAGAAGGGCCTTGGCAAACAGGAGGGAGCCAGAGTCACCGGAAAGAAAGGGACAAAGAGATCATCGCCAAAAGGAGACAAGAGCTCCGGGGACACAGAGGGACCCTCATGGCCAGTGTCAGGGGCTGTGCAAGGTGGGGCAAGGTAAAGGGGGCCCTGAGCAGGAGTCACTTATATTGAGAACCAAGGAAGACCAAGGGCTCTTGGAGGTGGCTGTCCCAGGAGGCTGTGACGTCTCTGAGCTGGAGCTGGCTGGACCAAGCCTGAGTATGTGTGTCCATCACTTATGTCCTAACATGGAGCTTACACTCGGCCACCTGGGAGCCTGTACTGAGGACAGCCAGGGAGGGAAGAAACCAAAGCAAAGGGAAGGGGAGTGATGGAGCCCCAGCACTCGCAAGAGCAGAAACTGGCAGCTGCAGAATGCCAGGCCTATTTGGTCCCAGGGACAATGACCCTGTGAGCCAGTCATCTCCCCTTCAGGACCGTGGGAAGGGTATGAGCCCCAGGGCCTTTTTCAGAGGCATTGTAGCTGTCCCTAAGCTTTGATATACAGCATGTCACTGATAGCTGTGGAGGTGACAACCTTGTCTCCAAGGCATATGAGACAACTGTGGTCAAGGACAGACAAGGGAGTTGGCCCCAAACACACAGTTAGTTGGTAAGTGGCAAAGTGGAGAATGACGCATTTGTGGAGACCTTGCCGTGCTCTGGGCGTTCTATGCCAGGCGCTGGGGATACAATAAGCAGAGTCCAGACCCTGAGCTCGAGGAACCTGTGGTTTCAACAGGAGACAGATCAACTGAACCCAGACCAGCAGGGTGCTGGTAAACGTTTAGTGACGGACTAGCGGGGGAAACAAAAGCTCTGGTTTGTAGTATTTGCTGATTTCTCCGGTGTCAATACTCCCATCGTGGCTAGTTCAAGCTACCAGCGTGCCATGGCTAAGCAGGAAGCTGGGAGGATTAGCTCTCACGGGCTGCTGGGAGCAGACTCGAACACCGCACCAACCAGAGGCTCCAACTCCAAGGCAAGGTAAATGCAGGAGGGACCGGCGTGCCAGGGACAGGAGGGAAGAGCCAGACAGAACAAAGTGCGCTGGGGACACAGCCCCTCCCACAGGCCAGTGGTCAGCTAAGCCAGTTGTCCTCCAGGTCTTAGGAGAGTCTCCTCTCCCTTCCTTTCTTCACTCAGTACTTGCTGGTTGATCACCTACCATGTGCCAGACACTCTACTAGGTCCTGGGATACATCAGGGACAAAACCAAGATCCCTCCCTGAGTAGGGAAAGGGATCAAGTGTGTGTATTTGGGTGGGCAAATGGCCCTCAGGTTTAAATAAGGTGGTCAGGGTGGGCCTTGTAGAAAAAGCCACATTTGAGCACAGACTTAGAGGAAGAGAGGGGAGGGGCCGTACAGCACCTGGGGGAATAATACTTTCATATGGAGGAACGGCCAGTGCACAGCCCTGGCTTAGGAACTCATGGAACCGTAGGAAGCGTGGGCCTTGGAGCTGTGGTTCAGGAAAGCGGAAGATGGAGCCACAGGGAAATGGGGGCCATTCCCTGCGGGGCTGTGATGTTTATTCTGTCTCCCTCCTTCTCGCCTTGAGTCCCTCATCCTCCCAGTCCTAGCGGCAAGATGGAGGGCAGAGAGTTGTCAACTCCAGTGCACTCGAGAACCACCCAGAGTGTTTGTGTAAATGCAAGTTCCTGGGCCCTGGCCCTCGAGACTCTGATTGGGTGGAGCTGGGGAATCTGAGTCTTTGACCAGCTGTGTTGGAGCCAGAACCCTGATGAAGAGGGCTGAGGTTCGGGTGTGAGCCCAGGGACCTAGCCACCCTGGAGACCCCAAGACAGCCTTGGAGGTGGAGGTGGACAGCTGCTGTGGTCTGTCTGGCTCACACATTGCCTGTTAAGACCCCTCATTTCCAACCCCCGTGGCTGAACCACTGACCCTTGCCTGGGTCTACCTGTAGCCCACCCACGGGAGTCCTTCCGTTCCAGTGGTCCAGCCCAGGTCACCAGGCTGGGGCTTTGTCCAGGTCGGTGTGGGGCCAATAGGCAGGAAGCCTTTGCCTTCTCAGCCCTGTCCCCTGCCTGCTTCTCCCTGGGGGAGCTCCAGGCTGGGCAGGATGGATTCCAGGACCATCCCACAGCCAGCCCCCGGGCCCATGGGCTGCACGGCTTAACCCAGCCAACTGTGCCCACAGGTGCCAATACCCCTCATCGGGCCAGAGAACATCGTGGATGGAGACCAGACGCTCATCCTGGGGCTCATCTGGGTCATCATTCTGCGTTTCCAGATTTCCCACATCACCCTGGACAGGGTATGTCCCAGCCCCAGTGCCCAGTGACCCAGCCCAGCCCTGGCCTCTCCCAGCTCTTATGACCCCCACCACAGGTCCTCGGAAAACACAAAATCAATAGTCCCTTTTCAACCACAGACAACCCAGAGCATTGGGGATATTGTAACATGCTAAAGTAAGAACTCGAGCCGTGGGCTCCAAACCTGGCCTGGGCAAGTTACCCACTAGGCACGGAGTCAGGGTGCCCGCCAGCTGGCACTTTCACCCCTGCGCGCTGCTCTCTGCTTGGCACTGAGGCTCTGTAACTCCCACCACACCGCGGCACACCGCGGGGGCAACGACCTGTGTGGGGGCTCCCAGCTCTGCCGGTTTACGAGGTCCCCGGCATCCTGAAGACCAAAGAGACAGTATGTCCTTCATGGGCCCCCAGCCTCCTCCATTCTACTTCTTTTTCCCACAACTGGATCAGGAGGAGTATAAAGTCCTTATATTTATCAATTTTCACAGTTTCATGGGATCCAAAATCCCCCCTAAAACTCAATTCCAGTAGGTTAGGAAAGCCAACCTAGGGAACAAACTCTAATGAAAAGAAGCCACAAATTTGGCACAAATCCAGGAGGACCCTGGAAACTCATGATGTGACCGTGAGCCCCAGGAGAGTGGGAGCCTTGCCTGCCTGTGTCCCCAGGGCTGAGCACCTATGCGGGGACTGAAGGGACAGAAGAATTGCTAGCTCAGCCCTTCTAGGAAGCTGCGCTCACCTCGCCAGGCTCCCAAGCCTGTTCCAGGGGCACCCTGCAGCCGTCCTCTTGGGACCAGAAGTGCTCATCACCCCTCCACCCCCATCAGCCACCGTCCTCCCTGCTGGCTCTGCTGTCTGCAGCCACCTCGGGCCCTGCTCCCGATGACTCAGAGCCTTCCTCCCAGGCTGGCCCCACTCCCTCACCTGCCCCCAGCACGAGGCTCCTCTTCTGCTCCCGCCCCTCCTGCTTGGGCTGCTGAGGAACTGCTGGCAAGGGGAGCTCACAGGAGAGAACGGGGAGAGACAATGGGGAGAGAGGGGGAGAGGAAAAGAGGCTCTGGGGGTAAGGGCGACAGGGACTGGGAAAGGAGTCTGAGAAGGGAGGAAGGGAGGGAAAGAAGCCCCGGGGTGGAAGAGAGATGGGATGGGGGCAGGTAGAAGCCAGGAGAAGCAGAACACCGACACCTTGAACAAGAGGGACGAGCAGGGCGGCAGGGGATGGAAACCAGCGGCAGCTGAGTCACTGCCCAGCCTGAGGTGCCCACAAGGCACTAAGCATGGCAGGAGGTGGCCCACTGGACGTTCCTGGGTCCAGGCCAGCTCCCCTTACCAGCTAGGGGACCTTGGGTAGCTTCCTAGGTTTTCTTACTGCACCTCGTCCACTGACCGTAGGGCATAAATACTAACAGTGTCTACTTACAGGGCTGTGAGGGGCTGGCAGGTGACAGGAACTGGTCTAAATGAGGCCCAACTTCAATCCTGTGAGGCCAAGGTCAGTTAGCACAATGCCAGGGCCATCGGAAGGGCTCCAACATGGGAGCTATTGCTGTGTGGTCACCGGCTGTGACGCAAAGCCAGCTGCCCTGCAGTGACAGCTTTCAGGTGCCCCACTTCTTTGAAAGGACAGTGTTGCTCCCCCCCAGCCACCCCCATCCCTGCCCACCACAGATGAAGCGGGTAAAATCAGATGCTCTGAAGACAGAAAAGTCAGCACCAGCCCCCAGGCAAGCAGGAGAAGGACCCCGGCCATGCCTGTCTGCCTCTCCGCAGCCTGCAGGCTCTGCTCCTCCCCACCCTGTCCCCGCATGGTGATCCTGTGCCCTCTTCCACCAGGAGGAGTTCGGGGCCAGCGCAGCCCTGCTATCTGCCAAGGAAGCTCTGCTGGTCTGGTGCCAGCGGAAGACAGCCCGCTACAGCAACGTGAACATCATCGACTTCTCCCGCAGCTGGAGCGATGGGCTGGGCTTCAACGCCCTCATCCATGCCCACAGGTGTGACCTGGCCAGGCCCTCCTGGGAGGCTCCACCACTGAGCCCAGAACTCCAGGGACTGGTCCTCAACCTGCTCAGTCTCCCACAGACTCTGCCCCCGGGCCCCGACAGAGGAGGAAAGTAGGCACAAAAGTAGAGAGGGTGGGTGGCTGAGTCCCTCGCCTGGGTCAGCCCCTCCCTTCCCTAGGAAATGCCATGGGATTGGCCAAGTGCCTTGGACGGCGGCCTTCCCCACTTCCGTGCCCCTCAGTTCTACTCACAGTCTTCCCCCTGGCAAGTACCTGCTCTTTGGAGCTTCTCCCCCTCCCACCGGCCTGGCCCCTATGCCAAATTAACCCTCCTCCTTCTCCATTAGCATCCTGTGCCTTCAGCCAGGGTCTCAGATAACTGTCAGGGGAAACGGAATTCACAGTAAGGTGTGACTGACCAGTAGGAGCACCAGTGCATTTAAAATCTACTTAAACCAAAGCTGTCGGTCCCTGCCAGTGAGCAGCCCTTCCTGCTCTCTGTCCAGGCCAGACCTGTTGGACTACAGCTCCCTGACTCCAGACCGGCCACTGCACAACCTCGCCCTTGCTTTCCATGTGGCTGAGCGGGAGCTGGGCATTGCTCAGCTGCTAGACCCTGAGGACGTGGCGGCCCCGCAGGCCGATGAGCGCTCCATCATGACCTACGTCTCCCTCTGCTACCACTGCTTCTCCCGCCTGCAGCGCGGGCAGACCATCCAGAGGAGACTCACTAAGGTGGGTGACATAGGGAAGCCGCCAGCCACAGGGGACCATGGCACTGAGCAGAGGTGACGTGAGCGTGGGTTCCACAGTCAGGCAGGCCTGGGTTTCAAGCCTGCCCCTGCCACTTACTAACTGTGTGGCCTTAGCCAAGTCACCTAACTTCTCTGTGCTCCCTTTGTAGCGTGGAAATGATAATGTCTGGATCATAGAAGCCCATTGTGAGTGTTCAAGGGCGCACAAGTGAAGTGTCCAGCACACAAGGGAAGTCAGAGGAGGAATGTCCCTTCCTGTCCCTGCCTGTCCCCCTCTACTCTCAGGCTGTTAAGCGCCTAATGGGATTAAAAAGCTTAGAGAGCTGGGAGTCTGCAAGGACAGACATAGAAGAGCCTCTGCTGGGTGAACGCTACGCTGATCCATGTTTGGGGGGGGCTTTCTTACCCTCTGGACACGATGGCAGAGGCTGAGGCCTGCACAGGCTGTTCTCAGGGTTGGTGTCTTGGTGGGGGGTGCAGGGATGGCACAGACCAGGGGCTCTGAGCTGCTTTCGCAGAGTGGGGAGCTCGGGAAAGGGAAAGAAGGCTCTTAACCCCCAGAGGTGAGTCCAAGTAGGGTAAGATAAGAGGAGGAAAGCAGGCCAGTCTCACCCCCCAGTCATGGAGAGGAAGCCCCACGCTTCTCCGGGGCTTGGGTGCCACCACTTCAGTGCCTCCTCAGCAGAGGGCAGGAGCTGCAGCCCACCTGCAATCCTGGCCAGCACTCCGAGTCCAGAGGGGAGCGCCTCCATCCCAGGGCCTGCCCCAGATGCCGCCCTGACACTTGCCCATGCCCTCCGCCAGATCCTGCTTCAGCTCCAGGAGACAGAGGCGCTGCAGACCCAGTACGAGCTGCTGGTGGCCGACCTGCTATGCTGGATTGCAGAGAAGCAGGTGCAGCTGGAGGCACAGGATTTCCCAGACACCCTGCCTGCGGTGCGCCAGCTACTGGTGGCCTTTGCCTCCTTCCGCACCCAGGAGAAGCCACCTCGGCTGCAGCAGCGAGGGACCGCTGAGGCCCTGCTCTTCCGGCTGCAGACAGCACTCCGAGCCCAGAACCGCAGGCCCTTCCTGCCTCGTGAGGGCCTGAGCCCAGTGGAGCTCTCCCAGCGCTGGGCAGGGCTGGAGCGGGCAGAGGCCACACGGAGCCAGGCTCTGCAGCAGAGGCTACTGCAGCTGGAGCGGCTGGAAACCCTGGCCCGGCACTTCCAGCGCAAGGCAGCCCTCCGGGAGAGCTTCCTAAAGGACGCAGAGCAGGTGCTGGAGCAGGCCAGAGCCCCACCAGCCAGCCCAGCCACAGTGGAGGCGGCCATCCAGAGGCTGGGCATGCTGGAGGCTGGCATCCTGCCCCAGGAGGGGCGCTTCCAGGCCCTGGCCGAGATTGCAGACATCCTCCAGCAGGAGCAGTACCACAGCTGGGTAGATGTGGCCCGTAGGTGAGCTGCAGCACCTGAACTGACCCCACAACAAGCTTAGGCTTTCCCGCCACACCCCATCCTTACAGGTGCCCCCTTCTGGCCACAGAAGAGAGAGGTGATTTGTGGGTTCGGGGCTCCCTCTAGGAAGATCTATCTCCCAGTGACACTTGAAATTCCACCATCAGTCATTCATCCCCTTTTTATAAAGCACTGTCCTTCCTAGGCAGCTGCTGACTGATTCATTCACTAAACACACATTTAGAGTGTCTACTACGTCCCGTGCACTGTTCTGGGTGCTGGAGATTGAGCAGGGGCGGGCAAACAAAAATCCCTCCCCTTGTGAAGCGTACACGCTACTAAGGAAAGCAGACAAAGAAAGGAAAATACATAAGAGATAGTGATAAAAAAATAATAAAGCAGGATAGGGGGATACGAGGTGCCACAGTGGTGGCAGAGGGGAGGATTGATCAGGTGGCCACCTTCCAGTTGCTGGGAAGTTCACTTTTAAGTAAAGAACAGAAGGAAGTAAGGGGCTGGTCATGTCGATGCTGGGGACAGAGGATTCTAGGCAGAGGGAACAGCAAGTGCAGTGCCCCAAGGAGGACACATGCTATTTTGAAAAACAGTATGGAGACCAGTGTTGGCCAAAGTGAATGAGTAGCAGGGAATGAGACCAGGGAGATACAGGGGTGAGGGGTGGGGGCAGAGGTCATGCTGGGCCTTGCAGGGTACAGTAGAGACTTGGTTTTTTACTCAGATGGCCAATCATTGGGGGGTTGAGCAGAGGAGCGACACAACCTGACTTTTGTTTTGTGATAATCACCTGGATGCTGTGTTAGGACCAGATTGAGGCAACACAGGCAGAAGCAGAGAGAGCCACTATGAAGCCGTTCCAGGATAGAGAGGCAGTGGAGGTGGGGTTCTGGATAGATTTGGAAGGTAGCTCCACATGGGATTTGTAGACAGATCAGATGTGGGTGTGAGAAAGTGAGTTATCGAGATTTTCGTCTGGGCACCTGAAAGGCTGGGGTTTTCATTAACGGAGATGGGGATTAGATGGTAGGGAGGTCTTAAAGGCCTAAAACTTCCAGGCCCTCCTTCTGGCTTCTCTGCCTGTGTCCAAGGGCAGGACGCACTGCCCCAGCCCCCCCATGCCAGGATGCTCAGAGCATCCACAGACCCTGCCCCCAGCCACAGAAGTCGGACTCCTCCAGGGCAAGCCCCACCACTGGCCAAGAACCCCAAGGTAGCTTCCCTGCCCCAGCCCAGGGGAGACCTCCCTTATTCTCATGTCCTCCAGGAAAGGAGAGCTCACCCTGCGCTGGCAGAGGCTCCTTCAGCGCCTACAGGGACAGAGGAGGCAGGTGGCAGGCATGCAGGCTGTGCTGAGCCTGCTGCAAGAGGTGGAGGCCGCCTCTGACCAGCTCAAGGAGCTACAGGTGGGCACTGGACCAGCAGACCTTCAGGAGACACAGCAGGGTGGGGGACTTTCCCCAGCACTGGCGCTCACAGGCACCCAGCACCCTGGGACTGCAATGACGACTTGTCTCTGGCCAGGTGCTGGCCAGCTCCACCGCCTGTGGGCAGCAGCTGGCAGAGACAGTGGAGCTGCTGCAGAGGCATGACCTGCTGGAGGCCCAGGTCTCAGCCCATGGAGCCCACGTGAGCCACCTCGTCCACCAGACCACAGAGCTGGACTCCTCCCTGGGCGCCGCTGTGGAGGTGCTGCAAGCCAAGGCCACGGCTCTGGCCCAGCTCCACCAGCGCCTGGTGGCTCTTGCCAGAGCACGGTAAGAGCCCTCCCCAACTCCTCCACCTTCTCTAGAACTTTTCTGTAGCTCAAATTCTCTCCTGCCCAGGTGAAAGTATGAAAATATTGCCTGCCTGGCAGCTTTGTCTACAGAGCCCTTACCTCTGAGCCTTTGTCTAACCTATTGAGTCACCCAGGGAAAGGAAAATCCTGAGGGGAGTGTCTGACCCCGGTGGGGAAACCCCTCCCCATGCCCTGCCACTCCCAACCCCTCGGTGGCCCTTGCTGGCCCTCAGGCGGGGGCTCCTGGAGCAGACCCTGCAGAGGGCAGAGTTCCTACACAGCTGTGAGGAGGAGGACGCCTGGCTGCGGGAGCGCACGCGGCTGGTGGAGAACGCAGCCCTGGGCCGGGACCTCGGCCAGATCGCAAACGCCCTGCAGAAACACAAGGTGTCCGCTCCCCTCGTGCCCTGCCGCCGCCAACTCCCTGCCAGTCCTCTCGGGCCCCCGGGCCCTCCCCCTGTCTCCCTTCACTGAGCCCCCTGCTCTGACCCCGCCAGGCTTTGGACGCCGAGCTCCACCGCCACCACGCCGTGTGCGCGGAACTCGTGCGGAGGGGGCGCGACCTCGGCGCCCGCGGGTCCCCAACGCAGGGGGATCTTTGGGAACGCGCGGAGGCGGTGCAGGGCGAGTGGCAGCTGCTCCGGACCCGGGTGGCGTGGCGGGGCGCGCGACTGCAGACAGCCCTGCTGGTCCGGCAGGTAGCAGGGTGGAGCCGGGCAGCCAGGTGGTCCGGGCGGGGCGGGGCATGCAGGCACCTGCGGACTCTCCGCCCCGCCCCTGCTCCCTTGCAGTACTTGGCCGACGCTGCAGAAGCGACCTTGTGGCTGCGCGAGCAGCGCTCTTCGCTGGAGAGCCGGCCTTGCGGGCAGGACCAGGCGGCTGCCGAGGCCCTGCTGCGGCGCCACGTGCGGCTGGAGCGCGCTGTGCGGGCCTTCGCCTCCGAGCTGCGGCGACTGGACGAGCAGGCGCGGGCGGCCGCGGCCCGGGCGTCGCTCACGGTGCGGGCAGGAACCGGGAAGGGACCCAGACTCCAGCGCCTCCAAGACGAATGCGGGTGTAGTCTCTGCTAGGCGTCTCGTCCCCCATGCTCCACCGCCGCCGGACCACACAGAGGGCAGAAATGGGAAGGTCTGGCCGGCGCGCTGGCTCACGCCTGCAATCCCAGCACTCTGGGAGGCTGAGGCGCGGGACCTCTTGAGGTCAGAAGTTCGAGACCAGCCTCAGCAAGAGCAACACCCCATCTCTACTAACAATAGAAAACATTAGCGGGGCAACTAAAAATAGAAAGAATTATCGAGGCGTGGTGGTGCTCACCTGTAGTCCCAGCTACTCAGGAGGCTGAGGCAGCAGGATCGCTTGAGCCCAGGAGTTTGAGGTTGCTGTGAGCTAGGCTGACACCACAGCACTCTAGCCAGGGCCACAGAGCTAGACTTTTTCTCCAAAACAAAAAAACAAACAAAAACGGGAGAGTCTTTGTGGCCCCTGCCCAGGGAATCAGGAATCGTGGCCCTCCCCTGGATTTGGGTGCCTCCTCCCGAGTCCTGAGTGGAATCTCACCTGCTGACCCAGCCCAGAAGTAGTGGAATCCTGTCTGCCTGCGTGAATCAAGGTCATCTGAGTAGGGCCTGGCTTGGCTCACTTTGCCCAACACAGTTTCAGAGCATTAAGCAGGTTCCTCCAGGAATGTCCCCTTTACTTTCACCACCAGGCCCAAGTGACCCTTAATCCCCATTTGACTCTCTTGACTTAGCTCTTGCTGGTTTGGGGCAGCCTAATCACGGCATCAGACTGTTTTCTAAAACCCCTTCCTCGTCCCATCAAGCCCCCAGTCCTGACAAGCACATGGGTGGTAGGCAGTTGGATCCAGCCCCATGGAGGGTTTGCAGCCCCCTTTCAAGAAGCTGCGTATGTAGCTCCAGATGTGGAAATCAAAGCCCCCAGACCCTGTGCTCCCATTGGGTCCTCTGCCCTCATCCCTAAGGAAGCTCTGTGTCCCAGAGCCTTTCTCTGCGCAGCCATGTCTTGTGTACCCTCTGAACTGCAGGGCAGGCCCTCCGGATCTCAGGAGGCGGCCTGGCAGCGCTGCTGCCTCTTGGCGGGAGCCCCCTCTAGACACACTTCCCTCCGTCCGCACAGGTGATGTCTGCCCTAAGCCCTCCCGGAGAAAGCCTCAGGAACCCAGGGACCTGGAGTGAGGCTTCCTGTCACTCTGGCCCCAGCATCGCCTGGAAGATGGCCTTCCCAGCTGAGCTTGACCCTGACCTTGACGCCAACACCATACTCCAAACACAGGATTGCTTGAGCCAGGACTATGAGGGGCTGCGGGCCCTGGCAGAGGTAGTACTCCTTGTTCAACAAACGTTTATCGAGCACCTACCCCATGCTAGACCCTGTGGCACAATCCCAGGGGACAGAGCAGTGACTGACATGCTCCCTGCCCTTAAGGAGCTTTCATGATGGCCAAGGAGATATCCAACAAGTCATTAGGTGGATGCGGCTGTGATGGGAGCCCAGGTCTGGCTGGGGGTCAGGGGAGGCACCTCCAGGGAAAGGACATTTAAGCTGAGACTTGAACTCTGAGAAGCAGAGAGCAGGTACAGCCAGAGGTGCTCGCCAGGACCTGTACAAAGGCAGGAAGGAGGCCAGTGGAGGGAGCAAAGGCCCAGGTGCCTGGAGCACAGAGGCTGGGGAGGCAGTGGCCAGAGGAGAGCCAGAGAGGCAGGTGGGGCCCGGCCAGGCAGAGCCAAGGCCCACAGGAGAAGTGTGGATTTTACCTACGAGCAGGGCTGGCACCAAGGGGTTCAAGCAGGGCAAGACCAGATGAGGGTGAACTCTGCCAGTGCCCTTTACGCGGACCCTAAGCTCTCCCCAGCTCTGTCCAGTGGGTGCTGAGAGGACTCTTAGAGAGGATGTGGGGCCCAGCAGTGGGGCAGGGACCCCCTCTGGCCCTGACCCTGGGCTCTGCTGGTGGGCTGCCGTGGGGAGGAGAGCCCCCTGGGCCTGCTCTGGGGCCCTGGGGAAGGCCCTGACCCTCACCCAGCCCTGGGCCGCCTTTCCTAGCTCCGCAGGGCCCGCTTGGAGGAGATGGTGGCCCTGTTTGGCTTCTATAGCTCCTGTGGGGAGCTGCAGTCATGGCTGGAGGAGCAGACGGCACTGTTCCAAACACTGCAGCCCCAGCCCGACAACCTGGAGGTCACGCAGCTGAAATACGAGGTACAGCCCCTGGAAGCTGAGAGGCTCTCAGATGCACGGCCCCTCTTTACCTGGCTCCTGCCTCCCTATCCTCCACCGCTGTGCTCGGTTCTCCCTCTTAATGATGGTCCTGTCTGGGGGAGGGGAGCTTGAATTTTGAGGCCCTTCCCGAACCTTTAAGGACTCGGATGGCTGTCCTTCCAGAGGCAGGCAGGGGGGGCATCCCTGTAGCAGAGAGCACGTCTAAGGTCCTTCATAGTCTTGAGGGGAGGTGGGAGGCAGAAAAAGCCCCCCAGAGGCCTGGGGCCTCCTTTTCCCCAGAACTTCCTCAGGGCCCTGGCCGTGGGAAGGGGCCGCTGGGCTGAGGTCAGCAGCTCTGCTGAGCAACTGAAGCAGAGACGTCCTGGGGACGCCACAAAAATCCAGCAGCAACAGGAGGAACTGAGGCGGAGGTGAGAATGGGGGCAGTGCAGGGTGCTGGGGTAGGTGGACACAGAGGAGAGGCGGGACGTGTCAGAGATAGGGAGGAGAGGGCAGGGGACAGCCAGCCTGGCAGCTTCTGTCGTGGGAGCCTCTGGCCAAAGCCCCAGGGTCATGGGGAGGTGTCCCTGTGATGCAGACACCCCATGCCCTCTGCCCAGGTGGGGGCAGCTAGAGGCCCTGAAGGAGGAGCGGGCCACCCAGCTGGCACGCGCAGCGGAAGTATGCAGTGTTCTGCAGCAGTGTGGACCCACACGGGCCCAGCTGCAAGACGTGATACTCAAGCTGGAAGCCCTGCAGCCGGGGAGCTCAGGGGACACCCACCACACCCTGCACCTGGCCCAGCAGAGGATCCTGGTGCTGGAGAGGCGGATCCATGGCCTTCAGAGGGTGGCCGTAAAGTAGGGATGGGTTGAGCACAGTCAGGGTGCACCGGGAGGCGGTGATGGGTGGGGGAGGCTGAGCAGGGCGATGGAGCAAGGAAGGGGAAGAGAACTGGGCTGGGGAGAGGATGGGCAGGATGTGCTGTCAGGAGGGCTCAGGCAAAGGTGGGGTGGATGTCAGTGTGAGAAGACGCTCCCGGGGAAAGGAAGAACGATGTGTTCTCACTGTCCCTAGGTCGAGGGAGGGGTGGACATTCAGGGTCATCACCGTTGTTCCTGGGGAGCATGGGCCTGGACAGGGAACACACGCCTGAGGCACGGGGCCCAGGGCAGGCCACTGACCATACAGTGGGCCTTGTCTCCCAGGGCCGAGGAGCCAGGCCCCACAGAGAGCCGGTCCCTGCACGAACAGGTGGAGACGCTGCAGGGGCTGCTGAAGCGAGCACAGGGACAAGAGGCCCAATGGGCCCAGGTCCAGGCCGAGGCTTGGGCCCGGCAAAACGTCCTGCAGGAGAGCCGGCTGCTGCGGCTGTGGGCAGAGAGCCTCCAGGCTCAGCTGAGCAGTAAGGAGGAGCCGGTGGACATGGCCTCGGCCCAGCGGCTGCTGGGGGAGCACCAGGACCTGTGGGAGGACATCCGCCTGCAGCAGGAGAGGTCAGGACAGGGGGCGGACAGAGTGCACTTGGGACTGGGGACCCTCCCCTGGGACTACGATACCCACCTCCTCAGTATGGCGGTGCCTCTCCTCCTGCGGGGACGATGCCATGGGCTGACAGGCCACCAGGGCCACTGCGTGCAGCCCTGTGTGCCCTGCCTGAGGGAGTTTGACAGATGCTCAGGTGGGCACTGAAACCCGCCCTGTCCTCTGCTTGCCACACTCCACTGCCTGGCTCAGGCTGCAGCCGCTCAGAGGAAGTGGAGCCTTTTTCGAGTTCACACAGTGGCGTAACCTGTTCCCATGCTATGTGGCTGCACCCAGCTGAAAGGGACGCCTTTTCAAATTGCTCAAAGGCTCCATGTGGGCTTGCAGTGGCCCTGAGCGATTTTTCACTGAGTTGTGCTGCCTCAGCGTACGCACTTGCCTGGGTATTGGCCACTAGTGGTCCACGCCTGCAGAGTGGCCAGGGGGCGCAGGTAGGGAGCATGGGAACTCTGAGTCTAAGCACTGTGCTGGGCCCATTACATTCAATGTTTCATTCGTGGGCCAGGGCGCAGCTGTCCCATGGGACAAGTGAATCAGCTGGAGTGACCAGCCTCAGACCCTCCGCCAGTTACCCTTGCATCAGAGCTCCCAGATGAGCTAGCCCTGCCAGCGAGAGGGGCAGGAGGCTGGTGAGGGAAGCCAGATGGGGTCTGACCCTCGGCCTGTTGTCCTGGCCAGCCTGCGGCAGCTGGAGGCTCAGAGCCAGCCTGTGGCAGCCCTGGACTCCCCAGACACCCAAGAGGTGGCCAGTGCTCTGAGGCTGCTGGGCCAGCAAGGCCGGGAGCTGCAGGCTGCGTGGGAACAGAGGCAGCGGCGGCTGCAGGAAGGGTTGGAGCTGCAGAGGTTTGGCCGAGAAGTGGATGGTTTCACCGCCACCTGTGCCAACCACAAGGCCTTCCTTGACCTGGACAACCTCGGGGTATGGAGCGGGGGTACATGGAGCCAGGGTATTGCTCTCCCATCCCTGGAGGGAGCACATCCCCTTAGGTCCAGAAGCCAGGCTGGGCAAGAGGCCCCTGGGGCAGTGGGGGGTGAGATGGTGCTGACATCATCCTCCCAGGCATGACCTCAGATCTCTGCACCCCAGGAGGACGTGCAGGAAGCCCAGAGCCTGCTGCAGCAGCAGCGGGAGTTTGGGCAGCTCCTGGGCACCCTGGGCCCTCGGGCAGAAGCTCTGCAGGCACATGGAGAGAAGCTGGTTCAGAGCCAACACCCTGCTGCACACAAGTGAGCCCAGCCCCCGTCTGTAGCGCCAGCGGCCCTGTCCTCCTCAGCCTGCACAGAAGGCCGCCCTGAGGCCGGCGGTGGGGAGGGCAGAGTGGAGCCCTCCCCCACACCCTCCCCACCCCTCTGCCCACCCTGCAGGATCAGAGAGCAGCTGCAGGATGCCCAGGCGCAGTGGACCAGGCTCCAGGAGAGGAGTGAGCAGAGGAGGCGGCAGCTGCTGGCTTCCCTCCAGTTCCAGGTAAGGGCCGGTGCAGGGGCACAAGGCCTCTCTGAGAGGAATGCCTAAGGGTCCCCTCTGCACCAGTGACCGTGAGACCCTGCGGAGCACTTCGCAGTTTGCAGCACTTTCCCACAACCCCTCCTGTGAGGCAGGCAGCCTGGGTCAGGCTTTTCCCGATTAGGAAAACAGGCTGTGTCCACGCCACACTCAGAGACAGGGCTGGGCCTGAAGCACAGGCCTCTTGGCTGACTCCCACACACTCCCTCATCCCACTGCCCCCTGCCCACTGCCCCCAGCATCTCATGCCACACTTCAGGATCTTGTGTAGTCACAGGCACAGCTGCAGACCTAGCCTCTGTCCGTCTTTGTTCGCCCCCCAGAGTGGCCAAGGCCAGGCCAGGCCCCAGGCCTCCCAGAGCTTCAGTCTCTTTGGAAGGATGTGGCCATACGTGATCTGATGTGGGCTGGAGGACCTGAAGGCGTTCCTCCTCTCTAGGCAAAGTGCACCTGTCCCCATTTACCCCATGTAACCTCAATCTCCACCTCTCTTGCACCCCAGAATTGGCTCAGGTCCTGCTTTTGCCATGGGGGTCCCTGAGAGCCCTCTCCCTAGAGGTAAGTTCTTGCACCAGCCCTTGCCCCTGGGCTGAGACCCCCTGTCCCCCGGTTCTTGGCAGGAATGGAAGCGGGATGTGGCGGAGCTGGTGCTGTGGCTGGAGGGGAAGGTGCTGACCGCAGCGGAGGAGCCCTCCCGAGCACCCAGCAACATCCCACAGAAACTCAGGCGGCACAAAGCAGCCAAGAGCGAGCTGCTGGCCAACCGTGGACACATGGAGCATCTGCAGCAGGTGGGGATATGGGACAGAGGGTGCAAGGCCTCTTCATCTTCAAATCCCCAACCCACGCTCTGCTACCTGTTTTCCTGGATCACGGTTGCTGGAGGAAGGATCGACCTCAGTTACCATGGGGCTAGGATCCCCCTCTGCCTCCTCCCCTGTGCTGACACCCCCTTGCCTGGACACCTTCCCCTGCAGCTCTCCAGGGCGAGTCCCAGAGCCTGCCACCTCCACCAGAACAAAGCTCTTCCCACCCACCAACCCAGTGCCAGCCCACCCTCCTCTACCTGCGGGGCTCAGGGAAAAGCCCTCCTACCTCTGCCCACAGTTTGGGGGCCACATGAACTGCTTGAGTCTAGACAGCCTGTGGAATGTGGCTTGTGGCCAGCCACCCCCCACCTCTGCCACCTGGGTCCAGCCTTCTGTGGCCACTCATGGTGTCCACAGCTCAGCAAAACTTCTGGGCCTTTGTCTCCACTCCAGGTTGGGCAACAGCTGCTGAGCAGCACGCCCCATGGCCAAGAGGACATACAGTCCAGGCTGCAGGGCCTGAGCAGCAAGTGGGAAGAGCTGAACCGCAAGATGGCAGAGTGTGGGGACAAGCTCCGGCAGGCAAGACAGCAGGAGCAGCTCCTGAGGCAGCTGCAGGTCCGCTGGAGAGAGGGCCAGGGCACAAGAGGGAAACTGAGGCTGGGCTGGGCTGGGAGTGGGCAGGGAGAAAGGGGAGGGGAGGAGTCTGGGCATTCTGTTAACTCTGGAGCGGCCCCATCAAGCCCTGCAGCCTCTGGAGGTCTCTGGCCTATGCCCAGTTGAGCGTGGCTTCACCCACCAAGGGGCCAACACAGGATTGTCTCCCGTGTGCCCAGTGTGTGGTCAGCACAGCTTGAGTCCCCTGGGGAGGAAGAAGCATGAGGGGACAGGGGAAGGTTTGGGCACTGCTGGTTGGGGATTGACTGGAGGGGACAGGAGTCCCCAGTAGCTCCCACATGAATCTGGTGCTACATGTACTGCAGTCTTGGAGTCCAAGGGCCACCTGCTATGGCGCATGTGGAGAGTCTAGAGCAGCCCCTGCATCCTTCCCCAGGATGTGAAGGACAAGATGGAGCAGCTCGAGGGGGCCCTGCAGAGCGCAGAAATGGGGCAGGACCTGTGCTCGAGCCGCAGGCTGCAGACACGGCACAGCCAACTGGAAAGCAAGAGCCGGGCACTGGTCGGCCAGCTGGCTGCCCTTGTCTCCCAGGCCCATCGTGTGGTCGCTTCCCAGGCTGTCCTGGAGGAGACCCAGAAGTACCTCCAGAGGTGGGGCCCTGCCCACACACCCGCCTGTTTGTCCCAACTCACCCCACTATGTGCCGCTCCCCCCATGTGGACTTAAGGGCCAGCAGGGTGGCACCTACAGGACCTGGGGGAGGGGTCATTCCTAGGGTGGGAGGGTCAGAGACCCTGTTAGGCATCCGAAGCAGGACACCCCACCATCCAAAGTCAGGCAAGTCGTGTAGGCAGTGGGGTGGGACACTGGTGCCCCCAGAGGAGGCTTTCCTCAATTTCCGGCCTTGTTCCCCATGGGTCCCTGGCTGGGACCTGTCCCATCTCTTCTCCCTCCACCCAGGTCTGAGTCCCTGCAGGAACATCTGGCCACCCAGTGCCTGCAGGTACAGGCCTCAGTCGAGATGTACCAGTTCTGCCACCTGAGCACCATGGAGCTCACATGGGTGGCTGAGCACATGCCCCGCGGCAGCCCTACCCGCCACGCCAGGTGCTTGGGTAGCGCCCAGAGCCTTCTCTGCAAGCACAGGGTAACAGCCACCTTTTTCCCACAGGATCCCTGACGTCCCCTTCCCAGACCTTAGAAGCCCTCTGCCACTACCCAGGGTGTCCTAGCCTCTAAGTCCTTCTCCCTGGGTGTTCTGATTTCCAAAGCTCTGTCCCAGCTCTTCTTGGCCTGGGCTCTTGCCACAGCTGATGCCCGGAGCCACGTCTGTGGCTCTGCTCCGCACAGCCCTGGGTAAGGGATTCCCAGGAGCAGTGGCCTCACGTGCCGCTCTGTGGCAGGGGCTCCAGGCTGAGGTGAAAGCTCACTGGGGCCAGGTGCAGCGGGTGCTGGGTGCTGGGCAGAGCCTGGGAGCCTCAGGGCACCCTCAAGCCCAGCACATCACGGAGCAGTGCCGGAAGCTGGAAGGCCGCTGGGCAGAGCTAGAGCAGGCCTGTGAGGCGCAGGCCTGGAGCCTGAAGCAGGCTGTCACCCTCCAGCAGGTGGGTAGAGAGAGACCGGGCCGGGGAAGTAGCAGAAGTCAGGGGAGGATCTGTGGGGTTTTGGGGGAACTCTGCACCAGGAGCTAGCTGGTCCCCACGTGGGCACAGACGCCTCTTTGCGCAGGCTGCGGGGGAGCAGGGACGGGATGTCCCCACGGGGTGATGGAGGGTCCTATCTGAGGTTATCAAGGTGAGTTGGCCCCATTTTTGGCAGTACTTTCTGGACGTGTCAGAGCTGGAGGGCCGGGTGGAGGAGAAGTGGCCACTGGTGAGCAGTCAGGACTGTGGCAGGGATGAGACAGCCACCCTCAGGCTCGTTAAGAAGCACCAGGTACCACGTCCCCAGCATCGCCACCCTGTGTGACCCTGGGGGATGCTGGGCCATGAAGAGAGGGGCTGTCACTCCCCCAAAGGGCGCCTGCTGTGCTGTGTGTGGAGAGCAAGAGCTCTTCTCTTGCTGCTGAAGACATGGCCAGCCCCAGCCCACGGCCCACCCAGGCCCTGCAGCGCCCCTTCCCGCAAGGCGACCCCCAGCACTGTGACCAACGTGCTTTCTCCCTTTTTCGGTGCCGGTACTAGTCTCGCCTCTCCTTGCCGCCCTGGGGTCTCCCCGCCTGTCTTGCTTCCCCTCTGCCCCGGCCCCCCGCACTTTTCTCCTCTCTTGGGGTCACCTGCTCCACATCATCCACAGATGTCTTCCAGGCTTTGAGTCTCATCCTCTGTATGAACCAAATCCCTTCCTGAAGCCACCTCTGCCCACAAGCACGCCCTGGCCAATGGGAGGGAGGCCTGGAAGCCCCTCCTTGTTCCTGGAATGGGACTCCCAGAACCACGCATGCCCCGGAGCCTGGAGCCCGTGGCAATCCTGGTCCCTGCTGTCCCTGAGGTGTCCTCCCATCTGGGTGTTTTTTCTGCGCAGCCCCAGTGGGCACTGTTTTTGTGTGTTCTGTGGCTGAGGACCTGCAGGGAGCCATTCCTAAGGACATGCCTGTAGCCTCGCCCCACGGAGCTTCCGTGTCCCGGGTACACTGGGCAGCTTCCTTAGCTCTGTCCCTCTCTTACACTTTGAAGTTGGGATATAGTAATGCCTCCTGAACCCCCCTTCCTTGGCCCAGGTTAGCCAGCACCCACCTTTCCCCGCTGACAGTGAGCCCTCGGGGGCACAGGCCGTGCCTCCATTTTATGGAGCGATGAGTGCCCCGTCAGCACTGGGCAGTGGACGCTGGGTGGGTGGGGAATGCACGAGTCATCCAGGCTGAGCCTGGCCCGGGTCCCTGTGCACCGTCAGGCCCTGCAGCAGGAGCTGGCTCTGTATTGGAGCTCCATGGAGGAGCTTGACCAGAGGGCCCAAACCCTCGCTGGCCCTGAAGGCCCTGAGCAGCTGGGTGTGGCGCAGAGGAGGCTCCGGGAGAGGCTGCGGGCGCTGCAGGAGTTGGCAGCCGAACGGTGAGGGGAGCTGCACCCTTCTCTCCAGTGGGCACAGGGGCCTCACCACAGTTGACCATTCCCACGCCAGGCCCTAGGCTGCAGGGAACCCCAGACCCCAGGCCCATAGAGATGCATCAGGACAGGGATGAGTCCTTGCCACGCATTGCTCACCTCTTTCCAGAAATTCTCCCGCCGGTGGGAGCTAACCACCCCCACTCCCAGCTGTCCATCCCTCACACCCACCCTCTTCTGCCCCTACGCCGGCTCTCCTACACCCAGTTCTCCCTGAATCCTGAGCCACAGCCTTGGGCAAAGACCATGAATAACCCCATTCTTCAGGTCACCCGCTTTGACTCACCCAGCTGTCCCCACGGGGGTGGGCAACTAACTTCTAGGGAACCGTGGGCTGTCACCACAGGGACCAGGAGCTGAAGAGGACCCTGAAGCTGCATGAGTTCATGAGGGAGGCTGAGGACCTGCAGAGCTGGCTGGCTTGCTGGGCACAGGTGGCCAAAGGAGCAGAGGACCTCGGAGAGGACCCTGAGCACGTCTTGGTGAGAGGAGGGCTGGGGGGAGGAGGATGCACCAAGGCCGAGCCTGAGGGTTGGGGCTGGCCCTGGCCCAGGACGGGGCTCCCGAGAGGAGTGGGCAGGAGTGGGCAGATGCTGTGGCCGTGTAGCCCCACATTGCCCAGGCTGCTTGCTGCCTAACCAGCTGGGAGCCACCCTGTCACCCACTCCCCTCTTCTCAGCACCTCTGCACTGAATTTGCCAAGTTTCAGCGCCAGGTGGAGATGGGCGGCCAGTGGGTGGCAGCCTGCAGGCAGCTGGCAGAGAGCCTGCGGGAATGTGGGCACAGCGCCGCCCCCAAGGCCCATCAGAGGCAGCAGGAGCTGCAGTGAGTACCCAGCGGGCCAGGCCAGGGGCTGGGCTTGTGGGACCATGCTAGGCGAGCAGGGCTGGGGTGTTCAGAGAGGGGGGCATGCTCTGAGAGCCACACAGCTCTGCCTGCCCACGAGGCAGCTGGAGGGGGCTGGTTCCAGGGAAGCCGAGCCTGCCACAGGCTCCTTGCGAAGGAGGCGAGGCCAGATGTGCAGGTCAGAGAGCCCTGCCCAGATCCCCAGGAGCACTGTTCCAAGCCACCGGCTCCCAGGACTCAGAGGAGGAGCTGTGGGAAGAGACCACCTGGGCCAGGCTCGAGGCCTTCCCATGAGCGTCCCCAGCTCCCGTGCTTGCCCGGGACACGACTTGCCACATCACCTTCCTAGGTGCCCACTTGGCTGGTCTGGATACACCCCAGCCTGTGAGCTTTGGGGCAAGGTCACAACTTCTTCATAGACCCTAGCACAGAGCCTGGCCTGGAGGAAGGCTCAGGAGCTCAGCGAGAGTTTGCAGAGTAAATGAGGGCTGTGGAAATGACGTGGCCTCTGCCCTCAAAGTGCCTGTGATCTGACACATATCACAAATCACGGCACAAGACGTAAGGAGCATGGCAAGGCACGGGTGTCCGCAGCAAAGGCCTGGGTTCCTAGTAAAGCCAGAAGATAGGCTCCAGGGAGGAAGGCTGCAGGCAGGGCCACAGGGAGCAGAGGTTTTAAGAAGGGGAGAGACCACTCAAGCACTCTGGGCAAGTCCTGGCACCACCTGGAGAGGAGGAGGGCTGCCCTGGCAGGGGGAAGAAGAAGAGGCTGGGCCAGTGGCTGACTACTGCTGCTCTTCCATGTGCCTGGGGCAGGGCCACCTGGTCGGAGCTGTGGGAGCTGGCCCAGGCCCGAGGCCACCTGCTCCAAGATGCTGAGACAACCCTCAGAGTTCACAGAGATCTGTTGGAAGTCCTCACCCAGGTCCAGGTATGAGCCCAAGGGGTGGAAGGGGATTCTTTCTAGAAATGGATCCACCCCAGGCTCAGTGCCTGCCCTCCATTCCTGATCCCCCTGGCCATCTCCCCCACTCAGGAAAAAGCCACGAGCCTCCCCAGTGACGTGGCCCAGGACCTGCGTGGGGTGGAGGCCCAGCTGAGGAGACACGAGGAGCTGGAGCGTGGCCTCACAGGCACTGAGCAGCAGGTGGGCCCACCTGGCTGCGTCGCCCATGCAGGCCTCCCGTGGGCCCGTTGTTCATGGCAACGGGCCTGAGTTACCGGGCAAGGGACACATCTGTGGGATGGTGAGGAGGACATGACCTCTCTCTCCCTCTTCCCTGCCCCAACCCCAGCTGCAGGAGCTGCTGGAGACCGCAGACAGGGTGCAGACGCTGAGTCCGGGGCCGCAGGCCCAGGCCATGCAGCAGAGGCAGCAAGCTGTGATGCAGGCCTGGGCGGCCCTGCGGCAGGGCATGGAGCAGCGCAGGACCCGGCTGGAGGGGGCGTGCCTCCTGGCCCGCTTCCGCACAGCAGTGAGCTCGCCTTCCGCTTGTGTGTGTGTGTGTGTGGTACCATGTGTGTCATGGGCGTGCACTGCCGAGGCCCTCCAGTTCTGGAGGGAAAACAAGTGTGGACATGAGACGGAAGAGCAGGAATACACCTGGGTGTCAGTCTGGCAGGCCAGAGGGCTGAGCATGTGAGTGCAACAGTCACTCCTTAGGTTTGGGTCAAAATTTGGGTCAACAGCAGCCCAGTGAGTGACAGGGCAGTCACGCGGGGTCTGAGCAGGGCTGGGGAGTAAGACTGGCCCAGAAAAGCCCATAACTGGAGACCCAGATGTTCTAGACAGGGACATCTGGATCAGCCAGCGTCTATTTAACATCTGTGTGCAGCTCCGTGCGGGGAGTGGAGGGTGGAGAGGGAGGATGACATGGAGGCTGCGGGAGGTAGAACTGCTGCCCTCACGGAGCCTGCCTACCTGGGCGTGTGAGCCTAAACCCCAGAAAGTCACACCGGGACAGTGGGCCCTGGCCACGGGCTGTCCCAGGAGTCTCCATGTCCCAGTGCCTGGTAGACCAAGAGGCCCAAACTATGACTGCAAAAAGGCTTGAGTTTAGGGACCCAGTTCTGCCACTTTCTAGCAGCGTGGGCTTGAGCGAGGCACTTAACCCTAGGTTGCTTCCTTCTGTTTATCAAATGCTTAGAGTTTACAAAACCTTTTACGTACATTGTGCCATTTATCCTTCTTCTTCTCTGCACTGAGACGTTTGGACAAGGACCCAAGGTCCCTCCAGCTCTGCCCTTGTGTAATTGTACACAGAGCAGCAGAAGACAGTGTGTACGTGGTAAACTGGTAGTTCCAGGGACAAGGAGAGCAGTGAGGTCAGGGTACAGGGGAGGCTGCATGAGGAACAGGTGAGTGTTCCCCATCAACCAGCATTAACTGAGCTGATCTTGCAGCTGCTGGTCCTCTCCCAGGCTCTCCCAGGTGAGCTCTACAGAGATGAGGTGAAAGGAGGAGGAACTTCTAAGCAGGACGGGCAGCAAGAGCAGAGGGTAGAGACAGTCCGGGTGAGGGTCTGGCACACGTGCAGGGTTCGTGGACCTGGGAGGAATGGGTTGGATGAGAACAGAGACAGGTGACAAAGGGCCACACATGTGTCTCACCGAGGCCCTGACCCAGGACAGCTCAGGCCACCCTGCCCATGCAGGTAGACTCAGGTGGGCTGTAATTGTGCCTTGGTGCTTGGTTCCCTGCCACCCAGCCCAGCCTTCACCCGGCTGTCCCTCTGTCTGCCCGGGGTCAGGTGCAGGACTATGTCTCCTGGGCAGCCAGTGTGCGGCAGGAGCTGCAGGTGGAGGAGAACTCCCAGGAGCCCAGCAGCGGCCCACTAAAGCTCAGCGCCCACCAGCAGCTGCGGGCAGAGCTGGAGGCCCAGGAGGAACTGCAGCGGCGGGCCGCCCAGCTGGGCCAGCAGGTGCTTTTGGCTGCAGGGACACCTGCCAAGGAGGTGAGGCCCCTTTCCTGGTACCCCTCCCTACCTGACCTAGCTTGTGCTTGGCCACCTGGTGCCCTGCCCCACTGTGCCATGCCAGCCTCTCCTTAGAGGCTTCCCTTGGGATTCGCTTCCTAGTCTGGTCCGCACTGCCCGCCCCAGCCCAGGCTCCGCATGTGTCTGTCCCTAGGTCCAGGAAGGGCTGCAGGCCCTGCAGGACCAGCGGGACCAGGTGTTCCGGGCCTGGGTGCAGAAGCAGGAGAGGCTGCAGGCCAAGCAGCAGGAGGAGCTCTTCCTCAGAGAGTGCGGCCGCCTGGACGAGACCCTCGCAGCCCAGGAGGCAGGTCCCCCCCACCCCACTCGCACACACAGCCCTGCCCCTCTCCTGTTCCCCTCTCTCCACTCGGCCCCTGTACTCCTGTGTCTCTGGCTTGTTCTCTGCATGGAGCACGGAGGCCATGCATGAGTTCTCCGGGCTGGGAAGCAGTGCCATGGGCCTCCACTAGCCTCCCTAGACCTCACCCCAGACTGAGCCCCGAGGGAGTTGCGGAGGCTGGTCATGCTCCCCGCGTTGTATGGTGTTGTCAGCCCCCAGCCTGGGCTCCCTGCCCAAGCTCAGTGCTCATGTCAGCGCTGCTGGCTGCCCTAAGGCCCCACTTCACCCAGGATGCCGGGGGTGGGGGGTGGGGGGGCGGGGGGATGACTGCCTGCCTGGCAGGCTTTGATGACCTCTCTGACTTTTCCATGGGCTGATCCAGGTCTCCCTGAAAACCAGTGCTCTGGGGAGCTCGGTGGAAGAGGTGGAGCGGTTGATCCGCAAGCATGAGGTCTTCCAGAAGGTCCTGGCTGCCCAGGATGAGAAGGTAATGGGCTCAGGGGTCCTGGGCATGGTCAGAGAGTCTAGGAGCTTTGGAGAGTCCTGAGTGGGAGACACGGGGTGCTTGGTGTGTACCCCGAGGCAGTGCCAATGTGACTGTGGGGCTGGGGGCCAACAGAGCAATTGTCCGTGTGGTTCCAGAAGCAGGCCCAGCGTGGGGAGGGCCACACTGCAGGGAACAGGGGGGCATTTGGCTCTGTCCACATCACGTCCCTGGGGAGCAGCCTGGTTCTGTCTCATTGCTGGGGGGATTGGCCAGCCCTTGGCCATGCAGGGCTGAGGGAAAGGCTCTAGGAGGCTTGGAGAAAGGGCCCGCTCCAGCCCCAGGGTGGGAGAACGGCAGGCCATGCCCCTGCCCCACAGGAGGCGGCTCTGCATGAGCAGCTGAAGATGCTCCAGGGCCCCGGGCTGCAGGACTCGCTTCACACCGTGCTGGAGCGTCGGGCCAGAGTGAAGGAACTGGCAGAAAGCCGGGGCCAGGCCCTACACGCTGCCCTGCTGATAGCCCGCTTCGCTAGAGCTGCCACCCAGGTTAGAGGGCACCCCCTGCCCGTGCCTTTCACTTGGACCACATTTTATAGTGTTCGATGACCTTCACACCACAACCCCGTGATAGCAAACTGAGGTTTGGAGAGTTAAATGGCTTTCCCGGGGCCATGCTGGAGCCTACAACATTTGCTTCTAAGCCCCTTTGTGCAGAGACCCCACCTGTTGCCTGAGCTCTAGCAGGGCCAGGGTAGAGAGAGGTGGGAAAGGGAGCAGAGCATCCCAGGGTCCCAGGAGTGGGGGGGCCCACACCTCCAAAATGAAACCATGCCTAAGGCCCCTGCCCAGCGACTTCCTGTGGCTGAGCAGCCAGCAGGGCCTGGGGTATGTCTTCCTGGGCTAGAACCATCTGGTTCTCACGAGGCACTGCCAGCCCTGCCCTGAGGCCAGTAGGCAGCCACAGGGACTTTGTAGGCCTGCTGGGTCTCTCTGTGGTCCGAGGCAGTGTGGAGCACCACAGAATTCTTGTCCCTCGTGCCCCTACCAGGCCGAGGACTGGATCCAGGAGCGGGTCCAACAGCTGAAAGAGCCAATCCCTCCTGGGGACCTGAGATATACATTGAAGCACCTGCTGAAGCACCAGGCATTTGAGGCTGAAGTCCAGGCCCATGAGGAGGTCATGACCTCTGTTGCCAAGGTAACAGTCAAGCTCTCAACCCCACGCCTGCCCCAAAATGTGGCCAAGGGGCAAGGTCTTAGGCAGGAGGAAGAGCGGCAGACAAGATCACCTGTGTCCCATCTCTCCCCAGCAGGGCAAGGCACTCCTGGCACAGAGCCAACCTTGGGCGGGAGAGGTCTCCCAGAGGCTGCAGATGCTGCAGAAGCACTGGGAGAAGCTGAGGCAGGCAGTGGCCCTCCGGGGCCAGGACCTGGAGGACAAGCAAAACTTCTTGGAGTTCCTGCAAAGAGTGGACCTTGCAGAGGCCTGGATCCAGGAGAAGGTGGAGGCCCAGCTGGGCAGGGGCAGATCTGGGGGCCACAGGCCTTGGGGCTGAGAGATGGGGAGAGGGGAGCCCAGGCCTGCAGAAGGGAGTCCCAGCAAGATGTCCCAAAGCCTCCACCTGCCCCAACTCTGTCTCAGCAGTGGGTTCTCACGGGCTGGGCACACCTGGGGCCAGCGCTCACAGTGCTGCCCTCCCCACCTTCGGCCTTCACAGGAGGTAATGGTGAATGTCGGCGACCTGGGCGAGGACCTCGAGCACTGTTTGCAGCTCTGCAGGCGGCTCCGCGAGTTCCGAGGAGCCTCGGCCAGGGTGAGGGGCCCTGCCCAGGGAGAGGTTGGCCATGGCACCCCATTGAGAAATGCAGCTCAGCACAGGGAAGGAGCACAGGCCCTAGAGCCAGGCATGGGCTCATGTTGGTGCCACCCTTGCTGTTACACACACTTGGGCTCCCCCATCTCTCCAAGCCTTAGTTCCCGCATCTTTAGATTAGGGGTAATGTCTGTCCCAGAGGTAAGAGCATTTTGTGTGGTGGTGATTACGTGAATTTATACCTGTGATAAAACTGTGCAGACCCGTGCCCCCCATGCACAGATGCACGCGTGCAGAAACTGATGGAATCAGAATAAAGTCTAGTTAATAGTATCACACCAATGTCAATTTCCTGGTTTTAATATTATACTATTGTTATGTAAGATGTCACTGAGAGGGAAGCTGGGGGAAGGGTATGCAGGACCTCTCTGTACTACTTTTGCAATTTCCTGTGCGTCCATAATTATTTCAGAAATGTTAAGGTGGTACATATGCCTGCACGCAGTGGATAATCAGTGCTGCCCTGCAGTGCGACGAGCTCAGCGTCTCCTCCTCACCCCACGCCCTCCCTCCCACACATACACATAGTAAAAATCTGGTTCTCTTATGTGGTATAGAGGAAAGAAATTTGGCAAATATATGCACAATCAGGTGTTAGAGACCAAATGTGTTAAGCCTCATCTCCCTGAAATAAATATGTGTGATTTTTTAAAAGGCTACAGTGCTTAAACCTAAGATACCATTTGCTGATGGTGGAATTTCACAGACACTGTGCCAGTTGCTGTAGTAGAAGAGAGCTAGACTGCAGAGAGGCTGGGCTTGAGTCCCGGCGCTGCCACAAATGAGCCACATTGGCCTCTGAGCTCTGATTTGGCATCTGTAAGAGAGAGACACCCTTCCCTGCCTACTCCATAAGGGAGGTGGGAGAGTGCTTTGGAAATATAAACAAGCTCCAGAAATGCAAGGAGCGGCAAGCCTGCAATCCCACCTATTAGGGTCCCTTCCCTGTGTACTATAAACCTCACCCCGGGTCCAAGCCACACTAGCATCAGCCCAGGTGAGTCCTTGGGGTACATCATCCAAAGCCCAGGAGACTGGAGCTCACCACTTCATCCTACCCTTCCCTTTGCCTCCCTTATCCCGAGAAACTGTGTATTAACTTTAAGAGCTTCTGTCATGAGCATGTGACCACCCTCCCCCTCCTACCTGGTTCCCAACCAGGGAGCTTGTTTCCTAGCCTTACAGATGGCCCTGGGGCTGCAGGCTCCACGCTCACCTTGCTTACTGCACCTGGGACGGGGTGGTCGTGGGTACCTGCCACGGTAGAGGAAGCAGCTGCCTCCCTGTGCCCAAACGTGCTGCTCCTCATGCTCTGGGGCACCCAGGCAGGCCCCCCAAGTGCCAGCCACAGTGTAAAGAAGGGGCTCTGAGTGGACAGTACCTCACCTGTATCTCCCCTTCAGGACATGGTGGGTGATGCCTATGTCAGGAGCATCAATGACCTGTCACTGCAGCTCAAGAACCAGGACCCTGAGGAAGTCAAGACCATCTGCCAGCGGCGAAGCCAGCTCAACAACAGGCCAGTCCCAGGCTGGGAAGAGCTGTGGGGCCGGGGTTGCGGGGAGGCCGCCTCAGATTGCACATTACACAGCCCTCCCTCGGCCAGGTGGGCGAGTTTCCATGGCAACCTGCTCCGGTACCAGCAGCAGCTGGAGGAAGCCCTGGAGATACATGCATTGTCCCAAGAGCTGGACAATGTCACTGAGCAGATTAGGGAGAAGGTAAGCAGCAGAAAGGGATCCAGTCGTGCTCAGTGAGGGCACTGCCTAGAGTCTCCCATGCATCTCGCCCCACCCGCCCCTCCTGTTCAGCTGGGTGCTTGGAGATCATGTCAGAGGTCCACTGGGGGTATCTGACGGCCATCAGGATCCACTCCAGACCACAGACACCTGCTGCAGTCCCAGAGGCGGACCCCCTCGGCTCCTTTTCTCCCGGATCCTGGCCTCCAAATGCATTGTGGGTCCAGAGGCTAGAACACACCCTCTGTTTCCTCCCATCCCTTCCACACCCATGGGAGGTTTGCCCCAGGGTTGTATTGACAGCCACAGAGGAACACGGGCTGAGGTCCGGCAGAGGCAGAAGTTGAGGAGTTAGACGCTGCGTGGGAAGCGCTGTGTGAGACAGATGTGCTGCTTGGGCACGCCCAGCCGGTCTCCCCCTCCGGTTCCTGCCCTAGGACTGCCAGCCTAGCCTGCCCATCCACACTTGCTCCTTTCTCTTCTGAGTTCCGAAAGGATGCAAGTCAAAGGAGGAAGCGCCCCACAGCTGAGATTCTTACCTCAGGAAACTCCAAGCCCAAGTCTCCTCTGAGTCAGCCTCTTTCACATAAGGACAGGACCTCTAGTCAAAGCCAGGCCCCTGCTCAGCCCCAGTGGGGGCAGCGCGGATGGGATTGTGCTGGCACCGCTGTCCACACACAGGCCCCTCTGCAGTGAGAAGGAGCTGAAGCCAAGGCCTGGGGTAACCGCCCACTCCCCCTTTCCCCAGGACGCCCTGACCCGGGCCCTGGACCGCGGAGAGGACCTGGAGAGCGTGCAGCGGCTGCTGCGGAGGCGCGAGCTGCTGGAGCGTGAGTTGAGCCCCACCCAGGCCCAGGTGGAGGTGCGTGGCTGGCCGCAGGGGGCCCTGGGCACACGCAGGGAGGGGGGCCTTCAGGGTCTTGAGGGCCACATGCCAGGGCCTCCTGCAGCCGGGGCCTCCCAGCCCCAGCCTCTGACCCTGGCTTCCCCCACAGTCCCTGGAGCGTGAGGTGAGCCGCCTCTGCCAGAGAAGCCCCAGGGCAGCCGGCAGCCTCAGTCACAAGCAGCGAGAGATGATGGACAGCTGGCGGCAGCTCCAGAGTGGGGTGCAGGAGCGGTAGGGAGCCCTCAGTCCACACCCCCTCGCTGACCCATGCCCTTGGCGTCTCAGTCCCATACTCCCCTTGGCCTGTTTTCCCTAAGCTGCTGCTTCTGTGCTTCACATTACTGTCACCCCATTAATTCCCAGCCCCTGGGCCCTCTGTGGCTGTGGGACTTGGGGGACAGGAGACACTGGTAGGCCCGGGGGAGAGGGGTTTGCGGCCCTGGGACTAGCTGACAAGGCCTGTGGCAGGAGGGAGTCGCTGGATGCCTCGTACCAAGCTCAGAAGCTCCAGGCCACACTGCAGGAACTGCTGCTCCAGGCCCGGAGGCTGCAGGCCGAGATGGACGCGCAAGGCGCTCCCTGCAGCCCTGCGGAAGCCCGGCGCATGTTAGAGGAGCATGAGGAACGCAAGGTAAACATGGGAACCCCGAGACCTCGCCTCCTCACTGCCCTGCCCCTCCCCTCCCCTGCTCCCCACTCGCTCTCAGGCCCTTCTGAGCCTCCTGCCCTGCGCTTCTCCTCTAACATCCCTCCCCTCAGCCGTCTTCCCCCCTCTCCTCCAGCCCTGGAAGGCCTCAGCCTCCAGGATCTGAACCTAGCCCTGTTCCAGGCCGAGCTGGACTCCTGGACAGACAGCATCCGCCTGGTCCAAAGCACTGGGCAGTGCCTGCTCACAGCTGGGGGCCCGTCCACCCCCAACATTCGCCAGGCCCTGGCTGGTCTAGAACGGGAGCAGAGCAGCCTGCAAGGGGCCTGGCAGGAGCACCAGCTGCAGCTGCGGCAGGCCCTGGAGCTACAGGCAGGCACAGCCCCATCCCCAGCCTCCCTCCCGCCCACTCATCAGGGCCTGCGCTGCCCCCACGGCCCCTGGTCAAGGCTAAGGCCAGAGGGACTGCTGTGCGGGGGCTTCCCCAGTGCTCGGCACTCAGCTGCTGTGGGCCTGTCCTGTGGAGCCAAGCCCCAGGCTCCTGGTTCCCCGGCCTGGGCCACAGAGAGTCCCTCCACCTGCGGGGCCTGGACCCTCTGCCAGCTTCCTCTCGCCTTTTCCCCTCTCTCCAGCTGTTTCTGAGCTCCGTGGAGAAGACAGAACGTTGGCTGTGCAGCAAGGAAGCCTCCCCAGCCAGTGAGGGCCTGGGGGTAGGTGCCCAGCAGGAGCAGGGAGGATTTACAAGAACAAGAGTGGCATTAGCGGGTGGGACCTGCCAGTGCGGCCTGAGCTCCCTGGCTGGGGGTCCCCCCCTTCTGTGGCATTTCCCCAACCCTCAGCCACATGACTCATTCGGCAGTTCTCATGCGCGGGGCAGGCCCCACGGTGAATGCCACGGGGCTTAGAGAGTGACCATGAGGCCCTGGCCACTCTTGCCGCCTCCCACCGCCCTTCTCACCCTGCCCTCCTCGCTTCCCATGCGCCCAGAGGTTTGCTGCTCCCTCCACCATCCAGCCCCGTGGCAGATGAGTAACCCCGGGGAGCCCTCAGAGGGTGATCAAGGCTGACATCATCTTGCTGGGAGTGCAGAGACAAGAGTGTTCATGTTATGTGAAAAAGCTCAACCTGCCCTAGAAATTCTGCCATTTGCCCCTTACCCCAATGCCTCCCCCGCTTGAGAATCGGGGCTCCAATGCCAGAAACAGCCTTGAGGGATTCGAGGGGCGCATTCGGCTTCAGGATGAGTGTTTGGTAGAATTGCTCTAGGAGGGAAAGCAGATAGCTTGGGTTGGGGAGGGGGCAACCACGGACATTATCAAGTTTCCTGTGCCCACCAGGACCCCTTGGCCAATGTGGAGACCCTCCTGTGGAAGCACAAGGTGTTTGAGCAGGACCTGGAGGCACAGACGGGAAAGATCGGTGCACTGGAGGCCACAGCCCGCAGCTTGCACCAGGCTGGGCACCCCGAGGCCCAGCGTGCCCTGGGCAGGTGCCAGGCCCTGCTCCTGAGGTACCTCTGCCTCCGGGGTGATGAGAGCTTTGGGTGGGCTGGCACGGGCCCTGGCATCCCTGCTGTTCCTGCCCTTCCACTGAGGGGCTCGGGCTCAGCCTTTCCCAAGGGCTGAGGTCAGAGGCCAGGGTGCCCACCACTCCTGGCCCCGCGGTGTGTCAGCCTGTTGTGGACCTCAGACAACACATGGGAAATCCCACTTCCTTCTTCATCCAGCTGAGATAAGAGAGAGTTTTACAAGGAAGCTTATGCTAGGAAACTAAGAAAGGAAACATGAGAGCACAGTGATTAAATGTCACGGGGCACAGTCCTGAGTTCCTCTGCTGCCCACTAGTGGCAGGACTGGCGGCGGAGTCCTCCCACTAGCTAGGCCTCGCCTCTATGCAGGCAGAGACACCTGCCTCTTAGGGCCAGGTGAGGAGGGAAAGGTGCCCTGACATCTCTGCACGGCGCTGGCCTCACGGGCAGGCTGGCAGATTTTTTTATGCCTGCTTAACTGAAGTCAGCCACAGGTGCGTGACCTGCACAGCCTATGTGACGCCAGGCTCCACCCTTTTCCTCATAGAAGCTCATCTGGTTCAGTCCCCTCGTCCAGCTCCTCAGACTTCTAGATCAAGGCATGTATGGCCACAAGCCAGAGCCCAGGCTGGCGGGGACCTCCATCCTTCCCAGAGAGCCTCCCTGCACTCACAAATTTTGTGGTTCCTTTTTCTGTGTCCTTGCAGGGACGGGGGCCATCCCCTCTCCGTTCTTGCAGGTGGACCTCATGTGGGTACCTGTGGGGTCTTCAGATTCACAGATGGCAAACCCTGGTTTGCTGGTGTCTGTCAACACCCCCCACAGTCACCTTAGGTGGCTCCTGGCAGGGCCAGCTGTCCCCAGCACAGTGCCACCCTGACCCCCTCCCCTTCTGGACTTCTGCCATCCTGTTTCTGTTCAGTCGAGCCCCTCTGCACCTCCCCGCCTGCCATAGCGTCACCCTCACACTAGTGTGGAGCACACCCATGGAAGGTGTGCATGACCTGGAGGGGATACTAGAGCTTCTTTTCCTATTCATTTCATAGATCTCATTGTTTCTATTTTTGTGCATATGGCAATACACTTAATATATTGGTACAGAGTACCATATATAATAGGTTTATAATAAATTATACATATATCAATTAAATATTAAATGAATCTTAGATATTATATATTTGGGGGCTTGCCTTAAAAGTTCTTGCTAATAGCAACACATGATCAAAAACGTGGCTTAGACATTGTATTAGTCTGCTCGGGCTGCTATAACAAAATATCACAGACAGGGTGGTATAAACAGCAGAAATTTTTTTCCTCACAATTCTGGAGGCTGGAAGCCCAAGATCAAGGTGTCAGTGGGTTGGCTGCTTGTGAAGGCCTCTGTCTTTGCCTTGCAGATGGCCACCTCCATCCTCCATCTGCACGTGGTCTTGTCGGTGTGCCTGTGTCTGCGTCCTAACCTCCCCTCCTCCCAGTCAGACTGGAGCAGGCCCACACATCTGACCTCACGTTAACTTGATCATTTCTTTAAAGACCCTGTCTCCCAGAACTGCCATTCTGAAGTACTGGCATTGGGACTCCAACATGAGAACTTGGGGGGACACAGTTCAGCCGGTAACAGACACTAATAAAGAGGGCAGTACGATGTGTCTTTATCTCAACGGCAACCCCAGACTCAGGGCACACTGATAGCCACGAAAGACTGTCCTCGGCTAGAAGGGCCTAGGATGTGTGTGCACGGTTACAAACACACACACCCCTGCAACAGCTCCAGGTCCTGTGGGCCCTGAGCAGACCTGAGGCCCACGAGACTCTCCTTCTAACAGGAAAGAGGCACTGCTGGGCCGAGCCAGGACCCGGCGTCGCCGGCTGGAGGAGCTGCAGCAACTGCAGACTTTCCTGCAGGACTCCAACGAGGTTCCCTCGCTTGGGGTGGGGAGTGGCTGTGGTGGAGGGAAGGAGTTGCCCCAGGGAAAGGCCACCCTTCCTTTGGGGAACCCCAGGGGGCAGGGGGAGGGGGAGACCTAGGCAGCAGAGCCTGGTCCTCCCCATGTGTCCAGGTGGCCACGTGGCTGAGGGAGAAGAACCTGGTGGCCCTGGACGTGCGCTGGCAGGACTCAGCCGCGCTGCAGGCGCAGTTGCGGAAGCAGCAGAGTTTCCAGGCCGAGGTGGATGCGAGCCTGCGCCGACAGCAGGAGCTACAGACGGTGAGGACTGTGGGGCTGGAGGGCCGCAGGATGCCCCGAGGGCCAGAGCACAGGATGGGACAACTCCACAGAGCCCTGGCAGCCGGTTCTGAGCCACAGTAACGGGTGGCAACGTTTATCAAGTGCTTTGTGTGTGCAGACAGCTTGAGCAGCAGTTGCTTCCCCAGGCCACCCTCTCCCAAAATGGCACATTCTCAATAATTTTAAAGATCATATTTTGATGTGATTGGGGCACAGCCAGCAGTCCTGTGGGTACAGGAGTCATCTTTGTTAACATTTGTTAACATATTTATTAACATTCCCTTTTCCACCTGCAAAGTCCTGTCCTGACCCCAGGCTGGCTCTGTCTGATGTAAATGCCCTGCTAAGTATTTCATGCTATTTGTGTCATTTAAACAAAAGAACCATTCTTACCTCTATTATATGGATGAGGAAAATGAGGCTCAGAGAGGTTGAGAAACTCACCCAAGATCACACAGCTAGCACACAGAAACTCCACAGCTGTGGGGCTGGTGGTCACAGTTGACACAGGTGCCCTGGTACCAGCGGTCTTGAGGCTATGAGGTATGTGCCATGTTGTGGCTGCAGGAGGGGCAGAGGCTGCTGCAGGGGGGCCACCCAGCCTCAGAGACCATCCAGGAACGGCTGCAGGAGCTGGGAGAGCTCTGGGGTGAGCTACAAGCCAACTGCCAGAGGAAGGCGGCCACGCTCCAGGAGGCCTGCGAGGTGAGGCTGTATAGACCACAGAGCAGCTGGATGGGGTTCCAGGCCTCTCCCCTAGTGCCCACCTCACCTCCTGCCTCAGGCCCTGCGTCTGCAGCGGAGCTTGGAGGAACTGGAGAGCTGGCTGGAGCCCGTGGAGGTGGAGCTGAGAGCCCCTTTCGGAGACCAGGCCCTGTCTGGGGTGGGCGAGCTCCTGGAGGCGCTGGGGGAGCTGGAGGCAGCAGTGGACAGGCAGGCCAGGCGGGCACAGGCCTTCGCACAGGGAGGCCACTGCCTCACCGGAGACACGGAAGAGCAGGCCCGGCAGCTGCTGCAGAGGTAGACCCGTCATGCCCAGCCTCCATTAGCATCCTCTCGTCCTCTTCTTCCCTGCCCACAGGGAGGGGCACAGCGTGGGTGAGCTCCGTGTCACCGTCTAGCCCCAACACTGACAAACGTGGGCCCTGCTTCCTCGGGGCCCCCCACTGCCGCAGGTTCAAGCGCCTGCAGGAGCTGCTGCAGGAGCGCAGGACGGCCCTGGAGGCCCGGAGTCTCCTCTTGCAGTTCTTCAGGGATGTGGACGAGGAGATGGCCTGGGTGCAGGAGAAGCTGCCCCTGGCCACTTCCCAGGACTATGGCCAGAGCCTGAGCACTGTGCAGCACCTGCAGGAGAAGCACCAGGTGTGGGCCCACCCTGGGAGGAGGGAAGGCGTCAGCCCCAGGAAGTGAGCCAGGCTCCTCGGCCAGTAAATGGGGCTGTGGCCCGTCTAGGACTCTCTGCCTTTGGGGGCTTTGGGGGAACCCTGGTTTCTTTGGGGGTTATGGGGACAGGGAACTCCTTGGGAACAAGTCTGTGGGGTCTCATGAGGCTTCAGACATGACCCTGGGGACCCCTGAGTGCCCAGTAACGTCTCTGTCCTCCTTCTTCTTACTCTGCAGAACTTGGAGAGTGAGATGAGCAGCCATGAGGCTCTGGTGCGGGCGGTGGTGGGCACAGGGCACAAACTGGTGCAGGCTGGGCACTTCGCCGCCCACGACGTGGCTGCCCGGGCACAGCAACTGGAGAAGGCCGTGGAGCGCCTGCGAGCAGAGGCGGTGTGGAGGCGGCGGCTGCTGCAGCAGGCCCAGGAGGCCCAGCAGTTTCTGACGGAGGTGAGGGGTGGCCGAGTGCAGAGGGGGAAGGCAGGCTGGGCACTGTGTGTGTTCTGTCGCCTCCACCGCGTGGCCTCCTGCCCCCACCCGCTTCCTTCTGCACATTTCCCAGAAAACAGGCCGCTGGCTTGTCTGTCTGGTTTCGCTGCCTCTTCTGAACCAGTGGCTCTCAGCCCACACTCTGCACCAGCATCACCGTGTGATTGTACCTAAACCACCTCACGACAGTGAATACAAGCGTAAAGAAGGAGAAACTAAAGTATTAAGCTAAGAAATGAAAGGAAGAAACTCGTTGCAAGGAATATTTCCTAAAACTTGGTTTGATTATATTAAGTGACAAAACCAAAATCTGTGCCTGTGAACCAAGAATAGTGCCTTCATTTTGCATAGGGAAAACAGTCCCCTGGAACCTGTCCCCACACTTGTGCTCAGGCTGCGTTCCAGACCGAGCAGGGAGCCCTGGGGGTGGGGCGCAGGCGCGGGGAGCTCAGAAGCCCTCCGGTGATGGCACCGTGCAGCCGGTCGGAGCCACTGCTCCCAATCCTGAGGTCGGGAGCCCTGATCTCTGCTATGTCACCCCAGCTCCTGGAGGCAGGGTCCTGGCTGGCTGAACGGGGCAGTGTCCTGGACAACGAAGACATGGGTGTCACTGCCGAGGCCACACAAGCCCTTCTGCGGCGGCTGGAGGCCATGAGGAGAGACCTGGAGGGGTTCAGCCTGCGCATCGAGCGGCTGCAGCAGACGGCAGCACTCCTGGAGAGCAGACAGAACCCGGAAAGGTGGGCCAGAGCCACACCATCTGCCACCCGCCATCCGCCACCCGCCATCGGGGAGGAGCAGAAGGAAGCTCCCCACAGAGGTGGCGTGAGGCTGGGCCAGCGTAGAGGGAAGGGCTCTGGTCCAAGCTGTCTCTTTCCTGCCACAGCCCGAAGGTGCTCGCCCAGCTGCGGGCGGTGAGGGAGGCCCACGGGGAGCTGCTGCAGAGAGCGGAGGGCAGGGGGCGAGGCCTGCAGCAGCAGCTGCAGCTGCACCACCTGGAGCGGGAGAGCCAGCTCCTGGACGCCTGGCTGACCACCAGGGTGGCTGCCGCCGAGTCCCAGGACTACGGGCAGGACCTGGAGGGCGTCAAGGTAAGTCACTGCGGAGCAAAGCTAGGGGAGAGTGGGTTGAGGCTGAACGAGGACAGGAGGGTCTGCGTCTTGGTAAGAGAGGAATGCAAGGCGTGAGCAGAAAGGAGGTTGGATGGGTGTCTCTGGGGAATCCCGGTGGTTCTAGAACCAGGGCTGACGGATGTCCGAGCCAGCAGATCCTGCCAAGCCCTTCATGAGCTTTGAGAGCTTCAGGACGCTACCTCCAGAGTGACCCTGTCTGGCCCTACACTCTTGCAGGTGCTGGAAGAGAAGTTTGATGCATTCAGAAAGGAAGCCCAGAGCCTGGGGCAGGCCAAGGTGCAGGCCCTGAGGGAACTGGCAGGCACCCTGGAAAGGGAAGCACCCAGGTGCTGTCCCCGTATCCAAGCCCAGAGGAGCCACATCGAGGCCACTTGGGAGAGGCTGGATAAGGCAATAAGAGCCCGCACAGAGGTAGGTGCCTATAGGCTGGGCCAGGCTGAGGCGGTCAAGGGGCGGAATAGCTGTGCTTGCTGCCTGCACCCAGGACAAGCAGACCCTTTGGCCAAGTGCATGTGTGCCTGTGCGTGCCTCTGTGTGTGTGCAAGCGTGTTCGTGCCTGTGTGCTTGTGTGCCTGTGTAGGGGTGGCCGCCCCTGACTCCCAGCAGCAAGCGGATTAGGAGCCTCAGCGTCTTCCACTTTCAGGCCCCTCCACTGATTGGTTTCCTCCTAGTACAGTTCACACCTCCAAGGAGAAACAGAGGGCACGTCTGGCAGCTTCTGAGTCCCCCAAGCCCTTCTAGCGCAGGCTTCAGGTCTGACGAGACCTACACCTTGCTGGTTTCTCCTCGCTAAGCACACACGTTAACCCTGCGTGACCTTGCCCTTCTCCCTCACACCACTCAACTTCCCTCCAGGACCTTAGCTCTCAGCCGCCACAGCTGGTGGTTTTGAACAGAGCAGCCCAGCTTCCTGAGCCCCTGGCAAAGCCCACAGCCCAAGGGCATCTCTGCAGGGCCGGGCCCCCACCTGGGCTGACCCTTTCCTCTCCCGGCCCCATCGGAAGTGCTACAGGTGCTGCTACTTGGGCCCAGACAGAGCCCTGAGAAGCAGCCTACTCCCTCGTGCAGACCTGTGCCTGCCTTCTCAGGACGTGTGCCCTGAGGGCCCTCTCCTCGCCCAGTGCCTCCTGGGCCTGCCACGTCCTCAGTAACATCACACGTTCATTAAGCAGTGGCCACATCTAGGGTGTTTTCTGTACCTGGGGGTGGTAAATGAGTCACCAAGCCCCATGGTCCTCCTTGCTCAAAAGGAGGTAGCCCAGGAGGCCATGTCTCCAGGGAGAAACTCAGCCCCGAGCAGGCCCTTCCTCCTTTCCCAGAACCTGGCCGCAGCCCGCCAGGTCCGCAGCTTGGAGCAGGCAGCGGCCGAGCTCCAGGGCTGGGTGCAGGAGAAAGTGGCCCTGATGGAGGGAGATAACCGAGGCCACAGCCTGTCATCTGTGCAGACCCTGCAGCGACAGCACTGGCGTCTAGAGGTGAGGGCCCACCCCCTGTGGCCTGTCTGAGCCCCTCCTGAAGGCAGTAGGCAAGGGGACCTGTCTCAAGCCCACCCCCGAGGTCATAGGTGAGGGGCCTCCCACCCCAGGGGGTGCTGCCTGAGCCTCTTCCCTGGAAACCCAGACCCCCTCCCTTGGGGCCCCGGGACTTGGCCCAGGTTGTGGGGCATAGCGGGGGTGGCTCCTCAGAGGCCTGGGATCTCCCGAGTGAGGAGCATGCGTCAGGCCAGTGGGGAGACTGAAGCCTGATCTTGTGTTCTGGCTGCAGAGGGAGCTGGCAGCTATGGAGAAGGAGGTGGCACGGGTGCAGATGGAGGCCTGCCGACTGGGCCAGCTACAGCCTGCGGCTCAGCGGGGCCTGGCGGAGCAGCTGGCCAAGGTGCAGGAGGCCTGGGCCACCCTGGAGGTGAAGGCCCAGGAGCGGGACCAGCGGCTGGCACAGGCTGCACATGGCCATGCCTTCCTCGGGCGCTGCCAGGAGCTGCTGTAGGTGTCCTGCCCTGGCGGTGGCCTCCACTCTGCCCTGCCCTTGCTCCCCAGGCTGCCCCGCACCCCTGACAGCGGCTCCTTTCCCTGCCCCGCAGAGCATGGGCTCGGGAGAGGCAAGCACTGGCGTCCTCTGAGGAGCTGGCTGGGGATGTGGCCGGGGCTGAGCAGCTCCTTGGGCAGCACGAATCGCTGGGGCGAGCCATCAGGGAGCTCTGCCTTCAAGCCCAGGACGTGCTGCAGGAAGGGCAGCAGCTGGTGGAAAACGGCCACTTCATGTCCCCGGAGGTGTGAGCACTGGGGGTGGGCCTGGGGTTGAGCTGGGGATGGAGCCCGGTTGCCCAAGCCTCAGAACCCCCAGCAGGCACGGGAACCACTAGGACAGGAAGGCTGGGCGAGGGCAGAGAGAGAGGCCAGGAGGGGGAGGCCCAGGTCTCCAGGCCTTCCCTCTGCGCCTCCGCGGGGCTCCCCAGCCCTGCTCTGCCCCAGGTGGGAGCTCTGCCCAAGCTCTCACTGGCAGCAGTGCCTCCCTGCCAGGTGACAGAGTGTCTGCAGGAGCTGGAAGGGCAGCTACTGGAGCTCGAGGAGGCCTGGGCCCTGCGCCAGCAACACTGCAAGGAGAGCTGGGGCCTGCGGACGCTGCGCCAGGGGCTGGAGCAGGCCGAGGCCTGGCTGGCCTCCCGGGAAGGCCTCCTCCTGGAGCCCAGCTGTGGGGTGAGTGGGGCCAGCCCTTTAGCTGGCCACCATGGCCCAGGGCACAGCCCACTGCCCCTCTGCTCACTGACCCTCAGGCTGGGCTGTAGAGGGTGACGGAAGGCTCTTGGCCCCCCTCAAGCTGGGCCTCACCCTGACTACTTCTCCCCAGCGCTCAGTGACAGATGTGGAGTTGCTGCTCCGCAGACACCAGGACTTAGAGAAGCTGCTGGCTGCCCAGGAAGAGAAGTTTGCCCGACTACAGGAGAGGACAGAGGTGAGAGGTGCTGGGGGAGGAGGGGGCGGGTGAGGGCACGCCCCAGAGAGACAGGCTGAGGGCTGGTGGGTGGGAACACTCAGCCTGCAAGTCAGGGTCCCCTGATGGTCCCTCAGGGCTCACCCTCCAGGAAAGCCCCGCCCTTTCCCTGCCAGCTGCCGCAGTGGGGTAGGGCACCACTGCCGACGGCCACAAGAGGGGAGTCCCTGAGCTGAAACAGGAAGAGATGAAGAACCATGTGGAGAGACAGGCACTCTCTGAGTGGGAGGGCTTTGGGGAGGAGAGGCTGGGTCCCGCTGCCCAGGCGATGGCCAGTCTGCCGTCACCTGGCTCACCTTGCCCCCCTGCAAGATGGAACAGAAGCTGCTGCAGCAGGTGCAGGGGCGGACACGCGGGAGAGTTGGCAGCCAGCTGCCACCCTTTCAGTGGAGGCCCTCAGGACACTGGGGGCCAGGAGCGTAGCTGGCTCAGACGAGGGACCTGCAGCCAGGTGTCCCCATCAGACTGCACACATCCATGGCCAGCGTCCGCCTGGAGCATACAGCTGGGGGGCGGCAGCCCAGCGGGTCTGGGGTTGTGGGGGTAAGAGGCGCTGAGGGTCTTTAGGAATATAGTCAGGGAGTAGGTGGTGCCTGGCCCACCTTCCAGAGGGGGCATCCTCTGTGCTGGTACTGACATTTCCTGATGCATTTTCAGGATGCAAAGGATGTCCCCATCATGGAGGGGTCTTTGGAGCTTAAGCAGCAGCTCCTGTTGAAGGAGAGGCAGGTAAGTGCCGGAAGACCCCCATCTCCAGGCAGCTCCCCCTTGCAGATCCACTCAAGGGGCTCAGAGTGGCCATCTGGGCTGGCACCCTGGCATTGTAGACTTGGGTAGACTCCCGCCTGCTCTCAGGGCAGTTGGCTCCTTAGGGTGACTTCACAGCTTCTGCCCCCACCCGGGGGGGGGCTGGGACTCCTCTCCCTACTCCTGTTCTTCCTCCCTGCCTTGGTTTCCCTATCAGAGCCCCTCCCTGGCTCCCTCTTCCCCATGGAGACTTCGGCCCAATCCAGTGCTTTCCCCGGGAGGCTTTGGAGACACATGGCCAGGCTGTGACAAGGCTCCAGTCTCTCCCCTGTGCGTGGCTGGAGCAGCCTCACCGCCTTTGTCTCCACAGTCCAGCTCGAGCTCCTGGGACAGCTATTAGGGGACCCTAAGGGGCAGCTCCCTGGGCCTGTTCCCAGATGAGAGGGTGGCAGCGGAGGTGCCAGACAGCATGGGAGTGCACAGATACAGACTTCGGGGGGTTGGAGGCAGGCAAAGGGGCCAGAGGACAGAGCCCCATGGGGAAAAGCTGACCTGGCCACAGTGACCCCTACCCCCACCCCCCCGTCTCTCCTCAGAAAGCAGCTTCCACGGCCCCCCTTGACCTCACGGGAGCCCAGGGTGAGAGGCTGAGGGACCACCACGGCAGGAAACGCTCTTTCTCCCTCAGGTGAGGGAAGAGAGTGACGCAGGCAGGTGCAGCCTCCAGACAGCTGAGGGGGCGGAGGGAGAGGCAGGTCCCCAAAGCCGAGGTGGAGAGTTTGACCCATGGCTGTCTGGGTGCCAGGCTGAGCAGCGGGGCGGAGAGCCTGCGTGCAGCACCGTCTGGAGAGCAGGCTTCGAGCTGGCAGCGAGCCCTGAGCAGTGCGGCAGGTGGGCTGCAGGGAGGAACGGGTGGTGGATGCTGATTGGGCCCCAGGCTCCCTGTGCCACTGGTGTTGTGTGCATCCTTGGGACATTTCACATCTAGTATCTCCAGCCCCTGAGAAGTAAGTAGAACTTATTTTCTCAGAGAATTTAAGGCCCAGAGAGGTTAAACGACTTGCCCAAGATCACACAGCTAATTAGCAGCAAAAGTAGGGACAGTCTTGGTTTCCCTTTCCCCCCGGGTCCTGGTCCTGTTCTGCCCCCTGTGGAGTCTCCCATGCCAAGCCCTTCCTGCCAGGGTCCTCGTGGCCTCTTCTCCAAGGGCTTTCCAGGCCCTGCTCTGTCTGATCTGGGGGCCTCTCTAATCTTCCAGTCCTCAGACACCTCAGCCCCTCCCTCGAGTTGTCTCGCAGACAGTGGCCTCGCTGGGTTCTACCACCAGGAGGAACATGTGGAAACACCCCTCAGACCACTGTCTCCCTGCGTCCTGTGGTCTGCCAGGGCTCTGTGTGGGGACGGTGTGTTCAGGAATGTCCTGGGGGCTGCCGGGAGGTCCTTGCAGTCTCTGGGATCCTAGCTCCACTCCTCACTGTGTCTGTTTCCCCTGGATTCTCCCCCAAGACTCGATCTTTCCAGAAGCCCAAAGGGATCCTGAGTCTTTTCAGCATTTCAGGGTACCCCTCGCCCCGCTCCAGGCTGAGCCTGTCTTAGCGTGTCTGCGCCTTCTAGGAGGCCGGGTGTGTGAAGGTTCAGCCTGCACTGCACCTCCGCACAGGCAAGCTGTGACCGGGACAGACTCCCCAGGGCCGTGCCAAGCCCCGGAAGCAGGAGGAAGGAGAATGCTGGGAGACGGCCGCGCAGGTGGCCCCGCGTCTGGGCCAGGGCTAACACTTCTTCCTTGCTCTGCAGCCCGGAGTCTGAGCCCCGAACTCAAAGCCAGACCTGTTGGCTTTCCGGCTGAGAGTGCCGCTGAGGAGTTGCCCAGCACGGCTGCCCTGCTCAGGTAGGACACCTGGGTGGGGAGCCCCAATTTTCAGTGACTGGCACAAGCGCTACCCTCTTAAGCCCCAGGTCCTGGACTCAGACCTACTCTGCTGGGGCGTGGGGAAACCCAGACATTTGAGACTCTCAGCCACCCCTGGGAAATAGGAAGCCCTGACACCCCCTGCTCTGGGTGCAAAGCCTCACTCTCCACTGTGACGCGGAGTCCAGGCCACAAGGCTCCTTTCCCACAGACTCGACAGCTGTCCCCTCCCCAGGGATCGCTCCACACCCTCCGCTCAGGGGGAAGACCCTGCAGATGACGGGCCCTGCAGTCGGAGCCACGCAAGGCTCCCAGCCTTTCCTGCTCTGGCCAGCCCCGTGGTGAGGGTGTCCCTGGTTTCCCTCGGCACGTCGCTGGGAAGCTTGCTGGATTTGCCTGCCCAGCACCACGCACGCCTCCATTTTCAGTCTCCTTTCTCCTCTGCCCTCTCCAAGCCAGAGCACGTGTTTGCCGGGCAGCCAGACCCCTTCTCCACCCTGCTCACTCCCCTCTCCCTGTCTCCGGCTCTTCCCAGCCCCACTCCCAGGGGAGAGGGCCCAGGAGTCACCACGTCCTCGGGATCACAGACCAGGGACAAGGGCAGGCTAAGGTGGAGGTTTAGGAGCAAATGGCTCTGATTTGGGACCTCAGCCTCTTCTTTTAGATCCCGGAGCCATGCAGCTGCTCAACCCCCTCACCCACCTCCAAGCCAGCAGGCACTGGGCTCTCCAGAAGAGGGGACACTTGGGGTTAGAAGAAAATGGGGAGGGACTGGAGACAGGGTATGGGCACATCCTCCAGGGATGGCCTGGGGTGAACCTTGGTATCTCACGGCCAGAGCCATGTTCCTGGAAGGCTCTCATGCCGTAACGGGCGGCCACCATGGCTGTGGCCTTGACACAGTCATCTGCTCTCACTCCCCAGGGCCCACGGGCTCCAATTTATGATTCCGATGTGTTGCTAAAGAGACGGGCCTTGTCCTAGACACAGTGGCTCCTGAGGCTACCGGGACAGCCACTTCTGTGTCTGTAGCCACGTGCCCAGGGCAGGGCCTGAGAGTTGCCAGGGCAGGGCTGACAGATGTAGTGAGGTAGGCTGTGAAAATCAAGGTAATTATGTCCCATTCGCCTGTTTCTCTCACTTATCCTAGAAGGTGGGTTGTTCCAGGGGAGGCCAGGGTGCTGGGGCACCAGTGCTTGGAGAAGATTCTGGGGTGGCCAGGTCCTGAATGCACTCTGCCTCCCTGTTTTCCCAACAGGTCTGGGCCTGGACGAGAATCCCAAGGCCTCACAAGTGAGGACACCTCTAGGGGACCAGAATGAGACTCGGCTAGAGGCACAAGGGCGTCTTTCTCCTGTATGCTCAGATCCAGGCTCTGCCCAAAGCCAAGCCAGGCCCCACCAAAGTCACAGCCTGCTAAAGTTACACCATTGCCACTGGTGTTTCTTTGGAGCATCCGGTGCCAAGTCTGGCTACCCCTCCCAGGTGGCAGGCAGAGGCCGTCTGACTGAATCCTTGGCCTCACCGCAACGTCCCTGCCTGGGTGAAGAGGACAGGTGTTGCAACAGGACAGGTAGGCAAGGCCAGGGCTACGGCAGCAGAGACCCCCGTCAAGCCAACCTGGCCTTCTCCCTGCTGGGAAAGGGTGTCCATGAGCAGATGCCCTGCTGTTGCGGGGAAGCCCTTGCAATGTATAACCGAGAGCCTGGAATGACACGCCCCTTCTCTGCAGTAATGACAGGCGATCTCAGTGCCTCACAGTTGACGAGTCTCTGTAATGTACACAGTGCTCTATTTCACTCTGTGCACTATTCAAAGTAGCACAGAAGGCAAGACAGTCACAGGTCACTGAGTGCCTGTATAAATGAGGTCAGGACTGCCCTGGGCTCCAGCCTCCTTACTCCCACTGCTACCCTCAGCGCCACATCTGGGCACACACATCAGTGGCGCTGTGACTGGGCCACCTAAGCCCCCAGAAGCTCTGGAACACTTGGAGATGACAGGGAATGAGCTGAAAGAGGCAAGGGTGGCAGGGGCCAGGGCGCCTCCCCTACGCCGTCACTCGCGCCTGCGCCGCTGCCTCCGCCGCACAGCCTGGCGCAGGGCCTCCAGCAGCTGCTCACGGTTGTTGCAGATGTTGTAATGCGTCAAGCACAGCAGCTTGTCCACATCCTCCGGGCTGTAGCTCACCTTCGTGTAGTGGTAGGGGGAGTTGGATGAAGACAGGTTCACGTCCCCAGCTGCTGCCTCCTCAGGTGTCCGCCGGACCCCTGTGGAGAGAGGGGGACAAGGCATGGGGGAAGAGGTGGGGGGCGCGGGGCTTGGGGTCACCTATGGAGAGGCATAAAGGACAGAGGAGTGAGGGGCCAGGGCACCAGGAGGTGGACGGTGGCTCACCAGGCGCCGAGTGTTCCCGGAAGGAGTCGTTGACCAGGGGGAAGTGCAGCACCACGGGGGCTTCGGGGCGGGCGGCGTCGGAGAAGGCATGGCACTCCCGTGGCTGCTGCTGCTCTTCTGGGCTGGGTGAGATGGGCGGGAAGGGGATCCCCTGCTCCTGGCAGAACCGGCCCAGGAGCTGCAGCTGCTGCAGGGCGAGCAGAAGTGGCATCAGAGGGACAAGCCCATGGGCCCCTAGCATCCTCAACCCTGGGCTGACTGAATGTGGAGATTCACGAAGACACAGGACTTAGGGCTCTAGTTATGCAATTGGGAGGCAAGAACCTCTCACTGGAGCAACACAGAAACTCACAGCAGGCGGGTCCCAGAAGTCCAGGACCTTACAGGGTGTGGGTACAGCAGAGGGGACCCAAATACAAAATGCCTAGGAAAACATCACCAGCTTCCCACCACGCCAACTTCCCGAGCAGAAAAGTTCCCCAGCGTTCCATTCACATGGTATCACTGTCACAGCTCCTAAAGCTGGGCCAGGGTCACCCACCACCTCCCATGCCTGTCTCAACATCCCAGGTCCTACCTGTCCAACGGGAGGTCCTGCCCAACCCCTCTCCAACCTGAAAGGCTCCATGGAGGTTGTAGTCCAGCGATAGGATGAGGTCCACGTCCCGAGTGGGCTGCAGGAGGGGCGGGCAGCTGGTGTTGACAAGGTAGCCGACATCCAGCAGGCAAAGGTGGGGCTCCTCAGGTGTCAGCTGGTTGGGGAGCCCATCCAGTTTGGTGGCTGGAAAGGTTGGGGGAGGGAGGAGGAGGAGCAGCAATTGTCATGGATACCGAGGGCCTCAGACTCCTCCAGGCTAACGGCAATTTCTTGCTGCCCTCTGGCCCCTGCTCTCTCCTGCTGAAGTAGCACCCCGACCACCCGCAGCCCTGCAGGTGGGCCCTGTGTCCCCAACACAAGGAGACAAAAGGAGCTCCAGCTCCAAGCAGTTCAGGGAACTGAGCTCAAAGCGTGTAGTGCCGAGGGGAGGGCATGGGAGCCGACAGTGAGGACGTCTGGACTGGAGACTCGAGGCCCAGGCGGCCACAGGAAGATGTGGAGAGAAGCAGATACCTTTCCAGGTGGAGAAGTGAGGATGCTGGAAATAGTCTTTGTGGAAATGGAGGCCACGCAGGAAATTGTGGGTGGCCTGGGCAAGTGGGCGCCGCGTCAGAAGGTCAGTGAAAAAGTCAGCTATCCTGCCGGCTGTTGTGGGTGGCTCTTCTACCTTCAGAAGGGGGACCTGTTCCTTGTCTGCACAGACAAGAATGTTGGGGAAATGGGGTATCTTTCAGGAAATGGGGACCCCTGGACTTAATCTCTGTGGTGACCCTGAAGGGGGAACAGCTGAGACCCACAGAGGCCTGAGAGCCACCCTCATCAACCCTGCAATACACCCCCAACTGGCTGCCCCTTTGCACCCTCACAAGAAAGGCCAAGCACCTACCCAGGCTGGCCTGATTCTGGACCCAGCGGTCCCAGAACTGGCTGGGCTCTGAGGCCCAGTATAAGCTGTCTTGAAGGTTGGCTGCGTACAGGTTGCTCCAGATACCTGAAAGGGTGACATGCGGGGAAGAGAGTTTCCCACATTCCTGTCACAACCCAACCCTTTCCCATGGCCCGTCCTGAACATTATTGAGCTGGGAAGGTCGAGGCCCACCCTCTCACCCATGCCCGTTCCCCAGCCCTGCCCAGCTCCTCCCGCCTTCTAGATGTTCCTCACCTTCCAAAAAGCAGATGCGGGACTCAGGGAGCCTCTTCATCAGCCGCCCCATGAAGAACTCAGAGCCAAAGAGCTCAGAGGGGATGAAGGCCCCGTACTTGGGGAAGCCGACCTCATAGGGGGAGAACTCGCACCACTCTGTGAGGAAGCCACACACCTCGGCCTTGGGGCCTGGAGCCCTCGGGCACCAACACACCCACCAGACACTTTGCTTCAGGGCAGCCTAGGGACCAGAAGGCTCAGGCCTTGTCCTGGGACTTCGAGCATGGGACCTAAGGCCTGAGGGACCCTGGCAGAATGAGCGTCTCTGGAAAGCATGGGACCTGGTCCAGGAGAGGTGAGTGTAAAATGCACCTCCCAGTTACTCCTTGCCCACCAACCATGAGAGCACAGCTTTGGCTCTGGGGCCACTCACCCGCAAATTCGAAGGTGGTCAGGCTCTGCCCCTTGGTGTTGAGGGCACAGTAGATGGGCAGAGGGTTCTGGCCACGACTCAGGGCCTCCCGCTGATCGGAGAGTTTGTAGTCATGCGGCTAGGGAAGAGATGACTGGAACCTAAACCCACAGCTGCCTGGTACCTGGAGCCTTCCCACCCCTGCTCCCCAGTCCCATACCCCATCTCCAGCCCTTGCCCTGGCCTGCACCCCTCCACACCTCATCGTGCAGCAGCGCCTCATTGATGAGGGCCCACAGGTTGGTGAAGCAGGTGGGGTGGCCCAGGCGGGCACGCTCGGCCAACTCCTGCCGGTACCGCCGCAGCTGGCTTGGGGCCAGCACCCCCAGCTTGCTCTTGGTCACCTGGGTCTTCAGCAACTCAGTGGGCCCTGCCAGGTCCTTCTGGGACCACTCTGGGTCCTCGTAGAGGTTGGCCAAGGCCCTGGGAAAAGTCAAAGCCAGGGGAGCTGTCACTTAAGGACCCCATCCAGACCTCACATGCCTTAGACTTTCTCTTCTAGGACAACAGCCTGGTGGGGACCTTCAAGGGTCCCCTTGAGCACATTTCTCCCTGGCACATGCATTCTGCCAGCCCTTACAGTTTGCTCAGAGGCCCAGGAGAGCCTTACCACTGGCACCCCCCACCACCACCCAACTAGCCCCTGCAGGCCCCAGCACGCAACCTGCCTCCAGCTCACCAGGTGGAGCCCGAGGCCCCTGTGACGTAGGAGATGCAATCCAAGAGGCCCAGCTCCTTCAGGCCGGCCAGCTGCCCGTACAGGGAAGTCATTGCCCGGATCCCACCACCAGTGGCCATTACAGCTACCACTGGGATCTGGAAGAGAGGACAGCCAGGCTCAGAGAGGCCCTAGGAAAGGAGAAAGCCAAGGCACAGGAAGAGGAGGCAGAAAGTCAAATGGCCCTTGAGCTCTAGCTAAGGCCTGTCAAGATCTGATCAGAGGTCTTGGGACCAGTTATGAGTTAGCCCTGCTGAGGATCTAGTCAGAAGCAGCCTCCCAAGGCTCAGGTTTCTCTAGTTTTAAGAACTCCAGGAAAAATGGCCCAGACAAGTGCCAGGCCTCATCTCCTCACCCTGGGTCTGATGATTACTTTCTGCCAGCCCCAGGGCTACCTCGAAGGTCTCCCAAGTAGCCATCTCCCCTTCTCTTGCGAGGAGAAGTCTTTCCCCTAGGAGATGACTCAGGCTGACCTGAACTCCTGGGACCACGCGGGCCAGCAGGCAGTCCTCATACCACTGGCCTATCTCACTCATCAGTCAGGCTGGGCCCAGTCTCAAAACCTGGGCGACGCTGAGGACCAAGAAACAAAGAGAAAGAAAGCGAGCCCAGTGGGGAAGTTCCCATCTGTAAGTTCCAGGTGCCTTGTGCAACCCTCTGCCAGTAGCAAACCCCTGCTAACATCGAGTGAAAGGGACACCAGGCAGGGACAGGCTCTGGTTACGGAGCAGCCAGTTCCAGCCATCAGCCCTGGACTCTAGGCCTAAGCAAGCCCGGAGACGACTCACCCAACCAGCCCCCAGACCTCATCCTCATGCAGGTCTCTGTCCAGCTGCAGGGCCTGCTTCAGGGCCGCGGCCACCACCTGCTTCCTCCTGCTCAGGAAGGCCTGCTCCTCGGCGCAGGGCCCGCAGCCCAGCCGCACGGCCAGCGCCTGTGGTCTGGGGGAAGGGAGAGACTGTGAGGCAGCTCTCAGCTCCCCAGCGTCTGCCTCCCCTGCAAAGCCCACTGCCCTCTCTCCTCCCCTCTGCCCAACCATTACCCCCACTCCTATGTCGTGACACTCTGAAGTTTGACACCTGTAGAGTGCGAATAGGAGAAGGCGCCCATGTGTGGACACACTGGGGAATGCAGCAAAGCAGACTCGCCGCAGGACAGGGCATGTCGGGGTCCCAGGTGCGGACGGCTCCTGGGCAGGACCCGACACTGTGGATCCCACCTCCAAGTCTGAGCCTCACTCCCTCACTGAGTTGAAAAATGACCAGAGGGGGTGGGAAAGAAGGACCAACGATCCCATCCCTGCTTGGTGAGAAGCTACTCTCCCTAGGCATGGGGTGCCAGGGTGGTGAGTCCCCAGTGAAGGTCATTTAAGGTGACCTTCCACAACAGCTTCCACCCAAAGGCACGCAATTTCCCCTCTCCCCTCTGGGTCTCCTTGCCCTCTCTGCCTCAAACCATGGTACTGTCCTCACCTCCCCACCTGTTTGCCAGCCAACCACTCATGGAGGGCTTCCCACGTGCCTGGCGCTGGGTGGGGCACACCCCCCTCTGGCTTCACATGTTAAGTAAGGCTCCCTCCCAGCACTTCGCGCTGCCCTGGGAGCCAGCCCCCAGCATCTCTCAGAGGATGAGCAGCGACTGTCCTGTGAGCTTCCTGTCTCTCCCCCTCACTCCTCTAGGCCACATACCGGATCTCCAGCCACCCCTGCACGGCTTCCCCCCACCGCTGCCTTCCTGTGGCCTTGCCCGGCCCTGGCAGGCTCTCACCCTTCTTCTTTTTTCAGCTCCACCCTCATCAGGGGCTCCTGAAAACCATGAAGGCCCCAGTCACAAAGGTTGGCCACCTCCACCCAGCTCTGTTCCTCCCACCCTGGCCCCAGGCACACCTCCATGAGGGCCCTTTGCTCCCAGAGGCCCCCAACTGTCTCCACAGGGGCCAGGCCTGAAGCCAGAGGTGGGATGCTCAGAGGATACTCGCCCCAGAGTCTGCCCCGCACCTGCTCAGGGTGTGACCCGCAGAGAGAAGCGGCTACAGAAGCAGGCAGATTGCTTCAAGGCCTGGGCCCAGCCCCAGCCAGGCATCTAGTTCCCCTCTGGACCGATACCTGGGATGTGGGGAAGAGGAGCCGCACCACCTGGCCAGAGGGCAGGGCCTGCAGTGGCAGCTTCAGTTGTTCCTTGGGGGCATCCTACAGCGGGGAGGAGGAAGACCTGAGACTCTTCACCCTTCCTCTCCTAGCAAGGGCCTCACCAACTCCCGCTGGCCGCAGCAGAGGAGCAGGAGGGAGGGGACAGGAGGCCCCGTGCTGCCCAGGGAGCCCAAATGCAGGGAGTGGTGAGGGATGTGGGGCTCGGGGTGAGCATAATCAGGCTGGGAGGAGGCGCTGAGGGGAGGAGGGGGGAGGTCCTAGGGGTCCTGCCTGGAGGGAGGGAGATGGAGACATTCTACCTGCAGATGAATACCCAGTTCTTGCTCCCAGAAGGCTGGGCAATGGAAGCAGAAGGTGCTGGTGCCCACAGAAGCCTCCTGTGCACCCTCAAAGGACCCGGGAACCATGAGCTCAACTCTGCGCTCTGACCCTGCAAACAGGAACCAGAGCAGAGAGGCTGGGTATGGGATCTCTGCCTGTGGATTCTCTCGTCTTGCCCCAGGGGCCTGGAGGGCCTCCCTGTCCCCCTCAAATGGAGGTCTGGTCCAGGCCGAGGCTGGGACACAGAGCTCCTCACAGCCCCTTGGAGGACGACGAAGGGGAAAAGCTCAGGTCCAGGGGAGCCCCCGCGTGGATGTGCCCAACCGCTACGCCTGCCTTTGGAAGCTGAAGGTAGCCAGTGCAAGGTCCCTGCCAGGGCCCCTCAGAAAGGGGGACGATGGACAGAGGGCTGGGGCTGTCCCAGAGGGTCAGGGACTCACCCTTCCGGTCCCCTGTCTCCTCCAGTTGAACGTGCAAGCAGGAGAGTTCCCGGGCCTGAGTCGTTAAGAAAGCCCCTCAAACACTGACTCCTTCCCTGTTCAGGGACCCCACCCTCCCAGCACCTGGTTCCTGCTCGTCAGCCTTTATGACCATGGCCCCGAGTCACCAAGCATTTGCTTGGCACTGTATTCCCTTGACGAACTGAAACCCCAGGGTCCCCCAAACTCAGCTCTATCCCTGACCCAGGTCATGGTGGGCCAGAGCTTCAGGCCCAGCGAGAAGAGCGAGCAGATGGCATGAGGGAGGAGTTCCCGGGGACCCCAGCCCACACCCAGGGCTGTCCCACACTCACCACCAGGATGCCATTGCTGGCGAGCTGCTCAGCTCGGTCCGTCCTAGAAGGACACGGCTTCTTAGGTTCTCGCCCGCCCCGGGAAGGCACCAGATCGGGGTGTGCTGGCGCTGTCTTTCCCAGGAGGAGGCGCTCCTACCCAGAACCGCCCCGCGGCCCCTAACTCACAGACTCTGCAGCCGAAATTCCACTTCTAGCCGCTCCTCACCCTGGGGAGAGAGAAGCAAGTTAGAAAGGGCAAGGAGGAGGGTGTGTGCACATGTGTGACTCCAACCCTGACACCAGCTGGACTGCCGAGGGCCTTGCCTGAGGGCTCAGTGAGAAGCTCTCACGCCGTAACTCCCCAACCCGCAGCATCCCCACGTCAAACAGCACTGACAAAACGGGGTCGTCTTTGGTCAACAGGTCCTGGTCAAAGACTTTCAGTTCCAGGATGTTCTAGAAAAGGAACAGGGAAAGAGAACATTCGAGAAAGGGGAGGTGAGCAGGGCAGGAATTGAGGGCCCAGGAGAGGACGGCAGGCGGACGGGGACGGTGAGCAGGCCGGGCTGATGCCTGGCCCACCTTGAGCTGGCTGTGGATTCGGAAGTGAAAGCTCTGGTTCCAGACGGGGCTTCTGCTGTTCTTGACCGTGCGTGTCTGGAGCCTGTTGCTGGAGGCCGTGGGCAGCCACAGAGTTACATAGCAGTCAGAGGGGGTCACTACGGGAAGGAAGAACAAGTGGCCAGTGATGGCCAAGAGCCCTTCCCAGCCAGCCACCCACAGTCCACTTCCTTCCACCACCTTGAGAGCCGTGGGGTGTGGGCCGGGTGGGGAGGCAGCGGGGGCGGAAGCAGAGCCCCGGCTGCCACTTTCCACCCAGAACCCCCCTGCTCAGCACCCTCTTCCAGGCCACACCCACTGGCTTCACTCCGCTGAGTCCAGCAGCAGTACCCTCCTCCTCCCCCAGCCCGGCAAGGGGCCAGGAAGCAGGCAGCTCACCGAGGTCCTTGGAGGGCAGGCCATGCGCCTGCAGCACGCGAACCGTGAGCAGGCGGGTCCCAGGCACCTTTGCCTGCAGAGGGAGAGGGGCGGACCTGCTGCAGGCTGATGGGGCCAGAGGTGACAGGGGCCGCAGGGGATGCCGGGGCAATCCCTCAAAGCCTAATCCTGTACCAAAAGAATCCAGCCCACTCAGCCCAGGCCTGTCCTCCACCCCATCAGACTCCTGAGTTGACAGGAGACCTGGCATCTCCAGGGCACCTGCCGGCACTTACGTAACGCTCTGTGCCCAGCTCTGGGCCAAGGCTTTGCGTGTGTTAACTCATTTATCGCACAACTCTATGCGTGGGCACTATTTACGATCACTGTGATGACCAACTCCACAAGGAAACTGAGGCACAGGAAAGGTTATGTAACCACCCGCCTGAGGTCCAGAATTGGGATTGGAAGCCCGTCAGGCTAGCTCCAGATTTACGCCTCACATCTGCCTGCCTGTTTCCTAGGTGTAGCATCCTCTTGTCTTTCCGCCCCACATCCCCAGGCCACACCCTTGCTAAGCAGCTGAGGCCGGTCTTGGGTGGCAGGGGACATACACTGTTGAGGGAAGGGAAGTGGCATGTCAGGGCCTCGGGCCCTGGCTGAGCGGCTCCCCATCCTTCCAGCCCTGGGCAGAGGACCATGCTGGCAATGGGCTCTGCCAGGCAGGGACAGCAGCTACTAGCTCAGCCTGCCCATAGGTCAAGAGGCCTCCAGCTAGCTCCCTTCAAACCCACACCCCTGGTTCTGGGAACGCAGGCTGGCAGGCGTGCCAAGCCAGAGAAGCCTGTGCCAGCTGGTCCTTCCTTTTGGCCCTCAGCCCTGCCTCCAGAAGGGCTCCGTCAGCCCAAGTCCAGGGAGCAACCTGGGTCAGAGGGAGAGCGGGGAAAGCTCCTCCAGCTGTGTCAGCCCTGGGGCCCCCACATGGCTGAGTCAGGAGCACCAGAGCAGCCACTTCCTTCTGGGGCCACAGCATGGCAGCTGAGAGCCTCTGAATCCCCAGGGCCCAAGTCCACAGTGCCAGGGAGCTCTGCCCGGAGCCCATTCTCAAGGCAGAAAGAACTCAGGACCCTCATCCCAGGACCCTCCTCTCCCCTGGCTTCTGCTCACTGTCCTGGTCTTGCGGTCGCCAAATACCCCCTCTACACCAGCAGCCGACCATAGCTCCTCTAAGAAACAGCATTAACCAGGCCCCGGGCGGGGGGGCCAGGGGTCACGGTGGTGCCCAGTGCCCTGCTGGGCCTTACCAGAGCCATGAGGCTGAGTCCTCAGGAGCAGGAATGATGGCGCAGGACCAAGGACTGTCAGAGTTTTAACCCAGAGCCAGCGAGCGGTGTCACAGCTGACCCAGAGCTCCTCCCGGGTCCCTCCCATCCACCTCCTCTGCTCCACCCAAGCCCCACACCCACTACTGGACCAGCCACTTGTCCAGGAAACGAGGTACCTCAAACCTACACTAGAGCCACAGACACCATTGTGGTGGGGCCTTGACACCCCACCCCAGGTCCCTGGAAGATCCGCACTCTCCAGCCTCCCCTACCCAGCCCTGTGTCGCCAGCCCTGATTCAGAGGAGGGGGGCTCCCAGGAGAGCTTGTTGCTGGGGGCTGAGCAGAAGGAAGGCGGGGTGTGGGCCCCCGAGCAGCAGCAAAGAAGAGCCGAGTGCCCCGTAGGCCTTTCGCAAGCCCGGGTGCCAGTACGACAGGAATGCCCAGTCCTGACTGAAGCACTCGGCCAGTCTGAGAAGAGCACACAGGCCCCATGACAACCTGGCAAGGGAGTGGCCATCAAATAAAACCCTTCAAAGCCATGTGCTGGGCCACCACCACTCTTGGAGCTGGGTGGCTGGGGATGAGGCCTGTGGGTTGGCACTCAGGGTCGGGGGCTCTTCCGTCCCAGGGCTTAGCTTGTTGGGGAGGTCAGAGTGCGGAGGCCGACTCCTTCCTCAGAGGGACAGCTCCAGGAGGGGCAGGGGTTTCTGTCCCTGCCTGCCTGTGCCTGATGTGGGAGAGAGAAAGAGGGGTTGCCCCTAGGGCACCAGATCCCAACAGCTGCCCTGGAACTAGGGTAGGACAGTAAACCAGGCCGGGGCAAAGCTAGGAACAGCTTTAGCAGCCCTGAACCAAAAAGGTCGGGGTCACAAAGTTACAAGACTACTGAACAGAGGGATTTGGGCAGCAGACAGCTCCTCAGGTCCAGGCCTGGATCCAGCCCTCACCCCTAATCAGGGTTGCCCTGAAATTTTAACCTGAACAAACCTTCAGCCTCTCAACAGACCAAGAAGGCAACTGCGAGAGAATCAGAACGTATGACTCACAGTTACCTTTTATTGAACACTTCTTCTGTGCCTGCCAGTGCTGCCCTCACAGGTAGCACCTCCAACCCCACGACAGCCTTGTGAGGTGGAACCATGATTACTTCCATTTTACAGACAGACACCAACGCCCTGAGAGGCAGTGACTCGCCCAAAGTCACAGCACTGGTGAGAGGCGCTGCTGTTCCTGATCCCCACTCTTCACCTCTGTGGCAACTTCCAGGGAGCCCTCACCCAGACCTGCTTGGCACCTCTGAGTCCTCCTGACCTCATCCTGAGATCTTCCAAAGCTGATCCCAACCTGAGTCGCACCCTGGGCCAGCAGCCAGCATGCGCTCAAGCTACAGGCTGTCTCCAACATCGGCCCGGCCAGGGAGGGCTCAACCTCCCCCGAGTCGTGCCTGGCAGTGTTCACCAGGGATCCCTCAGTTGAGACCTGAAGCCTTAGCAAGGGAGTCAAGCAGCTGGAAGTAGCTGTACTTGAGGTCATACTCCATGTCGTACCAGAAATTCACTGTGGAGAGAATGGGGACCTGAGCACAAAGGTCCCTCTTCTGACCCAGAGTCTCCCGAACCTCCTCCCCAGATGCCCTGCTGGGCCTTGGCAGGGTGGCCTGGGCAGCTCCTCACCCGCAATGCAGCCATGGGACTGCTGGACATGGTGGAACCACAGGGCTGGCAGGTAGAGCATCTCGCCAGCCTGCACCGTGCAGCGAAGGGCCTGGGCCTGACTATAACTGGGGTACCGGGCCAGGTCTGGAGCCAAGGGGTCCAGTGGGATCCAGGGCACCTGGGGACACATCAGATGCCAGGGAGCAGGCCCCAAGACCCCCCAGAACTTCAGGCTCTGTGCCTTCCAAAGGTAAATACCACAGGCCTTGCTCTGTTCGGCACTGAAAGGCCCCAGACTTATGGACTTTTCAGAGCACGGTGCCACCTCCCCAGATCCTTTGTGCCTGCTCCTCAGAGCCCAGGCTCTCACCCTTTCTCCTCCCTAGAGCCCAAGAACAGAACAGACACCTTCTCCATGGCCTCTTCATCCACCATCTTAAAGGTGCCCTCTTCAGTTAGCTGGTAGGTTGCCGGTGTGTACAGCTCTGAAGCCCAAGGGAGAAGAGTGTGGGAAATCTCAAATGGCCTGGAGTTTGCCAGACCCTCCCCTCCCCCAGCCAGTCTTCATGCTCCCTGGGCACAAAGACAACAGGGTCAGGGACCCTGGTGCAGTGGAGACGCTGTGGCCATACCTGAGACCAGGACACCTGCCTTCCCAGGGCCCTCGCTGCCCTCCCTCCACCTTGGGCCACCTGTTCCTCAGTCCCTGCAGGCCACACCCCCTACCATAGGGGATGAAGGGCCGGTCGCTAGGCGGATGTAACAAGAAGTGTTTCTCTCCTGAGATCACACAGTAGAGGTTCTCATAGTGGTCCTTGTGCACTGCCAACAGAAAGAAGGCCCGAGGGCAGAGTATGAAGGGGGAAGCATTGGGGGGAAAGCATCACGCTCACAGCCCCACCCCCCAAGACCACCTATGGTGAAAAAGAGCACACAGAGTCAGCAGGCTCGAAGAGATGCCAGGGACTCCAGTGTGTATTTCAAAACTCTGTCCACCAGGCCCCAAGCTCGCCTCTGCTAAGAGAGGAGATGGAGCCAACAGGCTTCTCCTAAATTCACCCCCAACCTAGCTTGCCTTTACACAGCCTTAGGATCTAGAAGAAACAAGGCACCCCACCCCCAATGCCATGGGTACCTCCCCCACTTCAGCTGTCAGGGGTGCTTGAGTCCCAGAGGCCCAAATGAAACTGTAGAGAATGGTCAGCCCAACTTCCATCCAGGCCCAACCTTCTACTCCTGGCCTCACCTTCCCTCCCTCTGCCCCGACCTGCTCCTTCCCCACTTTTGCATTCCCCTGACACGTACAAGATGTCACTGCAGCTGCCTCTCCCAGCCAGAAGTTCACAGCATCAGGCATCTTTCCTGTGGGGCAGAGGGCATTAGGAGGCCAGGCTGGGATAGCCACCATACAGTGATGCTAGACCCGAAACCTGGCCGAGGGCAAAGGAGTCCCAAGGAAGAGAATCAGGGAGAAGTAGCAGAGGTTGGGAAAGCTTGGAGAAGGAGCCCTCCCTCCCTGGGGCAGAAGGAAAGGTAGCAATCTTCAGTAGTTCATCTGTTATTAAGTCAAGGCCTGGAGCTTGAGCATTTAGTGGGCAGCACCTGACCTGGCCAGGCCAAGTCATCACCAAAGAGAGAGAATGAGCTGGCAGGTTGGCCTCTTCCTTCCCACCTGTTCCCTGCCCACCCCGGGCCTGGGCCCACCTGCCTCCACTCACCCAGTGCCTCAGAGGCCCAGGACACATGGGGCTCTAGGTCAGGCAGCAGCTGGGGTAGCTCAGAGGGCAGGTTGGAGCACTGCTTCTGCACATAGAGCACTCCCGGGTGCTGGGCCTGGCCCTCTAGCACGTCCAGCACACAGCTCAGGGGCAGGCGGCGCTCAGCAGGCATCACGAAGCGGTCCCCTCGCACGGCATCTGCGTAACCATCTGGGGTCACAGCCACACTCACCTCTGTGGAGCCCACTGTGGCTCTGGAGGAATGAAAACTTGGCTCATACCCAGATGTCAATAATCACTGCCCATGCTCCACCCCAGGGCAGCTCCCACCTGAGGTAGGGGAGGGACCACTTCTGGAGGGCCGGCCAGTGATTCAGGGCATTGCGGATGATGCAGGGCCTGTTGGGACAGACCCAGTCCCGGTAGAAGCGGAGTGGAGTGGGGGGCTCGTCCAGGTAGGGCACAGCAAGAGGCACACTGAGCTCTGAGAGAAAGAAGGGTAGGGACTGAAGCCAGCAGCACCCAGTCCATGCCCCACTGCCTGCAGAAGAGATGCCCTCCCAGGGAAGGCCATGCTGTGTCACTGGGCAACGCCCATTGGTGACCAAGGGACCCTGAACAACCAGGAATAGAAGAATGCAGAGGTAAATTTAAGGCAGAAGCAGAAAACACACACAAACACACCAGGATGGGCCATCAGAGTCCACAGGGCCAGGGGCTGTGACTCAGCCCATAACCCGAATCTTCTGTGGGGCCATGTCTGGGCCCTACGGAGTGGAACTTCAGCTTTCCCACCCCGGAGGGGCCAACTTCCTAGCATCCATCAGGAAAGGTGGCCACTGGGGTTGTGCTGGGAGCTCCAGAATGAGTAGGGCCAAGGCCTCGGGCTAGTCTGGGTGTGGCGTGCCTCTGGAAAGTCCCCTCCCACAGTGATATTTACTGAGCACCTAGAATGTCCTCAGCACTTGGCTTGGGCAATGTGGAGGTATCAACAGATGATCCAATCATCATCTCGAGAAGCTTATAACCCACCTGGGAGACAAACTGCCAGATCACACCACTGGAGGAAAAGTAAGATGCATCCCCAGGACCTAGAATGTACCTAGCACACAGGTGCTCAGGAAATATTTGCTTAATGGTTGAATGAAAATCTCCAGCATCCTGGCTGGATGGCTGCTGCACCATCCACTGGCTTAATTCCACTCCCTCTCAAAGCATCTATCATCCTGGCCCCAGTCCTCTTCTGAAAATACAGTCTCATCTTGTCACACCCCTAGTAACGAACCCTTTGATGGCTTACCACTACTCCTTACAGAGCACAGCCTGCCTTGGCATGCGTGATCAGGACCAACCTACCTTTCCAGTCTGATTTCCTCCTGTCTTGTGCCTGCCCCTGCCATATACCCTCTATTCAGGAGGTACCATACTTTGCTCCTGTAGCTCACTCAGACTGGAATGTCTTTCTGCTGGCTTTTATAAAGTGCCCAGGGCTTTGCGTTGTTACTTTCATGCTTGAGGTCTGGCTGGAAGGCCTTGGCCCAGGTTGGTGGTTGCCGCATCCTGCTCCAAATGGCTCTGGCACTCATTTTGACCTCTGAGGTCATGCTCCATCGCTCATGGCTGGCCGCGCTGCCAGTCATCTTTGCCTTGCAATCAGTTGGAAAGTGAATGTCTTTACATAAGAAATTGGAACTAAGTGGGAAAACCCTGGTGGCCCCAGGAAAACTGGAAAGAGCTGACACACGTACTTGCATCCATGGCTAGAGGCAATATAGAACCTGCCAAGTAGATATGGGAGCAAGGAGGGAAGAAAGCGGCAAAGGCCTTCCCAATCATGCCTGCCCACCAAAGCAGTCACCTGGGCTGGGTTCAGTGGCTCGTTCCCATAGTCCCAGCTACTCTGAAGGCTGAGGCAGGGGGATCACTTGAGCCCAGTAGTTCAAGACCAAAAACATATTGAGACCCCATCTCTAAAAAATGTATTTTAAATAAAATTTAAAAAGCAGTCATCTGTGAAGAAGGTGATCTGGGACTTAGTACATCTCCCTGTTGTGCTCACTAAGAGTCTTAAAATACACGGAAACTTTTTTTTACCCTTTGGATTTTCTGCAATTACGTATTTCCATTTTACCTGCTCATCCTTTCCTTTAGAGAATGGCTTCTTTTCTCTCCTGGGGCTTCAAAATGAGAAAATTTCAAAAAGGATCCAAACAATTCCTTTGACCCAACAATTCTGCTGAGAATTTAACCAATAAAAATATTCACACATATGCACACACTACACCTACACACTGCCTTCTTCACTGTTCCCTGAACACAGGAGACACTCCCATCTACGGCTTTTCGGGCCCTGCACTTATCTTCTATTTCTTCTACGATACAATTTACTTCTTGAGTGAGCCTAGGGTAATTGTCCGCCTCCTCGCTTAGAATGTAAGCCCTGTGAAAGCAGCAATTTGTTTTGTTCAGTGATGTATCCCAAACACACTGAACGGAGCCTGGCACATAGAGGGGCTTAATAAATATTTGTTAAATGGATACTCAAAGTACTGGATGCAGCATTATTGAAAATAACAGGTTGAAAATGATCTAAATGCCTAGCACTAACAGACTAAGTAAATTATAGCACTAGTACACAAGTATGAAAAAGACCGAAGTATAGGGGTGTGGAATGATCTCCAAGATACACAGTGCAGAAATGTGTTTAGCAGGCTACCATCTGTATAAAAAGTGGGGAGGGCATGTAGAGTCATATGTGTGCATGGATATAAACAGAATCTTTCTGGAAGGATGAACATTGGAGATGGGAGAAAAGCCTGTTTATATTACATACCCATTGTATATTATTAACTTTTTTTTTTGACAGGGTCTTACTCTGTTGCCAGGGCTAGACTGCAGTGCCAAGATCATAGCTCACTGCAACATCTAACTCGCAGGCTCAAGCGATCCTCCTGCCTCAGCCTCCGGAGTAGCTGAGACTACAGGTGCCTGCCACCATGATGGATTAGTTAATTTTGTTGTTTTTTTGTAGAGACGGGGGTTTCGCTATGTTGCCCAGGCTGGTCTCCAACTCCTGGCCTCAAGCGATCCTCCTGCCTTAGCCTCCCAAAATGCCAGGATTATAGGCATTAGCCATCGTGCCTGGCCATAAGATACCCATTACATACACATGTGCCTGTTTTGTTCAGTCGTAAGAAATCGTTTCAAAACATAAAAGAAAAAAAAAAACGAAGGAAGGCTGAAGGGAGGAAAGAGGGGAAGAAAGAATAAAAACCAAGCAGGAAAAATTCAGGGATCGCCTGGGCAGCCTACAATCTTACAAAGCGGGGAGGGCGCGGGCGGGAATCCGACCACCACCTGTGTGTACTTAGTGTTAATAAGACTTCAATCAGGGAAGGGCAACAGCCAACTGCTCAGACTGTGGGGACCAGTCAAGAATGCACTGGGCCTTGGGAATGAAGTGGCAGAGTCACCCCAGGAAGCCACGTGGATGCGTGAACACCGGAGGGCAGTAGAGGACCGACCCACCGGGCTGGGGGAGGGGGCTGCGACAGAAGAGCGATAAGAGTGGGGCCATCAACCAGTCCTACGCACGAAGCTCCGCGCACCCGGTGTCAGAGGCACCCCAGGGCCCCTCCCGCGTCCCGGGGACGCCGCGGCCTCCGAGCAAACAAACTCACCCCTTGCCGCGGCCGGGAATTCTCGTAACTCCCTCCGCACGGCGTCCAAAGCCGCCTCCGCCATGACGCGGACACTGCCGGGCCTCGCCCCGCCCCCAGGCCCTCCCCGGAACCCCGGCCCCGTCCTCCCCATGCGCGCTCAGCTTTGCTGTCTCAGCAGCCGAGCGAGAACCAGCGCCCGCCTTCGCCTGTCCCGCTCGCCGCCATCCCAGAGTTAACAAATGATTGTGTTTATTGACAAGTTCATACATCAGTACAAACCGACATGTTAAAAACAGTCCCCGCCCCGTGCAGCCGGGGAGGAGGGAAGCGCCACGGCCTGGACAAAGTATAAAAGTTATAAATAAGGGGCTTTCAAAACTGGGGTGGGCGGGGCAAATCTGGACGTTGCCGGTGGCCTCAGACATGCAGAAGAGGACGGGCGGGGGTGGAGGGGGCTGGGGGGTAAAGATGAGGTGCCACCTGGCCATGAGACCCCTCCACCACGTTGGGCAGAGGGCAGGGAAAGGGCGGCCACCTTCTCACAAACCTTAGCCAGAGGGTAGGTAGCTACCTCCTCATGAAGGACCTGGCCCAGAGGGACGAGCGTGAGCCCTACCTGTGGTGGGCTGGTGGCTAGTGTGCTGGGTGGGAAGCACAGGCAGCGGCAGGCCTGCCAGGGGTCCAGCCCCAGCTGCCAGAGTTCTTGGGGCCATGCAGGTGGTAGAAGCAGAGACATGGGGGTGAGCCAGGTTTTGAGATGCTCAAGTACACTCGGGCTGATGCAACGGAGCTGGACACCCTTCAGAAGCCACCTCTTTACAAGCCTCTGCCTGCGGAGCCAGCAGTGTGGGTGAAAAGGCTTTCGTGGCCTGATGCTGTGTTGTAAAGCTGCCCTGACTTACCTGGTGCAGAGTGAAGCAGCAGGGCCCAGACACATGTTCTTCACTCTTCACCTGCCCCACTACTTGGTCCTACTCTACCTGCCTACTGTGTCCTATCTCCTTCCCTCGCCCCTAACAACTGCCCCTTCTGATTCTAACCTAACCCCTCACCTTTGCCACTTACCTGTCCCACCTACCACTTTTCCAGTGTCTCTCTTGGCCCCTGCGCCTCCCTCCCCTTAACCTCCAATATCCAGCACACCCCTGGCTGCCCAGCACTGCCTCTAAGGGGACTCCTTCTACCAAACCAGGTGTCCTGTGGGCCATCTCAGATCAGCTACTGTGGACACCAAGAATCCAGAATTTGGGTGTAGTGTGTTCCATCCCTTTCCATGCTCCTTACATGCTCCACATAAGCCAGGGTGGTGAGGCTGGGGAAGGATATGAGAGGAAACCAGGAACACATCAGGGAGCCAAGTACTCTAGCAATGAACAGTCACGTGTGTGTGTGTTTGTGTGTGAGTGTGTGTGTGTGTGTGTGATTTCCTCTGTGGCCAAGGTCCTCAGAAGGTGGTGGGCAGCGCCCTGTAAACCATGAGGGAAATTCCAACAGAGACTTCTGACTGAGCATCACTCAGGATGCAGGGAGAAGGTGGCCTCTGGACTCCAGCAGCCTGCTGGGGTCCAGGGTTGGAGGACAGGGAAGGCCAAGGGGCTGAGGAAAAGCGACCAGAGGTTCATGTCTGCCCAGCAGAGGGCTTTACTGTCCCGCAGCAATGTCCCACGACTGGCTCCACAAGTTCTGGCCAGGAGAGAAAGGGGGGCACAGGGATAGAGAAAATGCTAGGGCCCTCTTGGAGGGAGAATGGGAGTGGAATGTGGTGGCTCAGGTCCTACTACCAACTCAAGTCTCCTAATGGTGGCGGATACCCTGGAGGGCCAGACACTCTGCCTTTCTGAACTGCCAGGAATTGGGGAAAACAACCCCTGCTTGGCAGCCAGGGGAGTACAGCTGGTGTGGGAGGGAAGTGGAGGCAGAGGTGAAGGCTTGCAGGTGGCTGAGGAGCACTGAATACCACATCACCTCTCACCTCTACCCCAGAGTACCCTGTGTATGCTCCACCCCAGGGAGCTGATCCCTGCAGTAATTTCAAATGGCTTCTAAGAAGAGAGGGCCAGCCCTTCCCAGTTCCCCCCAGATGGGGCAGGCTGCCCTCCTACCCCTCACAGCACCAAGATGACGAAGATCAAAGACCTATCCCTGCCACTCGAGGGGCTGTGGAGGCAGGAGTTCCAAGGAAGTGAGGCAACAGTCAGGGAAATAAATTAATAAATACAGCTGGGAGCAGCTGGGAAAGCTGCTTCACCTCTGAGCACTGATCCCTGCTTTCCACTCCAAGCGTCCCCGAGGTTTTGGTGAGTGGAGGAGGGGCTACAGTTTGGAATACGGGGAGCCTTCACTTGGGACAGGCTTCTGGAACTCAGAGTCTGCGTTCCATGCGCCGCTCCACGGCTCGAAGCAACAGCTCTGAGTATTGCTCTAGCAGGGCCTGCGTTTGCTCAGCTCCCACAGATCCAGGGCTCCCGCTTGGGCTGGACAGCGCTGCACCAGCCAGGGCTTCTAGCTCCTGCCGCACTGAAGAGAAGGTGTCTCTCAGGAGCTGAGTGATCCGACTGTGCTCCACTGAGGGTGTCTTGCAGCTGGCCACCTGCAACAGGACCCCCAGAAGTGAGTTGGAGGAACAGTGGAGGGGCCTGTCAACATATATAAATGGGAGGGGGCCCCCCTGGGTCTAGCCTGCTGCAGAAGGGACTGGCTGGGAGTTCCACAACCCAAGATCAGCAAGTATGACCAGGGGATATGAGATACAGGCAGACTTGGGGGTGATCCCAAAGGAGGAGCCCATCAGATTAGGAACCATCTATATCTTGTTAGCAACTCCTTACTACTCATGCACACTCCACGTTCTCTTAAAGCTTAGGCACGACTGGACTGTCCCCTACGTCTAGGGTGGCCAAGTGATTTCTCAATATGAAAGGGATACGATTAACAATTAGGTTGGGACAACAGGCACAAACTGGGATTGTCTTGAGCAAACTAGGACATATGGCCTCTCTATGCCTCACCTTCCTGTCTGAGGGAAGTCTCCAGCTCTTAACCGGAAATGACCAAAAAGGTGCCTGGTTCAAGAGGCTGGCCTGGCCTCTAACGCCCTCATCTACTCTGCCCAGGATGTTCTTGACTGCTCCACACTGTCAGTGGAAGAGCTTTATCGTTAGTATTCTGGACACCCAACTATCTGAAACACCTAGCACTACGGACATGCTCCACCCTCCAGCTGGTCATTGCCCAACACTCACCAAGTGGTAGAGCCGCACGGCCTGGCACACACTGCCGCGGAGCTCTGCCACAAGTTGTTCACACTGCTCCAGGCTCACCGCCAGTTCTGAGAGGGATAGGCATAGCTCAGTATGGCCCAGAAAGCTGCCCTTTCAGGCCTTCCCACCCAGGGGTGCTCAGAGCAGGCGAGGCCTAGCCCTCGGCACTGCACTCCCTACTTGCCCCCCATCCGCTCTTCTTGCCTTCTTCCCTCCCAACACCCTCCCTAACACCACATAGACAAGGTCCAGAGGAGAGGGCCAGCCCCAGGGTCCAGAAGGCACTGAACAGGTAAGTGGGTCACAAGGAAATCATGAAGGTTGGCAGGAGTGTCTCACCATCAGGGGTGTGACTTATGGACCGAGACAGGAGCGGACAGGACAAAAAACGCCAGAGGCTGGACACACAGAAATGGGATGGAGCCAGAGAGTGGCCAATAGAGACGGGAGAGAGAGGATGGGGCAGGAGGTGAAAGCTGGGGAGCTCTGCACACCTGAGTCCTGGCTCAGGGCTGCCCCTGGCCTGGTGCATTCCATGGGGTTGGGAGTCTTCTCAGGGGGTGGGGGTTGCAAGTTCTCAGGGCCTCGGAGGAGGCTGTTGACTGGCAGTTGCTGGGCACAGGGGCTGTTGGGCCCAGGATGAGCCTGGTACTCTGTCCTAGGCCTGGGAATGGTACCCTCCCCCAAACAGGGCCGTCTCTCAGATGTACTATGAGCCTTTCCTAGGCCCGCTGGGAAGCCAGGCTGTTCTGCCTCACCAGGGGGCCGGCCCTTGGTTACAGGTGAGAATGTAGCCAGGGTAGGGCGGTCAGGCAGTGGTTTGGGGATGTCCAGGACCAGGTGAGCCCGGCTGGGCAGGGCTAGCTTGCTGAGTGGTGAGACTCGGATGGGGGCAGGAGCTTGAGGTTCAGCCACCAGGCCCAGGTTCTCCCCAACAGAGATACTGCGGGATATCTTGGCCATGGAACTGGTGGTTGGGTTCTGGTAGGAGCGGGGCCGAGATGGACGGCCATCAGCCTGGGGCAGGTTGCCCAGGCCATCCTGAGCCTCAGTCTCCTGTGAGAGCAATGGGCCTGGTGAGGGGACCTCATCTGCAAAGGAGACAAGAGATATATGCAGGTCAGGTGGTTGAGGAAGGCATCCCAGGTGCTAAAACCCAACCCCTAGCAGCTGCTGTTCCCCTGCACATGCCCACTGAAGGACACCCAGTAGCAAGCACAATGACACATCAGGGCTACACCAGGACCTCCTATCTACAGCATGCACACATGTTCCATACCCCCCGCACCCAGGAGCTGAGCCCACCCAGCTCCTCACCCTGCAGCACCAGACTGTGCACAGACTGGGCTTTCTGGAGTCCAGCTAAGGGGCTGGCTGTGGCCACTCTCTTGGGAGCCCAGCTGCTATCAGGGTTGAGACGGCGTCGTGGCAACAGCATAGGGGCTGCCTGCTGGGGGCTGGGGTTGCCAGAGGAGGGTTCCACCTCTGGGGGTGCTCCTGGGGGACTGGCACCACTGCCTCTCAGTTGCTCACCAGATGCCTGTGGCACCTGGACTGGTCTTGATATCAATGCCAGGCTGGAGGAGGATGGGGATGGTTCCCTACAGGGAGGAAATGTGGAAGAAGGCCCAGAGAAGGCTCAATGATCCTCCCTGCCAAATTGGTGAGAAGCTCTCACAGCACCAGAGAGGCATTAGGAGGGAAGGGCAGGCACAAAGCTAGACAGGGTTGGGGAGAAACCAGTTGTCCTAGAACAAGGAGTGCAAAACACCCTTGGGCATGGGAAGACAGACTTTGGACACAGGAGGTCTGCATGCTGCCCCAGAGGTAGGA